AGTTTTTGTGTTTTGGTCTGTTTTTCTAATACTATAAGCAATAGGTCAACTATATTTGTTGTATGCAAGGATTGCAAGCTTTACATGTCTGCCTGGCATGGTTCATCTGACCTTGACCTCATTTTCATGGTTCATTGGTCAATGTTTAGTTTTCTTGGTTAAGTCCAGGGCTTCCAAAACGGTCGTATTTTCCGGACAAGTCCGATAAATTACATGACTTGTTGTGCCGAGACTGATTTGGACAAATTAACATAGTTCAGAAAAAAAATTAAAGTTTATGTGATCTTTTTGACCTGACCTTTAGCCTTAAACAGCCACACATTTCCGGTCATATAAGTGACATGATCAATAATTACGATCAAAACAAACCATACTTTAATACCCTCTCATTACAATCAAGGTTAATTAGTTCTCTGACAGCTGATTTTACCTGTTCAGACAACAGGTAAACTATTTTGTACCGGACATCGATCGGTCTATTAAAAGTTATTTTCTTAAATATCAGCGGTTTGCATCTTATATATTTAATCAACAAGATTCAGATTACCAGAAAACGTAAATAAATGTGATTTGATGAAAATTTAAAAAGGTAGTAATAAAGGTTTAAAGTGAAAAATCATCAGAACCACGTAGTTTGAACTAGTACACTGGTACGCAGGTGTGAGATTTAATTCTGCATCTGAATTTTCAAAAATGCAAAAAGTATCATTGATACCTTTATCTAATGTCCATTTCGAGTATTTAACTATAGAAATAATGCTGAAAGAGCTACTTAGACTCAATTGTGTGTGTAAACGTACACGGATTTTATGTATCCGTCTCTGGTCCGTGTTTTACCATTGTTAAGTCAACATCTGGTTTTAGGAATATGTACTTTTTAAAAACGAAAGTGTCAAGTTATTGAAAGCGTAATTTTGCAAAAATAAAGAGTCTTAGGCAGATATCAGTACGCTGATGTTGCACACTTCGAATGGTGCACTGTCAATTTAACAGTTAACGCCAGAACATCAAATTTATATTTAAAATCAAGTCAAATACCAATTTTTGTGACAATCATAAATTATTTATATGATGCCCAACTGATAACTATGGTTGCCTTTTGTTACTAAGTCTTAAGGGATTAGAATTGGGATAAGACAAAAAATAATTGTCTGGCAGGCTCAAATATTTTTTGGAAGCCCTGGTTAAGTCTGTATCTTAGAAACTATAAACAATAGGTCAACTATATTTAGTGTATTGAATGATTGTAAGGTGTACATGTATTTCTTGTTTGGTTTATATGACCTTGACCTCATTTTCTTGGATCATGTTAAGTTTATGTAATAGTTGTAGTAAAGCTTTATATTTAGGACTATTAACATAATATCAATGATTAGTAAAGAAGGCGAGACATTTCAGCGTGTGCACTCTTGTTTATTATTGCCCTTAATAATCAAATTGTCAGAGAATAGACACAATCAAAACTATACCAGCTAATCTCTTTATTTTGACAGTAAGAAAGCCTTCTTAAATTCAAATCCAATCTGATATCTCAAATGACTGAAAAGTGGTCAAATATAAAATGATGACCATCAAAACTTTTATTTGGTCCAAAGGGAAATAATTTGAAATGTTCTTATTTAAAGAAGTATCGCAGGACTGATCTTAGATTACAACAGGGCATTGTAAATAAAATGGAAAAGGGGCATGGCGCCAACATTAAAAAAAAGGGGCAGGGAATCAAGAAAACGTGGCAGGACACAATCAAGTAAGGTGGCAGGACACAATGCCCTTCCTAAACCTCCTGTAGGAAACACTAATATTTGGTAGAATTGTTTGCCATCATGTGTTGTTGACTCTGTGTAGAACCCAATATTTTTTTACAGGAGTAAAAGGACTTTGACTATAATGTTTTCATACCATCATGTGAATTTGATCATATTATACCGTCGTTTTGATTTGACCATTTGTATTGGAGTTATGGGACTTTTTTTTAGTAGTGTGACAATAACACCTAGTGAAAGCATGTCCTCTCAGACTGTTTTATAGAAAGCTCTGATACTTGGTAGGATTGTTTGCTATCATGTGTAGTTGACCATATTATACTGTCATTTTGATCTGACCATTTGTATTGGAGTTATGCTACTTTTACCATATTATGTCTATTGTACAATAATGACACTTTCACTATGGCCCAGCAATCTTGTCCAGTATAGCTTTACTGTTGTAATGAAGTTTCTTTAATAAACACATTCTTATATATTATCACTCTCTTTTAGATATGGGTGTATTAATTTACACAGATGGTATTATTGTGTCTCTTACTTCTGGCAGACAATTTTAACTTAAAAAAATATTATTTTCATTAATTTTATTTATATAAAATACCAACAATGTCAAATAAATAACAATTCATACTTCAAAGCACTAGATTACGATACAATAAAAATTCACAATTAAATTAACAGTCTCTGGAGAATGCACAAAAATCTTCTGACAGTGACTGTACAGTAGTGTCGATGTCATATTGTGAACGACGTGGTGGTCCCTCTGGTGTGCTCTCAGTAGATGAAGGCGTGGAGTTGGCAGACTTCATGATAAGGGTAGATAACTCTTGGACTTGGTTCCATTTCTTCTCTCTATATTGGTTGTACATCTTACGGATACCAAGTGTAATTGACTTTTGAGTCATCAGATGTTTACTGTAACCATGACTGCTATTGATGTCTGCTGTAAACAAGTAATGGTCTAGTTTCTGGATTTTACCATCCAATAAATTGAGTTGAGTAATTGCTTGGTCATGTGCTGTGAGTAAGGTCTTGAGCTGCTGAGCATAGTATAGGACAGTAGAGTATTCCATTATTGTATTGGTAGTATTCAGGTTAGGAGACTTGTGAATTGATTTGAATAACCTTTACCAAAATATGGTCCTGTATATATATCTTTACAATTTACTCAATATTAAAGTTAGCTTGTGTTGGGCTTGTGTTTGTACTGAAATCTTCTCACTTTTGTTACTTCCTGCAAGGTAACATTAAAAGATTCTAGCACAATGCATTAAATTAATTAGTATAGATAAAAGGGAGTAATTAATTCATAATTGAAGATGAAAGAAATTAATCAATTCATAATTGAAGATGAAAGAAACTAATCAACTAATAATTAAAAATGAAAGAAATTATTCGATTCATAATTGAAGATGAAAGAAATTAAAAAAGTAATGATTGAAGATAAAAGAAATTAATCAAGTAGTAATTGAAGCTAAGAGAAATTTGTAAGCAATAATTGAAGATAAAAAAAAATTTAAGTAATAATGAAAAATATATTACACAAAAGAAAATTTTCAAAAATTTATCAGAAAAATGTAAGACATAACAATAATAGAATAAAACAAAATTATAATGAACAATAAGTCTAGTAGGATCTTGCCAAATATTAGTATTATCAATTAACAGGAAGTTAGTCAGTCAGTTTGAAACATCATTTCTGTAATTTTGCAACATGTCAATTGTGAAGTTGTATGACTTATATTGAGAAATGTTTTGGGCTAGAAAATAAATAGGCCACACATGATTTAGATGATATTACATATGGCAAAGTTCTGATATAAATGTAAATTCAAGTTACTCTAAGTTTAATATAAGATATTACTTATGTTTCATGTTGCATAACATAGTATTTTAGAAGGTTGATCTTAGATTGAACTTATCAAATATCTGCCTCTGCTTATGCATCCCTAAAAGCTGAAAACTCAAAAAAGAAATAGTGGCAAATTTCTTTGCATATTTTTTATCACTATCCTTGTCATTAGAGTAGACTGTGATTTTCAGTGAACCATTGGTCAATTTGTCTGGCGTTTGCCAAGAGTTAATCTCAAAACAAAAACACCAATACAACCACACAGTAGATTACAAAGACACTACTTAATGTTGGATTATTGACTTTTTACAGTTACAATGTAAAGTGACCAGGTTATCTTATTTTTTAGACATATTTATACATCATCTTAAGTAATATTATACAATTATAGCCTTTGTATGAGGTCGATACGTAGTTATATGGACCTAAGAGCAGCATATTGACCGAGGATGAAGTCCGAGGTCAATATGCTTCTCTAGGTCAATATAACATCCCATTGACCTCAACCAAAGGCTACAATTGTTATATTATTAATCAACAACTATTGCATGAACAATGTAAAATTGGGGATTTCTAGAATGTATTTTTAGTAACATGCTGTATGCCCTATGCAATATGCTGTTTTTGACCTACAAAAAGCTGAACACAACAGTATTGGCATGCCAACTGAGTAAATACAAAAGTCCATGTCATCAAGTTTTAACGAATCACAAATCCTTAAAAATATTCGATTAATGATATTATACAATTAGAGCCTTTGTATGAGGTTCATACAAGGATACATTGACCTGAAAGAAGTATATTGACTGAGGACGAAGTTGGAGGTTGATATACTTCATTTGGTCGATATATCCTGTATTGACCTCATACAAAGGCTATAATTGTTATATTATTAATTTCCCACCATATTTGTATCATAATCGTCAGTGTAGTATAGTCGATCATTTGATTTTGTCGAAATTTAATAGATATCATATTGTCTCCTAGACAATAACAACATAATAGTTGTTATTTCATTTATTTTTTATGGTTTTTTTTTTTGTACATTTTATGTATTTGAATATTTTTTTCTTCAAATAATCGATCATAAATATACAATTTTAAAAAACTTTTAACAATATCATGAAATTCATCACATGACGTCACAAAGTATATCAGTTTTTAGATATTCTAAAAATAACCGTGCAATATGCTTTTTGCTATCCGCCGTTTTCTATCTACCTTCGAAAATATAGTTTAACATGTGACTATCCCTGAACGAATCAAATTAGTTAAAATATACAAATTAATAATATCATATAATATCTTTGAAGTGAAAACCAATGGATCATGTATGTGGATTGATAAAAGAACGTAGAATGATATATATTGGTCTATTTCAGAATGCATTCCCAGTACAAGGACTGTTCTCGACCCATTTACTGTCACTAGATGCTCTGCTGTCCATAATAGATTGTATAGAACCTCATTGCTACAACAGAATATTGGCTAAACAGAAGACTGAAAGCACTGGTATGTAATTTACTTAATTGTCAGATTCAAGAATAAAAGATACATACATATCAACAGAATACATTTAGTCTATATTGAATTTCAGAGACCATATCACTGCAGTCTTAGCTCTTATTGAATGAAACTGATGAAAAAAAATTTGCATGTTTACCACAATTTATGTTCAAAGATGATTTATTCTATTTTTTCAGCATTAAAAGAAAATCAGACAACAGAACTAGAAGTAAACACTGAAGGATCGACCTCCAAACAAGGTCATTATAAAACAATAAGTTATTATTAATGTTTTAGTTTGATTTATTATGCTGAATTACATGTTATAAATTGTAGACTTTTCTACAGTACAACATTAAGCAATAAACAATGTCCATTTCTATATTTTATCATCTTGTACCACATTGAATGATAATGGAATTTTGGAAGTTTGGCCCAATAAGAGGGGAAAGCCTGTTTATTTATTGAACTTGGAACAGGTAGTTTTTGAAAAACATGCATTTTCTCACTTTTACATCATTAAGATATGTCTTGCAAACAAAAAGATTAGTTTAAACACATTTTATTTGCAAAATACCACAAAAAGGATTAGAAACAAGTTAGTCCAACTTAAATCTAAAAAAGATGAAACTTTTTCATCACTAAATGTATTTTGACATAAATTAGTAAAAAAAACCTACGACATAATATTATTATAATGATTGTTTAGAAAGTTATTCCTATTAAATCAAATATTACCAGTAAATAGCTATTCTTAAAGAAGTACCAGTTCATTGAAAAAATCAAAAAAAAAGGATACATTTTTTGTATAAAGTTGAATTTTGGCTCTATAGTGGACCTATAACTTCTCAATTATTATTTGGTAGATTCAAAAATAAGTAAAGAAATAAATGTAAAGAAGAACCAAAATGTCAGACAGAACAGAATGAAGGTAACAGAAGAAAAAGTTCCCACTTCAGATGAGATAGCATCCACAAGACATAAAAAGAAGGTATGATTATAAATAATAGGAAAAAATGTATATGTGCAAATTTCAATTTCATATCTAAACTTTTGATTTATTAATAAAATGTTAGGACTTTTTGGTCATTACAGTAGAACTTGACTTAATTGCTTAAATTATCCAGATTTCTCTGATGGTAGACATAAAACACATTCTGTCTCTTTTTAATGATATACCAATAGTAGTAGATACAGTTTACTATTGTGACATGATTAATTAGCCTGAATTTATTGTATCAGAAAATGAAAATAATACTTTGTAAGTTTCATGCATCCAAAGTGGTTTTTCTGGATAAGGCTTCACCAGGATTGGTCAAACACACACTATGGAAGCCAAGGATGTATAGATATCCAAATAAGTGAGGAGCTATATATAAACAAAGGGACCTAAATGGTATAGCCAAATTCATTGAAGGTCAACATTCAGAATATTGCAATAAATTATCTGACCATTATATGTTAGGCGAAAATTGCTTATCTTAGACATGGTAGAAATCTGTTAGCAACAAAACATTGTTTCCTTTTGCATGACAACTCATTTGCTCCAATGCTACGTTTGTGCAACTAGTTTTCAAAAGTGCCTTTTTTCATAATTATTAAAACAATGAGTTTCCATACACTTTAATAGCAATGAACTTCTTGTAACTAATATAAAGAGATTATTTATTACAGGTGTATTATGAAGGAACAAAACAATTTAATGTAAAGCCTGCCAAAGGTATTCAGTATTTACAAGAACAAGGATATCTAAAATCTCCACTGGATCCTAATGAAGTTGTTATCTTCCTGAAAGAAAACCCACGTTTAGATAAAGCACAGATTGGAGAATATATCAGTAGGAAGACTAATGGTGAAGTCCTCAAAGCTTTTGTCACGTAAGCATAGGAACTCTGTTAATAATAAGTTATTTGATTAGTAGACACTTGTATGTCAGAGAAAATGGTGACTGGCTAGTATTTAAAGGCTATCAATTAGGTATTAACCTATATATTTAAATCTGACTAGTTCTGAATAAATAGATGACAATAAACTCTAAAATAACAGAGAAGCAGAGAATATATTCCATATTAGTTTTGATCAGATAAATAAATGACTTACTAACATTATTACTTTTTATTCCATGAATAAAGAATGTAACAATTATTTGTTGTATATTGTGGTAACACATTTTAAATGGCTGCATGTTTGAAACCAAAATTTTAAAGTTTAAGTTCTAAGGAAGTTCTTGACTTTATTTTACAATTGAATCAACTTGTAGCTACACATATGGATTGGTTGGCTGTAGATATAAATGTATCTACAAAAGTGCTTAACTGACTAATAGTTTATGTGTATACTTTTTATAGGTCATTCCACTTTGAAGATTTAAGACTTGATGAAGCATTAAGGTTGTATCTAGAGGCATTCCGACTTCCAGGAGAAGCTCCTGTTATATCTTATTTAATAGAACACTTTTCAGAACATTGGTCGGTGAGTTGAAATACATGTGAAAATAAAATAATGATTTGCACAATCTACAGATCTATTATAATAATGTGAATTCAGAAATTAATGTGTGCAAAACTGCTAGATCTAATTAATGCTGCTACAAAATTTTTATGAAGGATAATCACTACTGAAATTATGAATGCAAGTTTTTATACGACCGCAAAAATTAAAAAATTTTTGGTCGTATATTGGTATCACGTTGTCGTCAGCGTCGTCCGAAGACAGATGGTTTCCGGATAATAACTTTAGTATAAGTAAATAGAAATCAATAAAATTTTAACACAAGGTTTATAACCACTAGAGGAAGGTTGGGATTGATTTTGAGGGTTATGGTCCTAACTGTTTAGGAATTAGGGGCCATAAAAGGGGCCCAAATAAGCATTTTTGTAGTTTCCAGACAATAACTTGTGTTCAAGTGTGTGAATCTCTCTGAAATTATACCACAAACTTCCATACAACAAAGGGATGGTTAGGATTGACTTTGGGGGGTTATGGCTCAAACCATTTAGTTATTAGGGGCAAAAAAAGGGGAAAAACAAGGGTTTTTCTGGTTAAAGGACAATTGAGACAATTTAAAAGCAGTGTAAGGGAGGTAATCCAATTCAAATTAAAGAACACTGTTTCATTACCTCCCTTACACTGCTTGTAAATTATGTATTAAGAAATGATGATTGTCTTGAGGTGATTAGCTGTCAATTAATTTTTAGCAGTTACTATTAATTAATATTAATTTTAGCCACGACTATGTATGTCATTTTATATTTTAAAACTTTTATGATGTATTTAAATGGGTAATTTTGGTTGCAAACTGCATTAGAAATTTGAATTGAGATACTGACCATATCTTGAGGGAAAGAATTTTTTTGGGGAATAAGGGAAAGGGGGGAGGTGAAAAAAAATGGAGGGGGGACAATTTTTCTCATTTCAGATTTCAGAAATTAAAAGAAAATTTCTTCAAATATTTTTGTGGGGGGTTAATATTCAACAGCATAGTGTATTGCACAAAAGCAAAAAACCAGGGTAAAATAATTTTTTTTTGGTAGGGGGGGTCAATTCGCAACAGCATAGTGTATTGCACTAAAGCAATAAATTGAATGTAAATTCAAATCATATAACCAATTTGAAGTTCTTTGACTACAGTTATTCTGTGTCAGAAACCTATTATGTGTCAAAAATTTAGTTATAATCCAAATTCAGTCCTGTACCAAGCGTGAATATTGTGTCCATTTTGGCCCAACTTTTCAGGGTTGGACATCTGCGGTCGTATCCAGCTGCGCTCAGCAAAGCAATTTATTATTATTGCCAAACTGATACTGTCACATTTTTCTCATTAATAAAAATATCTCATTGATTTTATGAATTTATAGTATTAGAAATGAAACCAGTTGAACAATTTTTGAAATGCATTATTTTAAAGAAAAAAATGATGAAATAACAATAAAAAAGAAGGCTAGTGAACTTAACAGTTTGCAGGATGGATCAACTCTGTGATGAAAGTCAATGAACATTAAATGTGACTGATAGCTTTATTTAGTAGAGTTACAAGCATTGGGTTTAATCAGATGTGATTTGATTGCTATAACAACAGTAAAGCCTACAATAAAAAACCTTCACACTTGTAAAAGACACATTTTTATGTCTTGAAGCGCTTTTCAGTTGTTTGTGAAAAATAAGTATAATAGTTTTCAAAAGTTTTATATGGTGATGAATTCAAAGAGATGTAATATGATAAGATGACAATCATCATATAACTATGATGCAGCCTTTATTTTCACCTATGCCATAATTATGTTTTTTTTTTCCAGAAAAGTAATGGAGAACCATTTGCTAACTATGATGCAGCTTTTACTTTAACCTATGCCATTATTATGCTGAATGTTGATCAACATAATCATAATGCCAAGAAACAAAATATACCTATGACAAATGTGGTGAGTTTTATGACGTATAAGAGGGTTAAGCCAATAAGACAAAAATCCAACTATTAAAAAAAAAAACCCAACTAAAATGACATTTTAAGAGGTCAAAATGTATTTTGTAAGACTCATTCAGCTAGACTAAGTAGAGCCTGGTTATCTGATTATAATATTTTAAGAATCATTGTCTTTTACCGCTTATATAATGTACAAACTGTAATAATAAATTGATTCTACAGCTGATATTAGATATTTGTCAATGGCCTAGTTCTCCCTGGTTATTTACATTCAGCTGATATGAGATATATGTCAACAGCCTAGTTTTCTTTGGTTGTTTATAGTAAAAGGTATTGCCAACAGATTTTGCAGCTATAGAAAATAAATTATGTAGAAACAATTTGATATATGGTATGTTAAAAACTGTACCAAAATTTCTGAAGGAAACAAATGCTATGATACAGTCATTATCACAGATTTAAAAATGTAGATATGTTCTATAGTGAAGAAAAAAACTTTAGGAAATGTTGATTTGTACTTTGAATTGACAAAATCATTAAATGTTCATGCTGTTGTTAATGCAGAAATATTTTTATTTTATAGGAATTTAAAAAGAATGTGAACAAATGTAATGGTGGTCAAGATTTTGACCAAGATATGTTGGAGGAGATTTATAATGCAATAAGGTAATCTGAATACACTTTTGTCACCTTCAAAGCCCTTAGTATGATGTGGCAGTGATAGTAATGTACAAAGACTTGCATTATAAGATGATAGAAGTGTCTTTAGTTTTATTGGCTCTCACAGTTTTTTTCAGGTAGTGAAGTAGTCAAACACACAGTTTTTAGTCTGTTGTTGCTTCAGTTTTGGGCTCCAGTTTGTCTTGACACATGAAACTTCCATTTTCGAGTTTTTGAATATTGTCCACTACCTGGTAGATGTTAAAAAGTCCAGCAACTTTTTTAATTTTCTTTTTGTCATGGTGGTGAATAGACAATGTAAACGACCTCATAATCAAGGTTCAGTAATTTCAGTTTGAATATTCATGATAAGATTTAATAGTTTTTGTCAACTTTATACCATTTATAGGTACAATGTAAAATGAGCATATTTGTCTGACTCAAGTAACTGACCTTGACATTTTTTAACAGTTTAGTGTTATGGGTAGGTTGGTTCTATTGAGAAGTCATACCAATAACTTGCCTATGCATTTTTATCTTTCAGGAATGATGAAATTGTTATGCCATCAGAGCACACTGGATTGGTTAAAGAAAATTACATGTGGAAGGTTTGTTTAATCTTCGCTATAACCTTTCAAAAGAAAAAAAAGTTTGACCTTTTAGAATCACTGCTTTAAGATTATACTATTTTGTATAGGGTTGCATAAATTACAGCAGAAATTACATTTTTATGCCCCCGCCGTAGCAGAGGGGGCATTAAGTTTTACTCTTGTCTGTCCATCCGTCCGTACGTACATCCGTATGTCCCAAAGTTGGTTTCCGTTCTCTAACTTTAGTTTGCCTCAACCAAATGTTATGAAACTTATAAAGAATGCTAATTACCACAAAATACAGATCAAGTTTGAATTTTGGTGGTGTCACTTTTACCGTTCTAGAGTTATGCCCCTTTACAAATGGAAAAATTGCTTAAATATTCGTTTCTGTTCTCTAACTTAAGTTTGCCTCAACTAAATGTTATGAAACTTATAAACAATGCTTATTACCACAAAACTCAGATCAGGTACAAATTTGGGTAGCGTCACTTTTACAGTTCTTGAGTTATGTCCCTTAATAATGTTATATGCAAGCGGGGGCAACATCTGTGTCCCATGGACACATTACCCATTTATTTATGATGGTTCTTTATAGGAATTTGGGTTTGATAATTTGTAAGTTAAAAATATGTCAAAATTATGCTTGGCATATGAATACATTACATTAAGGCAATTAGGGCTGTAAGTGTGTACACTGTCAAGGCAGCTATACCATTCGACATGGTACAGATATATTTTTATTTAAATGCAGAATAGACAATTACTGAAGATTCATTTGTAATTCAACATTTCATTCACTTCTCTTAGAATAACCTACCATGATGAGCTTTGTCTTAAAGTTGAAGAGAATTGTTTCCCCTTGTATTCCATTTTTACGGTCACTATGCTCAAATGCAAATTTTACAGGCAACTTTTCAAAAGCAAATATCTTCTTTTTCATCTACAGAAAAAAATTAAATGGTTGATGATTACTTTCTGGCACATTCCTAGTTTCACAGTATTAGGTCCGGGAACACAGTCATCGTCCTTTGATTTTTTGTTGTCTACAAATTTAGTCCCTACTGTGAACAGTGTATTAGTTTCAATTTTTTTCATACTCCTTCCAAATTTATTTCTTCATGTTTTATGCCTCAAATAGCAAGTAGGGGGATGAAATTACACTAAAAAAATTTGGGTCATGAATTATAAAGTAAAGTAGTGATTTGGTCCAGCTGAAAAAGGTTAAAAATTAGCATGTCTGAAGCTGTCAAAAGAATTCAAGACCCCCATAACATAAAATTGTCCATATTTTGAGTTAGAGCTAATGAAGTTTTGTATAATTTTGATATAATTTGTTCCAAAAGTAGTACACAACATTGTAAAAATATTATTGAGAAAGCACAGGTGGGATTTTTTTAATTTTCATTTATTGTCTAAAAGAAATGCACTACGGTTTAATAACTGTGTTCTCAGGCCATTAATAATTTATGTTTAGTAACTAAATATGTAATAAAAACCTATTTTAGGAAGAAATGAACTATTATTTATGTGTTGATAGGTTTTATTACGTAGAGGAGGATTTAAGAAGAAATGAACTATTATTTATGTGTTGATAGGTTTTATTACGGAGAGGAGGAACAAAAGATGGAACATTTATACATGCCCCACCTGGTTCCTTTGATCATGAACTATTCAACTTGACCTGGGGATCAACAGTAGCTGCTTTGTCATTTGTTTTTGACAAGAGTAGTGAAGAAGCCATTATTCAGAAGTCCATAACAGGATTCAGGTAAACCTTGATAAGCCTTGTTATAATTAAATTAGTATCACTGGTATCTGTTCCAATGTTTTTTAAAAGTCAATTTTTCAAAGTATATTCTTTGTTTGATGTAGTTTTTCAATCAGACATTTATTGTATTCATTTAAAAAATTACCTGGTAATTATAGGTCTTGAAGCAATGAATCAAACATCTTTTATGATGCAGTAAAATCTCTACATTAAACCATGTGTTAAATGTGATACTTTGATTTTGGTAATTTTGAATAAAAAATTATATCTCAAGTTGCATTACCTAACTACCTTAAAATTATAAATTAGTGATGTTCTAATTGATGTAAATTTGTTTTCAGGAAATGTGCCATGATTGCAGCTTACTATGGAATGAGTGATGTTTTTGATAATCTTGTTATATCCTTATGTAAATTTACAACTCTACTTAGTGCTCATGAGGTAAGGAAAAAGAAACATACATGCAAAATGATTCCTTATTTTCTTTGACTCCAAAGGATCAGAATACTGTTTCATTGCATATTTAAAAACCCAGACATCATTCTGTGTGATAAGATTTGGGTAGATTTAAGAATTATGAATGTTACTATTGACTTATCGTTTAATTGATGCTGCTTTGCATCCAGTAGCAAATATTACATGCATCATTACTTCTCAAGGAAATATGATTTAATCCTGCCAGGCTGAGTCAAATTTTTAACATGCTAGCTCACAAGGTAAGTCCACAGGAAAGACTTTTCCTCTACCTAGACACACTATTCTAACTTTGAGCCAGCAAAGTCTTGTTCTTTCTCCTAAATGCCACCAAATGATTGTAATATTTCTGAATATGAAATTTTGTTAGAAGAGTAATAAAAGATATTGGAAATTTTATTTAAGATTAAAATGAAATTTTGTATTCATGCAAAATTTCATAAATTTGTACAGATGAGTAAATTTTGAGACATACTTCTGGTGTGTTCTGAATTTTCTACTGATTGATGGGAAAAATTGTGCAAGTTTTGAATTCATACATTAAGCAACATTTTAAGGACAATAAAAACTAAATTTGTGGACATCTTTTAAGGATAAAATTGAGAATGGAAATGGGGAATGTGTCAAAGAGACAACAACCCGACCATAGAGCAGACAACAGCCGAAGGCCACCAATGGGTCTTCAATGCAGCGAGAAACTCCCGCACCCGGAGGTGTCCTTCAGCATGCCCCTAAACAAATATGTATACTAGTTCAGTGATAATGGACGCCATACTAAACTCCAAATTATATGTATTCTTGTGATGTTTCAGTCTCGCTGAAATCTCGTTCTGGAATAATTTCCAAAACTTGATACAAGTGGAAAATATCAATGAAATTCAAAAATGTTATCATTAAACTTAACTTTGTGAAAACATTGTGTATTTACAATAAATAGTTGTTGAGTAATCAATTTTTATACGACCGCAAAAAAATTTTGAGGTCGTATATTGGTATGACGTTGGCGTCGTCGTCGTCGTCGTCGTCGTCGTCCGGCGTCGTCGTCCGAATACACAATGGTTTTCGCACTCTAACTTTAGTTTAAGTGAATGGATCTCTATGAAATTTTACCATAAGGTTCAATACCACAATAGGAAGGTGGGGATTGATTTTGGGGGTTATGGTACCAACAGTTAAGGAATAAGGGGCCAAAAAGGGGCCGAAAATAAGCATTTTTGTAACTTCCAGACATAACTTGTGTGTTAGCATATGGATCTCTTTGACATTGTACCACAAGATTCCATATCACAAAGGGTCAATGCTGGGATTGATTTTGGGGTTAATTGCCTCAAAATTTTAGGAATAAGGGGCCAAAAGGGGGCAAAAAACAAGCATTTTTCTAGTTTCATGACAATAACTTGTGTGTAAGTGTATGGATCTTTCTGAAATTTTACTACAAGGTTCCATTTCACAAAGGGAAAGCTGGAATTGAGTGTTGTGGTAATTGCCCAAAACATTTAGTAATAAGGGGCCTAAAAAGGGGTTTAAAATAAGCATTTTTTAGTTTCTAGACAATAACTTGTGTTCAAGTGTATGGATCTCTCTAAAATTGTATTACAAGGTACCATACCACAAAGGCAAGGCTGTTATTGAGCTTGGTTTGGGGGGAAAGGGGGGTGGGGGTGATGAATCATAAGGGGGGCGGGGGTCAAAAAAGGGGTAATTTTTTTTTTTCCTTTTTTTTTTGTTTAAAATTTACATTTTAAGTTAGTTATTTTTTTATCACGAAGAGAAAGTAGGAATTGAGTTTTGGGGTTAATTGCTCAAACATTTATGAATAAGGGGCCAAATATTGGTCGAAAATAAGGATTTTTTTAGTTTGCAACAAAAACTTGTGTTCAAGTGTATGGATCTCTGTGAAATTGTATTGCAATGTACCATACCACAAATTGAAGGTTGTGATTGAGGTGGGGGATGATGAATCAAAAGGGGGTTGAAAAAATGTGTGGGGGGTAGGATTTTTTTTTTCCTTTTTTTTTCTTTAAAATTTTCCATTTAAAGATGGTTGTTTCAGATTTATATATGAAAGAAAATAATAATGATACGGTTATATATCATGAGGAATTGAAATTTAAAATTATGTATATTGGAAATTTAGGTTACATTGGAAAGTAATAATTGGCTTTGGGGGGGGGTTGGGGGGGTGGTTATGGCTCTAATGTTTAAGGAATAAGGGGAAAAAAGGTTAAAAAACAAGGGTTTCCATTTTAATAGACAAATAATTGAGTAAAGAACATTATTTAAAAGCAGTGTAAGGTTGGTAATTCAAACTCATTTAAATATCTCATCTACACTGCTTTTAAATTATGTAAATTGGAAATTTGCCAATAACTTTATTGTTAATAAATGCATTGGAAATTTGCCAACAATTTTAGTGTAATAAACTTCATTGGAAATTTGCCAATATAAAATTTTGCTGATGAAGGTTTTTTGTTTACCTTTAGCCTTGACTATGAAGTCATTTTCTATTTTTATAGCCTTATGATGTAGTTGAATTATTTAATACTTTTATGATGTGTTTAAATGGAGTTTTATCATGTTTATGCTTGCAAATTTATTGTTTTAGTATAATAAACTCCATTTAAAATTTGCCAATAAAAAAAAATTTTGTTTATTTTTAGCTATGATTATGATGTCATTTTTTATTTTACTTTAATGGTTGCAAAGAAATTTTTATTTTTAGATATTACTGTTAAATGATGCTGATTAAGGTTTTTGCTATGTTTAGCCATGACTATGATGTCATTTTCTATTTTAATATCTGTTATGATGTATTTAAATGGGCTTTTATGGTTACAAAGAAATTTTATTTTTAGATATTACTATAAAATGTTGCTGATGCTGATTAAGGATTTTGTTTATTTTTAGCCATGACTATGATGTCATTTTCTATTTTAATACCTTTATGATGTAATTTCCATTTTTAGATATTACTGTTAAATGATGCTGATTAAGGGTTTTTTGCTATGTTTAGCCATGACTATGATGTCATTTTCTATTTTAATATCTGTATGATGTATTTAAATGGGCTTTTATGGTTACAAAGGAATTTTATTTTTAGATATTACTTTAAATGTTGCTGATTAAGGATTTTTGTTTATTTTTAGCCATGACTATGATGTCACTTTCTATTTTAATACCTTTATGATGTATTTAAATGGGCTCCCATGTATTTAGATTTTTGATTATTTATACATGTTACCAAATTGGTCCACATTGAACAAAAACGGTCCAAATTTCAACTTTATTACATTACATCAAACATTGAATTCTACATATTCTTTGATATATTGAAATTAACAAACAATTTAGTTTATGGATATTCCACCATAATAGGTAAATTAAATTTTTTCCAGTTCTTACACCACATTCATCCTGTGTCAGAAACCTATGCTGTGTCAAATATTTAATGACAATCCAAAGTCATAGCTGTATCAAGCTTGAATTTTGTGTCCAAACTTGCCCCAACTGTTCAGGGTTCGACCTCTGCGGTCGTATCAAGCTGCGCACCAGCGAAGCATTTTATTCAAATTTTACGACCAATCAAGTCAGTCTTTTTAGCCAAAATTTTGAGAAAATGAGTGTGGGTACAAAAAATGATTTTACCAGAATCATGTACATCCCATATCATATTTTTCTTTTCAAATTTCTTAGATATGTATTTTTTCAATCATTTATAACAAAATAGTTGAAAAAATAAGCATTTTGTTCTTAAAACTGAGAAAAATCACAAATTTACAAAATTGACAGCATGGTAAATTTGACACAAAATAGCATCAAAATATGATAAAACTATCTTATATTAACACCTACCTATAGTTTTTTTAGTTAAATTTATTCAGATTGGTCGACTTCATCTTTATTGAAAGTATGAAAAAAAGTTTAATTGTGGAACTGTGATTTTTTTCACGATAATAGCCTAAAAATTGATAAAAAACTGGAAAATCATCAAAATTGGGTACTTTCAAAGGGCCGTAGCAAAAATAGAAGTGCACCACCATAAGATTTTTTCTTCACCAATTATTTTTTTACAGTCATATAAACCCAAAAATCAGGTTAAGAAAAAAAGTTTAATTCTAGAAATTTTTGGCTCCTCAGAGGTGTACATCCTTAAGCTTTATGACAGGAAAACAACAGATTTAATGTATGTGCTTGAATATCATGTATAAAATAATTTATGTATTACAGAATCCTGAGAGTATATCTGTGTCGTTTGGAGGTAACATGAAAGCTAAACTAGCAGCACAGACTGTGTTTCAACTGACTCACAGACATGGGGATATACTGAGAGAAGGATGGAAGAATATCTTGGACTGTATGATACAATTGTTTAGAGCCAAATTGTTACCTAAATCATTAATTGAGGTATGTTGTAATACAAATTGTATAAAGTAATTTTTAATTTCACATACTGTAAATTCAGAAATTATTGCGAGGTTTTTATTATTGCGACAAATGCGACAGAGTTGTAAACGCAATAATTTAAACTCGCATTTTGAAATATTTCATATGAACTAAACAGGATTTTTCTCAAAATCGTAAAAATTAAAATCGCATTTAAGTCTAAAATTACAAAATTGCAATAATAAATGCACGCAACTAAAATGCGATTTTTATTTTTGCGATATTGAGGAAAATCCTGTTTAATTCATATAAAAAATTTCAAAATGCGAGTTTAAATTATTGCGATTATAACCCTGTCGCATTTTTCGCAATAATAAAAACATCGCATAAATTTCTGAATTTACAGTAGTCTAGGTTTTGGCAGGAATATTGCTTAGAAAGATGACGTTCTACTTTAATCCAGTAGTGGGACACTTTATTAAACTACCAACCACAAAATATTTTTTTCCACATTTCTGTATTATTTGGAAGATGTATTCAGGGAGTATACTATCATCCACCAATTACTAATTTTAAATGCCTCCATACTACCCTATAAAGTCAATATTGGAACAGTCTTTATTGTTTTGTTTGGATTTTCCCCAATTAAAATTATTTATTTTTTCAGGTTGAGGATTTCATTGACACATCAGGGAAAATATCAATAATCAGAGAGGATAACACAACGTCACAAAGGTATAGAATCATGATACAATTCTTATCTTCTTTACATGTCTGTTTTTTTTTTAAATATTTGTTTTTTATTTAACATTTAGTAACACCTGATGAATAATAGTTGTCGGAATTTATAAAATATATCAATTCATTACCAGATTATAAAATACTGAGCACTCAACCCTTCCCTTTTCAACTTGATAAGATAAACCAAAAATGGTTCATATAAGAGTTAACAATAAAAATTTGTTAAGGAAACAATCACTTATTTTAAACTCTATAATTCATTTATGACAGACAAAAGAACACCATAGGTACCAGTAAAACCCTAATAAATAATACTGTATTGTGCTGGCAGTTACTCAAAGTATTGAATGTAATGATATGGAATTATGCCTTCCTGTACCACACATAGTCTAGCCTGACTTGGTACAGTTACACAAGTTTCATGTGCCCCCCCCCACCCCACCCCCTGAATTCAAATTAGTACCTTTAAATACCAATGCAAGTTTGAGCAACAACAGTAGTTTTAAATGGTTTTAAATGAATCTTAGAATTGACTCATCACAAGTCAAGAGAATTATGATTTTTTATAACAAAAAAAAACAACTTTGTTATGTTTGATTGATGAACAAATAATGATCAACAAAATAAACAGAATGCAATTATAAAAGATTTTAAAAATCCTTTATTTTCAGCCATTAGCAAATTTTATATAGTGTTAGGGAATTAATTGAATAAATCTATTTATAGATCAGAGAGTGGAGTATTGAGTAGTTTTTACTCCTACTTCTCCATGTCAGAACCAGCCAGTACTAAAGGTCCTACACCAGAGGAACAGGAGGCTACAAGATTTGCTCAAGAATGTATAGAAGAATGTAACCTAGAAAACCTCATCACTGATAGTAGATTTTTAAGAGAAGAATCACTACAGGAACTTGTCAAGGTAATTTTATCAAAAAAAGTGTTGAATTCAAGGAAATATTTTTCATTTGCTATTTTGTAAAGAGTGTCGTTCATCTGTAACGCTTTTGCTTTGAGTACATAATAATTGCTGCCAACATTTTTGAAGACTCTTGGTGAAAAGTTATGAATTTGTGTTATATTGTGCATATTTTGTATTCATATTTACATGTATTTTATAAATAAAAAATATGATGATTGTTAAAAGTACAAATGGTGTGAGTAGCTTGGAAATCAGTGAATTAGAGGAATAAGATCTAGTAAGATCAAGGATCTATTGTAAATTTTATACAACTCAGCTCTAAAATTGGAACATTTTCTTGTTTTCAGGCATTAATAGTTCAGTCACAAGGCCCAGAGGCCCATGTTTCTTCAGAAACTGCTTTTGATGAAGATGCTGCTGTATTCTTCCTAGAGTTTCTTATAAAGGTTGTTTTACAAAACAGGTACGTCTCTGATTTCAGTTATAAGATATAAGTAGTTTCAAGGTAGATAGATCTTCTTCTTTTATGGATAACATGTTCATTTTTAACAAATTTGGGTAATTATGTTTTTTGGTCTGCATCTGTCCATTAAAACTATATATCAAATTACAGGTTTTATCCTGTTTTCACAGTTCACTGAACACGGAAATGTGATACTGGAAGCGAGGCTCATTGACCTATGGACATATATTCTTGTTTGGAAGAATATTTTATGGTCGTCAATAGTAAAAGTAAATTACTCAGAAATTCTTTGATGTAATTGATCAATGCTAAAAATACTGAATCTTAATTTCCAAAAATCATATTTGTATAATATTTTTATCAAGAATTTTACTCTATAGAAGTCAATGGAAGTGGCACCTTTATTCTATTTTTGATAATAAATATCAACTTGATATAAAATGTGGAGATGGGGTAGGATTGCCAATGATACAACTAACCATTAAAAGACCAAACGACAAGTTAGTGAATAATTCAGGTCACTAGCTATAAAAGACCCTGAGATGGCAAAATGTGAAACAATTCAGGTCGCTGGCTATAAAAGACCCTGGGATGGCAAAATGTGAAACAATTCAGGTCACTGGCTATAAAAGACCCTGGGATGGCAAAATGTGAAACAATTCAGGTCACTAGCTATAAAAGACCCTGGGATGGCAAAATGTGAACAATTCAGGTCACTAGCTATAAAAGACCCTGGGATGGCAAAATGTGAAATATTTCATAAGAGAAAATGAACAGCCTAATCTATACTACAACAATAAAAAAAAAATAAATAATGGCAGACACCAACCAATGACAACCATTGAATTACAGAATCCTTGCTCAGGACAGTTGTAGGGTTAGATGTGTTCATGGGTCAGTAGTGTAGCAACACAACTTTAGAACAAACTGTAAAAATCAGTCTTGACTCATCAAATCTATACTTAAGACAAAAACAAATCACAAAAAGGCAAATCATGCAATGAAAAGATTATACAATTGCCAAAAAATTGCATGTTGTACTTAATTACAAGACTTCAAAACACCTGGTCAGGGACAAAGTACAAGTAATATATCTTTTTAAGAATGGGGTAATGGGAAACTGTTTAGAATAAAAAAAAAATCACAACTATAAAGCAAATAAAAATAAATATGGTAATTATAGCTAAATATATTATATTGATAACCTTATTATTTTTCATTATGTTATTTAAAATATAAACCATAAAATTTCAAACATTATAATGAACACTTTCAATTTTTTGTATATTATAGGGATAGAGTAAATTTAGTGTGGCAAGGAGTAAGAGACCATATATATAATCTTGTAGTAAATGCCAGTGAACATACATTCTTAGTAGAAAGAGCTGTGGTAGGGTTGTTACGATTAGCCATTAGACTATTGCGGCGAGAAGAAATAGCACCACAGGTTTTGACGTCATTACGAATAACATTAATGATGAAACCATCTGTGATACATTGCATAACTAGACATATTGCTTTTGGATTACATGACTTGTTACGGACTAATGCAGCAAATATACACACTGGACAAGACTGGTTTACTTTGTTTACATTGTTAGAGGTTGTTGGGGCAGGAGCAAACCCTCCCCCTATTTTACAAGTGTGTTCAGGTGTAGAAATGTCAGAAGCAATATCTGATGCAGGTAAGATCATTATAGTTCATGGAAGGCAAAACAAATAAACTCTTAGTTTTGAAATATACTTATTTTAAATACTTTTGTTAAAAAGATATTAAGGGGCATGTAATTTTTTTTTATGTTTTGCATATATATGGCAAATTTTTTAACATTTGAAACATGAACCAGCTGTCATCATTACATATCGTACGTTGAATTCCAGAAAATGATATAAAACTTAAAAAAAAACAAATTTATATATTTTTGACATTATGAAGAAGGTAGTTTACATCTCATTTGGAGATATTTTATTTTTTCTTGAAATCAGAGGCAATTTCCCCAATCATCAAAAATATGCAGAAAACAGTTGAAAATTATCAAATTTAGGAAATTTCAATAAAAAATGTACTTCTTATTATCATCAGGATAATTTATTGAAGGTAAATGTTTATTTTTACATTCTGGAAGTTGTTGCTTCAGTTCTATAGTACAAACTGTTTCATATATAAAACAAATTTGATTTTTGAAATTTGTTAAGGCCAATTAACACTCTCTATCATTCATCTAGTTTTGATAATTCGCAGAATATTTTTCATTAGAATAAGGCGACAAAAGGTAACAAATAAGAGAATTACTTTGAAATCTGCATTCCTATATCTATGTCAATTAAAAGCCTAATGAAAATCATGAAGTGTTCTTTTGAAATCAATTTACTACAGTGCTAATCCTCCTTCTTACTACAGCTTAAATGTTTCTATCATTTCTGCGCTGTTGATTAAAGGTAAAGTGACAAGCCACAGTTGCCACTGTTTTGTTCCAATGTAATAGTGGTATCTGTGTTATAGTTTACTCTATGTGATATCTGTGTTGCTTGCTTTGCTTGGCCAAATCTTACAATGATTACAATACATGATCTTTTTGTAGTAGAATATTTGTTAAGATAAGATGTTAGGTTTAATTATTGCAACCACCTGTCATATTTTTCACCTTGTTTAAGATCAACCATTACTTTCAGAATCTACACTATTTTTGCTTGATCTGTAGATCAATCTATTACATCTAAAGTGCATTACCAATTTTAGTCCTTAAATTAAGGTGTGGGTATACATCAACCTGGCAGCATGGGTATACATCAATGAGGCAGCTTGGGTATACATCAATGAGGCAGCGTGGGTATACATCAATGAGGCAGCGTGGGTATACATCGATGAGGCAGTGTGGGTATACATCGACGAGGCAGCGTGAGTATACATCAATGAGGCAGCGTGGGTATCCATCAATGAGGCAGCATGGGTATACATCAATGAGGCAGCGTGGGTATACATCAATGAGGCAGCGTGGGTATACATCAATGAGGCAGCATGGGTATACATCAATGAGGCAGCATGAGTATACATCAATGAGGCAGCGTGGGTATACATCAATGAGGCAGCATGGGTATACATCAATGAGGCAGCAATTCAACTACACAAAGGCATACATTCATCTAATGATCTGAAGTCAACATATGGTCTTAAACAATCGACAGGTGTCTATATAATAAGGTCTTAAATTGCATCAAGTCTAGGTTCAAGGGTCAACAAAATACCTGTTGTCCAAGAAACCACTTTAAGACTGATTTGTGATAATGTTGTTAATTTTACTAACTTTTACAGCCTACTGTTTTTTCACAATCTTTACCATCTAATGGTATTGTGCACCTATTTTGATTTTTTTATCAGATACATTTTTTCTGGGTTTTCATCATCAACCATATGCACACTCAGTATACATTTATATCCTGTTATCCACCGAAAGGCCTCATCATAATTTGATGAAATTTCCTCAGAATCTTCACTATATAATATCCTATTATGTTTTTGATCTCAATTAATTTTGGGGTTTCCCTTACCAAAGCATTAACTTTGCAAGGGGATTGGTATCATTATGTGAGCTTAGCTCATAGTACCCCTTGTCTTTTTCAGACAAACGTTGACACAGTAGTTCATCAAAATAACATGTCACATCCTTCAATGTATAAACTGTGATTCTTATTTACAGGTGCTCAGAGTGACAGTGAAGTGACGAGTGTTAGTACATCAGATGGTTATGATAGAGGATATAATTCCGACGGAGATTTGTATGAATCCCAGTCAAAGGCTCATAGGTGTCCTTCACCTCTAGAAGTTAGACCTGTACCAGAAAATGGCAGCTGGTTACTTGTAAGTTTAACAATAACCTGGTACCCTGTAAAGATAGCAGACTTGCCAACTATCCTGATTTATGGGGGATATCCCCATGAGAGGTGTTGACTTGAATTTTGAAATTCTTTATTATATAAACGGAAGACCTCAAAAAAGGCATTCAAATGAGTTAAAAGGGTATTTAAGCACATACATACTCATTCAAACAATATAGTAGTGGATTAAGAAGACTTATGACAATATAAGAGGAGCATAAGGTCCTCTTGCGCTTCAAATCATCCATAGAGATTTTGAAAAGTTGGCAGGTATGAGATAGAACTTCTTGTTTGCTTTTGGGTAAAGATTGCATTCATGCAACCAAACCCTTATGTGACTGACCTGATAGTTATCAATTTTCCAGACTTTATCACCACTTTTGAGATAAACAAAACATAGTGCATTGAGCACTACATTCTATACATTTTAGCCATGACAATTTCAAGAAATTTATCAATGAAATATATACTCAGATATTCCAGTTACAGAATAATTCGTCTAAATAACAGCCCAACAATGTTAGATCTGTAATTTTGCGAATCAAATTTTTTATTCTTCCCTGGCAGGGATTCAAACTCATGCTACTGAGATATCGTGGCACCAAATCACCTTATATATATATATATTTAAAACCATACTCAAGAAAATTATATAAATTGTGCATGGTACATGAAACAATTTGAGTTACTTTCCTTTGTCCATACTACATACATGCTTATTACAATGCAGAATCAATGATATTTTTACCCTTCAGTCCTCACTATTTAATTTTTATTTTTGGTGCTTCACTTTCTGTGTTTTGAAGACATTAAAGAATTGGATGACCAAATCTGTAAAAAATATACACTATGTCATGAATCATACAGGATAAGTTTGATTTTGGAATTTGACATTATAAATGTTAATAACTTGTTAGTTGAACTATCACATTTCACCATTGTTCTTTTGGACAGACCACAGATCTATTCAATCACAATGTGGTGCTATTGATTTTTTTTTATTTTTAAATTTTCTAAGATTACCTATACAATCAAGACCACCTGGTTGACTTGTCTAGGATCATTTATTTTACCTTAATATGCTTAATACCAGGAAAGATTTAAATAATGATATCAAAAGGTCATCCTTTATTTGCATCAACATTTTGACATCAATTATTAAGTCTCCCAAACGAAGTTTGGGAAGACTTATTGTTTTTGCTCAGTTCTTATTATTATTATTATTATTCTTCCTCTTCCTCTTCCTCTTCCTCTTCCGCCGCTTTTAAATTTGAACTTGTCCGCACCCGTTCTCCAAAACCGCTTGTCAGATTAACTTAGGGTTTCACAATATGTTAGACTAACATGTCTAGTGGTGCAATCAGGGTTTTGTTTGTGCAATGGGGTTTATAAAGGGGTACTTTGAGGGGCAAAAAGAAAAGAGGGTTTTACTATAGAACCCTATGGGATTTTATTTTTAAAAATTTTCAAATGATTATAAATTGAAAACCGTTTGTGATAGACACAATCTTTTTAATTGAAAATGTTCTAAATGATAAAACCCATTAAATGAAATACAGGGTTAGTCCCCAGGGGTCACCCCCACCCCCTGCCATTTAAGAAAGTTCTAATACCTTGTAAGTGGTCAAGATCCCCACCCCTAAACCATATATATTCTTGTTTGTCATTCTAAGATGGTTTGAATGATATGCAGGGTTAGTCCCCAGGGGTCATCCCCACCCCCTGCCATTTGAGAAAGTTCTAATATCTTGTAAATGGTCGAGATCCCCACCCCTAAACCATATATATTCTGGTTTGTCATGCTAAGATGGTTTGAATGATATACAGGGTTAGTCCCCAGGGGTCATCCCGACCCCCTGCCATTTGAGAAAGTTCTAATATCTTGTAAATGGTCGAGATCCCCACCCCTAAACCATGTATATTCTGGTTTGTCATGCTAAGATGGTTTGAATGATATACAGGGTTAGTCCCCAGGGGTCATCCCGACCCCCTGCCATTTGAGAAAGTTCTAATATCTTGTAAATGGTTGAGATCCCCACCCCTAAACCATATATATTCTGGTTTGTCATGATAAGATGGTTTGAATGATATACAGGGTTAGTCCCCAGGGGTCATTCCGACCCCCTGCCGTTTGAGAAAGTTCTAATATCTTGTAAATGGTCGAGATCCCCACCCCTAAACCATATATATTCTGGTTTGTCATGATAAAGCACATGAAATGAAATAAGGGTTAGTCCCCAGGGGTCACCCCCACCCCATGCCATTTAAGAAAGTTCTAATATCTTGTAAGTGGTCAAGATCCCCACCCCTAAACCATATATATTCTGGTTTGTCATGCTAAGATGGTTTGAATGATATACAGGGTTAGTCCCCAGGGGTCATCCCGACCCCCTGCCATTTGAGAAAGTTCTAATATCTTGTAAATGGTCGAGATCCCCACCCCTAAACCATATATATTCTGGTTTGTCATGATAAAGCAAATCAAATGAAATACAGGGTTAGTCCCCAGGGGTCACCCCCACCCTATGCCATTTAAGTTCTAATATCTTGTAAGTGGTCAAGATCCCCACCCCTAAACCATATATATTCTTGTTTGTCATGCTAAGATGGTTTGAATGATATGCAGGGTTAGTCCCCAGGGGTCATCCCGACCCCCTGCCATTTGAGAAAGTTCTAATATCTTGTAAATGGTCGAGATCCCCACCCCTAAACCATATATATTCTGGTTTGTCATGCTAAGATGGTTTGAATGATATACAGGGTTAGTCCCCAGGGGTCATCCCGACCCCCTGCCATTTGAGAAAGTTCTAATATCTTGTAAATGGTTGAGATCCCCACCCCTAAACCATATATATTCTGGTTTGTCATGCCAAGATGATTTGAATGATATACAGGGTTAGTCCCCAGGCATCACTAATGCATATAACTTTACTGGACCAAACCAATTTTCACTGGACTTTGCTCAATGTCAGGCGACCATGGGAATTACGAATTATGGGAGCTTCGTTTGGGAGACTTCGTAACAGCATCCTGTTACAATCATTTCTTGTTCAAATTTAATCTATCCTAAAGATTTTCCCACCAAAATTGTCTCTCTTTCAGGATTTTGCCAACTTCCTGTTTACCTTTAACAATATTACAAGTTGTAATATGTTTCAATTGGCATATGACATTTTATATAGATATCCCACCTCAAACTGTTGGGAAAGTCTGCAATAATACTCATTAGTTTTATTTTTTGTCTGAAAAATCAAATTATATCATTGCAAAAGGTTACTGAAGGTCAATCATCAGACAAAAATTATTCATGTTCCTTTTACTTTTCAGGTCAATAGAGAGAACATTTCCACTAAAGAAGAGCAACCAAGAAAAACCAGCTTAACAACAAATCAATATACCATAGAATTAAATGAAGAACTGTATTACTGTGATAGTAAATCTTTATTGAAATCATCAGAAACATTATCATTTCTGGTACGAGATGCTGCTCACATTACACCCTTAAACTTTGAAAGTTGTGTTCATGCAATAAGATCATTTGTGGAAACAAGTCTAAATGGAGGTAAGTAAAAAGCTGTGTTTATACCATTAAGTCATGTTCATAAGATTGTTTGTAAGGTATTGAAACTTTGATAAAAACAAGTTTTATATCTTACTTTGAGCTAAGTTGTCGGTCATTTTGCTATTACAACGTTAACCATGATCAAATTATTGGGACTGACACTTAGCTTTTTCAGCAGATGCTGTACATAGTTGCTTAATCATTTTGTTTTTATTTCTAATTTCCATTACTTCATACTGATAGGTAGTATTTATATAAACTAAGGTAAAGTTAAAATCAGAAGTTATGATAATCATCTAAAACAAACTTCAGGTTGCCACATATTCTCTAATATGTTGGAATCAAATTAAGTCATTTTTTATGCCCCCGCCGTAGCGGAGGGAGCATTAAGTTTTACCGCTGTCCTTCTGTAGGTACGTACGTCCCAAAGTTGGTTTCCGTTCTCTAAGTTTAGTTTGCCTCAACCAAATGTTATGAAACTTATACACAATGCTTATTATCACAAAACACAGATCAAGTTTGAAATTGGGTGCCGTCACGATAACGGTTCTTGAGTTATGCCCCTTTATAAACATAAAAATTGCTGAGTTTTTCGTTTCTGTTCTCTAACTTAAGTTTGCCTCAACCAAATGTTATAAAACTTATACACAATGCTTATTACCACATAATACAGATCAAGTTCGAAATTGAGTGGCGTCAATTTTACCGTTCTTTAGTTATGCCCTTTATAAACATAAAAATTGCTGAATATTTTGTTTCCGTTCTCTAACTTTGGTTTGCCTCAACCAAATGTTATGAAACTTATACACAATGCTTATTACCACAAAACTCAGTTCAAGTACAAATTTTGGAAGTGTCACTGTTACTGTTCTTCAGTTATGTCCCTTTATATCTTAATATGATATGCAAGCGGGGGCATCATCTGTGTCCCATGGACTCATTCCACATTTATCTTTTGTAGGTCGACAGAGAATCCTTTTACCAGAAAAGAAGCCAAAAATGACAAAAAATCAGCACAAAAAATCAAAACTTAAAATGAAAAAGTCTAGTTCTTCACCAAGTCGTTTACATCAGAATATAAACTTATCTGATGAAGAAGGGGAGGTAGAAGGAACTGCTGCAGGAATACATTCTTTATCTATACAGCTATTAGATTTAATGCACACACTCCACACAAGAGCAGCTTCTATATATAAATCATGGGCAGAGGAGGACAAAATTCATCAAGATCCAAATGATACTATAGATGCTGGAACTAATGCATTATGGCTGAAATGTTGGTGCCCATTACTGCAAGGTGAGTTGGAAGGAAGATGTAATAATTGATTGAGAAATGATAAAGTGTAGACATACTTTATGTTTATCTGAGAGAAAAAAAAAGAGAAATATATTGATGATATGAATCTCTTACTTAAAAAAATCCTTAAATTAGGTATGATCCAGTATAAATTTAGATTTTAGACTTTATGCAAAAAGATTGCATTGTTCATAATTGTTCTTAAAATGTTATAACTTAACACTTGGACTGTATATGTACTGACAGAGTTATATGAGTATAAATGAATACAGTCACACCATACATATTATGTCTGTTTTCTTTTCACTGAATAATTATCGCTGATGAATCTGTGAATTCTTACATTTCAGTAACAGATATTTTTATTTACCCATCGAACATTTGTTTTAAAATGTAACACCCCACTGAACCTTTTATCCCTGCTCAACAAAACCATGGAATTTAAATGGATCTTCTTGTTCATTCATCTGAGACGCATGAAAAGTACTGCTTGAACAAATCTTCTGAAACTTTTATGGATGGTTAAAAACAAGTAAAATTCAGTTTTGGTAGATTTAACATTTAGTCTTCAGGTGTTCTGCCTTTGTTGAGTTTTAGTAGGTTTTTGGAAGAGATAACAAGTAAAACTAACCAAATCTAAGGTTTTATACAAATATTGTTGACCATAAAAAACTGATCAGGTTTGACTTTGATGTTTTCAACATGTTACTGTTTGAAGTGTTATTGAAAATTCAGGATTCATTCTTCTTAATTGTCTGATGTTATGACTATACAATACTGGTACTTAAATTCCAATCCTGTTATATCTTTGATCAGTAGATCGTATGATTCTTGTTCTTGGCATCACATTGGTAATGGAATAATATGAAAATAAGGAGGTGTGGTATGATTGCCAATGAGACAACTCTCCACCAGAGACCAAATGACATAGGTTAGCAACTGAAGTTCACTGTACGGCTTCATGAAACCATTAGTATATGGTCCAAATACTTGTATAGTCTACAGCATAATCATAATAAATTATTGTTTAATAAGTTATTGTTTATACAAAATAATGTGCTTACAGGAATTGCAAGATTATGTTGTGATGTCAGACGACAAGTAAGAAGCCAAGCACTAACTTACCTGCAGAGGGCATTGCTGGTTCATGACCTTCAGACATTATCTGCTGCAGAATGGGAATCCTGCTTTAACAAAGTAATTATTTCACTGAGAAAAAAAGAAGAAAAAATCATAAGTTCAGGATCATTTTTATCCTAAATAACAATTACATTGCTGTGGTATTCATGTATTCCTGCAAATTAATTGAGTAGATAAATGTAATGGTGCAATGAAACTATCCCTAAATAATAATATTTTGTTATTGTTTACTGTAAGCCAACTTATTTTTGCTATTAACCCTTTCTACAAGTGAAAATGAAGTGAAATAATCTTTGCAAAAGATAATCGGATTATTTACAGTATTATTTAAGACACATATACAACAGCTGACAAATTTTCTTTCTAGCCAAAAATCAAAATGTTAAAAAAAAAAAAAATAGCTGTCAAGGAAAGAGAGGAAAAGAAAGTTTTGATTTACCTTTGGTTAATACATATTGTCAAATCTTAGTACATACAGCCTTAAATGCATACAGGTATTTGTAATGTGATTTATTTTAGATCAATATTTATAGGGTGAAAGTATCATATTGAGCTGATTTTGTGATCAAGTAAAATGTGTGAAAACATCCCTCAGACAAACAGTTGTAGACAGCAGCAATCATGGTATGAAGGGCAAATATATGGTTCGATGGAAGAATTTGACCCTGGAAAGAAAAGTTTATTCATTGAAATCATGAACATAACAACCAGCTGTAAAACTATCCACAATTACAGTCAAAAAGATAAACCATTAAACTTATTTGAAATTGAACTGTCATTCAGATAGATGGAAGAACTTTTTTACGTGTTATTTACATACATTTTGTTGTATTTTAGGTGCTGTTTCCATTGTTAACCAAATTACTGGAAAATATAAATATACAGGACCCTACTGGTATGGAAGAAACAAGAATGAGAGCTTCAGCCCTTCTCACTAAAGTAAGGACTTCAATAAGACATAGTGTTGTACATTAAATGACACTTACCGTAGAAAGGCTTGTATAGTCCGCGGTTTTATTCTCCAAAATTGGACCTTCCAGACGGGGTGCGTACTATAGAGTACAATAAGCAAGATATAAGAGAAAAATTTCAATTTCGTGGGCGAAGTGGTTTGTTTACGTTCCGCCATCTTTGTTATTTATATTGTAGAGGGCGCTCTTATCATTTTTCAAACTAATAATTTTAACTCATCCATATTAATAAGTTATTTCTATTCAATATCAAATTAATACTGATAAATATAAAAACTAAACCTTTCATTACAAATTTCTCGTTTCTTTTCAATGCATTGGTTGAAATAAACTGGTATCTGCTTGATTGAAATGATACAAACATAGTGAAAAAGACAACCGTAAACCAGCTTAGAATTTGTAAACTACAAAACGTAATCAGTTATTGTTCGTTCCGTTTTGGTGTTTCATACTGACTAATATGGTTTGTATTAGCTTCAGACCCTTCAAACATTAATGTGATAGATATATTAAAGACTGTTTTACAAAAGGATGGAACTGTTTTACTTTCAAAGTCGTATTATAGTGATATCTGTTATGTACGGATTTCGACTCTCACCGGTTAATTTCTTCTTTTACACGTGCTTTTTAAACTTCCTGTTTAAACATACACAAGTTTCTAAATTGTTTTTTAAGTGAATTAAACTTATTTTAACAATCATGAAGCGTTCTAGAATCATTTACAAGCAGTTTCAGCTTCTGTTTGATGATGGAAAACAGGTTTTTCCAAGAAAATACCGTAAAACGACCGCACAGGATTTGAAATTACCGGAGTTTCATTAGACCTTTTTTAACAGTTCCAAAAAGTTTTTTTACCTAAAATTTCGTGGGGAGAAGGGGGTGCGGACTATGTACCAGTGCGAACTATACAAGCCTTTCTACGGTATTGAAATACTACTCAAAATGTTTTATGTACAATTTATTTATGAAAAACAAAATCACGGAAAAAATAGTTTTAAATACAAGGAACTTAGAAAGAAATAGATTTACTGAACTCCAATGTAGCATTAAAGATTGAAAGTCCAAATCACTGGTATTCCATATGAATAACATGTACATTTACAATGTGTGTATTTACAGGTTTTCTTACAGGACCTTACACCATTGCTGTCACTGAGTACATTTACAATTTGTGAATTTAGAGGTTTTCCTACAATACCTGACACATTGCTGTCACTGAGTACATTTACATTTTGTGTATTTACAGGTTTTCTTACAGCACCTGACACCATTGCTGTCACTGAGTACATTTACATTTTGTGTATTTACAGGTTTTCTTACAGCACCTGACACCATTGCTGTCACTGAGTACATTTACATTTTGTGTATTTACAGGTTTTCTTACAGCACCTGACACCATTGCTGTCACTGAGTACATTTACATTTTGTGCATTTACAGGTTTTCCTACAATACCTGACACCATTGCTGTCACTGAGTACATTTACATTTTGTGTATTTACAGGTTTTCTTACAGCACCTGACACCATTGCTGTCACTGAGTACGTTTACATTTTGTGTATTTACAGGTTTTCTTACAGCACCTGACACCATTGCTGTCACTGAGTACATTTACATTTTGTGTATTTACAGGTTTTCTTACAGCACCTGACACCATTGCTGTCACTGAGTACATTTACATTTTGTGTATTTACAGGTTTTCTTACAGCACCTGACACCATTGCTGTCACTGAGTATGTTTACATTTTGTGTATTTACAGGTTTTCTTACAGCACCTGACACCATTGCTGTCGATGGGTACATTTACATTTTGTGTATTTACAGGTTTTCTTACAATACCTGACACCATTGCTGTCACTGAGTACATTTACATTTTGTGTTTTTACAGGTTTTCTTACAGCACCTGACACCATTGCTGTCACTGAGTATGTTTACATTTTGTGTATTTACAGGTTTTCTTACAGCACCTGACACCATTGTTGTCACTGAGTACATTTACAGCTTTATGGTTAACTATATTAGAATTTATGGACAAATATATGCATGCTGACAACAGTGATTTACTGGTAGGTTTTGAATATAATCATGGATTTAGTGTTATTTGATGTGTGTCTGAATATTTGGTAAATCTGGTCTCCTTTCAAGGACTAGTTCAAAAGACTTGATTTGTGCTTAGAAATTAGTATCTAATTGGAAACTAATGTATGAACAGGAAGAATATTTGCTAGTAGATAAAATGATAGAAAACGAAAGCTGTGAAATTTAATATCAAGCAAAACCTGTACAGATTAAAAAAGAACAAGGAAAAAATTTGAAAAAAACACCGACAAACAATACTGACGTACTAGAAATGTATCCTTATTTATTTAGGATTTGTGTTGGTTTGTTTCATTTACCAAATGCCAGTTTAAAAAAGTCTAATAACTTGACATTAATGTACAATTTTAATAAGAAAATATATTGCTGAAAATTTATATATATATCACTTATGTTAATACTTTCACTTTGAAATTGCTTCCTTGTGTAGAACTTAGACGAAACTGCCTTCACATTTCCTTATTTTTATATTTAAAATGAAATTTGCAGTTTTCAGCAATTTTTGTAAATGTTCAGATGTAGACTGATAATAGTTTAAACAATTTACAGGCTGAAGCTATTCCTGAGTCCTTGAAAAATATGTTATTAGTGATGGATACAGCTGGCATCTTCCAGACATCTCATGGTGCTGAATCAACGTTATGGAAGCTCAGCTGGGACAGAATTGATACATTTCTACCTAATCTCAGAAATGATGTTTTTAAACCTACAGTTAGAGGTAAAGAAAATTTAAAATGACTGGTATGAAGTTAGCCTTTTAATACATAGTGATGTCTGAGAAAAAAAGCAATTTTGATCTAAGTGAAGTTTTGATTTGGAGATAACATAAATTTATTGAATTTTGTTTACTGCATACATAGAAATATTTAGTTGAACACAGGGTGATGTATAAAATGAACTGTTATTTGACTATAAATAAATGAACATTGGTCATCCTGAAAATACATAGAAGGCTAAACACCGTGTTCTATCAACAAGCATAACCAGAAGGCTAAACACATTGTTCTATCAACAAGCATAACTAGAAGCTAAACACATTGTTCTATCAACAAGCATAACCAGAAGCTAAACACATTGTTCTATCAACAAGCATAACCAGAAGCTAAACACATTGTTCTATCAACAAGCATAACCAGAAGCTAAACACATTGTTCTATCAACAAGCATAACCAGAAGCTAAACACATTGTTCTATCAACAAGCATAACCAGAAACAAAACACATTTTTCTATCAACAAGCATAACCAGAAGAAAAATAAAAAAAATGAATCTATTTGGAAAGATAAATAATCACAATAAAAAAATATTTGAGTTTGACAGTAAAAACAGAGGGATTTTCTTGTAATTGAAGAAGAGAATTTTTCTTTTCACCTTAACTTAATATAGAAATAGAATAAATATGTGATGTTGACAATAAATTTCTATTTTTTATTTGCTTTTTCAGAAGTAAAACCCACTCCTACCTTAGTACCCCCAACACCAGAGATTTCACAGAATACCTCTTCTGTACCTCAGTCTCCTGAAATGCATTCTCCCCATGAAATGGAGGAGGAAGAAGAGGAACATTTAGAGGGTGTTACAGTTGTCAAAGATGTCAATGGTAATATTTAATTACAAAGATTGTTATTGTTATTGTGTATTGCTTCTGTTTTATGATGTTTGTTGTGATTAGATTTTATATTAACAAAAGCTTTGGAAATTCTTAAAATCATCTAAAAAATTAAAGTTCTGCATGATTGTTGTCAGAAAAATGCAATTCATTTCTTTGATTGACAGTTTTAGTATCTTTTTACTCTTTTCTGTGGAACATGTTGGTTATAGAAATATATTCAAAAATGACAATTATGACAGTCATGATTTTTTTTTTAATTTATGCATAGTACAAATTGAATAAAAAAAATTTCATGCATGCAACCTTTTTCAGTTTTATATGAAATGTTGTATTTAAAGGATTCAGTTTGTTTTAATGTTGTTAATGTTAATTTGGAATTAAATATTGTCTTGATTATTGAATAAGTTTCCTACCATTCATCACATATCAAATTAATAAAATATGTGTTCTTTGAAAAAAATTGGCATCTTCTGTAGGTTTGACATACATTCTACACTGATGAAACATATCTATAGAAAAGGCTCTCTATCACAGATTTATATTTTTGATTTTCAGAGTACCTTGGAAATTATTCTAGTCACCCAAAGGTTCACTCCCCTACACATCTTCAATCCCCGCCCTCTTATCTGTTACAAACCCCACCCTCTCACATTTTGACTATGGAATCTGAATCTGGAATTCAAATGGGGAACAATTGTGTACCTTTACTACTGAACCCAGATGTGATAGATACTTCGACAGTACCATATATCTCGCCACAAGTAAGTTTAAGCATGATAAATTATATGTGGTAATGGCATGTTCATTTCCCCCCAGGAACAGAGGGTTTGTTTTGTCTTTGTTCAGAAAGATTGTTAGAATATTTGTCATCAGCATTGCTTTCTATTTAAAATCAAATCATACTGCACATAATCATTTTTACTCTTAAAGTTCACCAGTAAGCATTTCAACCTTTCTTTTAAATCATATATCTTCATTAAAATAAAAAAAAAAATCTTTTATAAACATATTGTTTTCCTTTAATATAATATTATTTCTTTAATTTGATATATTTAAAAATAAAAGGTTCCATCTTCTATGATATCTTAAATTTTCCAATTGAGAAGTATCAACTATGATTATGTTTTTATATATTTATATTGATAATTTATGCTTTTTCTGTAAGTAAATTCTTATAAGTTAAATATGATGTACAAATAGATATGCATTATTTATAGATATACAGATAAATATGCATTACTTATATTGATGTTTTCATTTCATTTCATATATCATCAGCAGCTAGAGTGCATAAAACTTTGATATGTAAATTTTAAAAGCTTCTTTGTATTGTTGCTAAATTTCTGTGTTCTAAAACAAAGTCCTGATGGATAGAGCTTGAGTTTCGTATTAAATTGATTTTTGAAAGAAATCAAAACAGATACTGCAAGCCAACTGTCATTTGTGAACATAAATAGAAGAGAAAATTCACATTTTTTTGTAGTAGATTCTAAATTGATATCTCAGTTTAGCCCACTTTCAAATTCTGGAACTCTACAAAGAGAGCTGGTTTATCAAATCATGTTTGCAAAACAATCTCTGTTGGTCTCTGATGACATCAAATGGATTTGTGGCAGCGATTTATAGTATTCTTTTTATATTTTACTTTGTATATTTTATAACTTAACCAATTTTCCATTTCAGCGAATTATTTCAATAAACTATAAAAATATTTAATTTGATCTAAAGTTGTTAAAATATTTTGAAGACATTTTCTGAACTCATTACGCTATAGCTTTCCGTTTTCCAAATTTAGTCCCTGCTATGGTGTAATGAATAATTGACCATTGAAGCATATGATTATCCTGTATTGAACCCCATACAGTTAGTACTGCAGTGCAGGTATGACGTTTTCATGTACTATTGGTTAGTACAGTGAGTACATTTAAGTTCTGCCGCATTGGACTTTTCGATGGTATTCATTGGGTAATTTGTACATTATTTTCTATTGGCTCTGTCTTGCTATTTCACTTACGGTTTTCATTGTGAGGTTTATATTATTTGGAACTTTCTTTGAAGTTAGATGTTATTTGTACCTGACTATTATTCTGGACCTTTTTGGACATTTTTGACAAACATACCATATAGTGTCCTGGAATAATTGTATTAGTGTTTATGGCAGTGGATTTTGATAACTCAATCCCACATATTGAGTTACATTTTCCTGGTATATAATAAAGTATTTGAACCAGTTGGAGTCTATAATTAAAAGCCCTTATAAGACCCTATCACAAATGGCGCCCACGTAGGGACCAGGCTTGGCGACAGAAGCGACAACTTACGAATTCAGCAAATGGCAGATCGATCCATCTAACACTTACCATAGTGAATTGGAAGATTCCGGAAACCATTCATCTACACTTTCCGTAACCGAGTGCACTCAATTATATCGTTTATCCGTTGGATCTCGTACAGATGAAGAACAAACTTTATGCAGTGAATCTTATTATAATTGTATTGAATGAACTTTTGTGTGAATTTATTTAATGTGTGTGAAATAATTCTCTGGAAAATGTGCAGTACACGAAGATTTAAGGTAGGCCATTTCTTTATTATCAACTGTATTTAATTAGCTTACCTGTTTATACACAATGAAAACTGACCCAGCTTTGACTTACTACATCAAGGGGTATCGATGTCTTTAACATATTTAGAAAAAAACAACTGTTTGCTTTTGAGACGCTAACCAAAATCTTTGCATTTCAATTCATGTAGTTACATACACTTTCTGAGCGTCATACAGCTGAGCTGTTCTTCATCTTCCGGTACCCTATATTATGGAGTAATTTAGTATCCAATACATAGTAAGTTCGTCAAAAAGTCAAAGTTTTCTTGCTGTTATCTACAGTTGATAGTAATAGTATAGGGATTGTTTCCCCGATTTTGATATACTTACGTATACATTTAAGGTAGAATTTGTGTATAGAAACAGATATATACAATTTTATGAAACCTAAGGTTATATATAGACATTAATTACATTGATTATATTGATACTTGAGAACTGTCACAGGGAATAGCGGTGTATAAAGAAAATATTTTTTTTACTTGAATATTTGGAAATAATTACGCATGATTTACGAAGCGTAATAGTTGTACATATATAAGACATTGTATATAATTATTTTTTTCACATTTGTTCAGAGCATTTCATCGACCTGATTTGATTTTTTTAGACCATATCGTTTACGGTTGACTAGCTATAGGTATTGTCGTTATATAGGTCAGTGCGTAGGCGTAGTGTATTGGTTTATTGATTTATCTTTGATCAGGTGTTGATTTCAAGGTATCTAGTTTGGAGTATTACGTATTGCTAGTTCAGGTGCGTTTGACTTGACGGATAGTTCATAGTGCATATAGGATCTCGTTATTTGATTCACATATACATTATAGGGTAGGATAGCATATTATAGATCATAGACGTAGAGTAACTACACCTAGTACTCGTTCGTTTATACATAAAAGGTGCCCGGAAAGAGTATACAGATACTAAAAACTATACAGAGTGAGCTTTATATAGCAGGTGCTTACATTATATTAGATACATATTGCTCCTTTATATAGATAGTAGATAGCTATACTATTGATATATCAGGTAAAAGATTTATTTACATGTAGTTTATATTTGTACTATATAGATTTGACTTTATATCCGTGAACCGTACATCGAGATTTTGCCGATTTTTGCGATTCGGATTTTATACAGCGGACCGTTTTTTTTTATGCAAAGATTGCGCTTGCAACTTGCAATGAATTAACGGATTGCATATAGAGTTCTCAGTATCGATTTTAATTATCGATTAATCTTTATTTGATTAACTAATCGCTGATTAGTATATAGTACATTAGCCAATTATTTGGCCTAGTTAGTTTTTTTTTCCAGCTTATTTGTATCATGGCCACGGAAGGCAAGGAATCTGATATAGAATTATCCGTCGAAGAACTAGAACACATCGCTGCAGCTTTTAAGGAGATGGGAGTCAAACCAAAAGCGGACAGCGCTTCCGATTTCAAGCATTGGTTCCAAGGAACTCTCAAACAACCAATTAAGACCGAACCAGTTCCACCTAAAGCAGCAGCATCAATTGAAACCCAATCAAAAGGGTACCAGAGCCGATACATTCCACGAATAGTTCCGTTCTCAGGCAGTGACAAAGATGAATCTTACGACCTATGGAAGTATGAAATAGAATGTTTGCAACAGGAAAAATACGACGAAGATGTTATACTACAAAGCATGCGAAGATCGTTTAAAGGCGAGGCAGGAAAAGTTGCGATGCGCCTAGGATCCAAAGCATCTGTAAAAGATATCATGGAAAAGATGGAAAGTATATTTGGCACAGTAGATCACGGAGAACAACTTTTGGCTAAATTTCACAGTGCACGTCAAGAGGAGGGCGAAGATGTTTCCGCTTGGGGATGTAGGCTCGAAGATATGTTGAGTAAGGTAGTACATAAGAAAGGAATAACACCGCAAGAATCAGAAGAAAAACTTCGCACCCGTTTCTGGTATGGGCTTCGCAAGGAACTTAAAGACATTAGTGGATATAAGTTTGATAATATAACCGATTTTGATCAGCTTAGAGTAGTGATGAGGGAAATAGAGCAAGACCAGCTACCGAACAATAAAAAGACCGCACACATTAAGATGGCACAATCTGAAGGCGAATATACAGAGCTAAAGTCTATGATGCAACAAATGAATAAAGATATTGGTGAGTTGAAGAGACACACCCAAGAACAATCACAACGACAAGATGAAACTCGTACCGAAGGCCAATATCAGCAAAGTACACATAACAACTGGAATACACAGTACCGAGGTCGGGGACACCGTGGACGTGGACAAGGAAATAGAAACTACAGACCGTACTGGGACAATACACAAAACACACCATTACAAGCGGCAGAAACCCAACAACAAACACGACGTAGAAACACCGACCCCATTATTTGCTATAAATGTGGACAAGAAGGACACTTTGCGTATGGATGCGCAGTTAGGACCGATCATTTACGTTCTTTAAACGACAACAGGTCTATGTCAAGGGACGGACATTAGGCTCGGAACAACAATGTCCCAAAAGGCAACAGAATATTGAATTGGTAGGATCCTCAAACGAAACAACAATTTTTATTAACGGCATTGAATCACAAGCACTTTTGGATACCGGCTCAACAGTCTTGACGATCTCTGAATCATTTTACCGTTTAAATCTACAGACAGTTCCACTGGAACCATTGACAAGCTTTCTACATATAGAGTGCGCCGATGGACAATCACTTCCGTACTTAGGATTTATTGAAGCAACCATTAAAATTAAAGATGTCAACGGAAACCAATATCAAGGACTATTTCTTGTCGTTCCTGATAGTACATACAACTATAAAGTACCCGTTTTAATTGGAACCAACGTTTTGTCAATTGTATTAGAGGATATCCGTCATACTCACGGAGATAGATTTCTGCAGACAGCTAATCTTCATACTGAATGGTATATGACATTTAGGACAATGACACTTCGAGAGAGAGAACTTCAGAAGAATGGCAATCGTTTATGCATCGTTAAATCAGCAGAGCATACAACTGTTATGATACAACCTAACGGGTCAGTCGTATTACAGGGGTACATGGACAAGCAGATACCGTACAAACCGACTTGTGCTCTATTGCAACACACGAAGGGGTCTGATTTACCCGCAGATTTAGATATCACACCAGGCTTAGTCAATTACAGACATGAATATAGAGATACCATACCAGTACACATAACTAATGTTACGACCAGAACTGTTAATATACAACCCAGGGCAATCGTATGCGAACTGCAACCAGTAACCATAGCTGACGTTAAACCGGAAGTGGATGTAATTGATATCAGTGCAGACCTTTATGACAAATTAGAAATGCCAACTGAGTTATCAGAAGTTGAACTGAATAAAGTCAAACAACTTATTACTGCATACGAAGATATTTTTTCAAAGGGCGATACCGATATAGGCTACACATCGATAGTACGACATCGCATTGATTTAGTCGACGATACATCTTTTAAACAGCGTCACCGCCGCATACCACCATCTATGTTCGATGAAGTGAAAGACCATCTACAACAGTTACTTGCAGCTGGAGTTATTCGAAAGTCCCACTCTCCATTTTCATCAAACGTTGTTCTAGTCCGGAAGAAAGAAGGCTCACTGCGCATGTGCGTGGACTATCGTACTTTAAATGAAAAGACAATTAAAGACGCATACGCACTTCCGAGAATAGAGGAAATCTTAGACGCACTGGGCGGAAATAAGTATTATACATGTTTAGATATGAAGTCAGGATATCACCAAATCGAGATTGAGGAATCACACAAAGAGAGGACTGCATTTACCGTTGGCCCATTGGGGTTTTATGAATACATCAGAATGCCTTTTGGACTAGCTAATAGTCCTGCAACATACCAGCGCTTAATGGAAGAAATATTAGGAGATTTGCATCTGAAAATATGTTTCATATATCTGGATGATCTTATTATCTTTGCAAAGTCGTATGAGGAACATTTAGAAAGATTAGAACTTATTTTTCAAAGACTACGGGAATCAGGATTGAAATTGTCTCCGAAGAAATGTCAACTTTTCCGAACCAGAGTCAAATACGTCGGACACATTGTTTCTGAAGACGGTATAGAACCCGATCCTGACAAGATTGAAAAGATAGAAAATTGGCCACGCCCCACAACACCGGAAGACGTTCGCAAATTCCTTGGTTTTGCCGGGTACTATCGCAAATTCATACAGGATTTTTCCAAGATTGCAAGACCGTTAACGGACATTATGCCAGCACCACAAATGTCAAAAAGGAAAACTAAGCGTCAAGGAGCACCACCATCATGGCACTGGGGTGACAAAGAGGAACATGCTTTCCAAGAATTGAAACAACGACTATCTACACCGCCAGTTCTAGGATATCCTGATTATTCAAAACCGTTTGAAATACATACCGACGCGTGTGGCACAGGACTAGGAGCCATACTTTACCAAGAACAGAATGGAAAGAAACACGTTATATCATATGCCAGCAGAGGACTATCAAAATCTGAACGAAATTATCCAGCACACAAACTTGAATTTTTGGCACTCAAATGGGCAGTTACTGAAAAGTTTAAGGATTACTTGTATGGAAGCTGTTTTACAGTCGTCACCGATAATAACCCACTAACTTATGTACTATCAACAGCAAAACTAGACGCTACAGGGCATAGATGGGTTGCAGCTCTAGCTACATTTGATTTCGACATAATTTACAGAAGTGGTAAACAAAATACTGATGCAGACGCACTTTCACGACTACCAGAATCAACACAACAAAAAATGTCAATAAAAAGCGAATCAATTAAAGCCATTTGCGATGCTATTCAACCTGTACCATACATCAACTGCTTATCTGGAACACCTGAGAAAGAACCAGAAGCCACAGAACTGAACTCTTACTGTAATATTGACATACGAAAAGAACAACGCAGCGACCCAGTATTGAAATCTTGGTTTACCAGCATTCAACAAAGACGACGTCCAAGAAGAGCTGAAGTAGTAAAATCACCTCAACATCTCTTCATCTTCAACAATTTCGACAAACTAAAATTCATACAAGGAATTTTATACAGAGAGATAATTAGCGATGGTAAACCGTTGACACAACTTGTACTACCTAAGTCCTGTGTCGAAACCGTACTTACCCAATTACACAACGATATGGGACATCAAGGCAGAGACAGAACTTTGTCGTTAGTCAAAGATCGTTTTATATGGCAAGGGATGAGTAAAGATGTTGAAGACTGGGTAAGCAACTGCGGGAGATGCATCAGACGAAAACAGCCACTTAACCACCGTGCACCACTCATCAGCATCGAAACCAAGCAACCGATGGAACTTGTATGTATGGACTTCTTAACCCTGGAAAAATCGAAAGGTGGTTTTGAAAACATCCTTGTTATCACTGATCATTTCACTCGTTATGCTGTAGCCATACCAACGAAAAATCAAACTGCTCGAACAACAGCTGAAGCATTCCTGAATCATTTCATCTTGCATTATGGTCTACCAAAACGAATTCATGCAGATCAAGGGCCAAATTTCGAAAGTAAAATCATCAAGGAATTATGCACAATTACAGGAATGGAGAAGTCACGAACTACTAGCTATCATCCAATGGGCAATGGTTTAACAGAAAGATTCAACCGTACACTACTAAACATGCTAGGAACATTGGATCCGAATAAAAAACATGACTGGAAATCCCATATCACAGGATTAGTACATGCGTATAACTGCACCAGACAAGCTAGTACAGGATTTGCGCCGTATTACTTAATGTTCGGCAGAAACCCACGGCTACCGATAGATGTCGCATTTGGACTGGAGACAAATACATGCAAAGAACCAACAACGAAATATGCAAAAACACTGAAAGAACGACTAAAAATTGCATATGAGCAAGCAAGGAAATCAGTTGAAACAGCACAAGGTAGACAAAAAGACAACTATGATAAAAAGATAAGAGGAGCAGTTCTTGAAGTAGGAGACCGTGTACTTGTTCGCATCGTAGCATTTGATGGTAAGCATAAGATCTCAGATAAGTGGGAAACAGAACCATACATCGTTAAAGAGCAACCCAACACAGAAACACCAGTATTTGTAGTACAGAAAGAAAGTGGACAAGGCCGGACAAGAACTTTACACCGGAATTTACTACTGCCAATTGGATTTTTGGATAAATATTTAGGAAATGACCGACACAGATCTACTCCGGATACACCAACAAAACATGAGCGTTCTGAACCAGGAAATAACCCAACAGTTATTGACCATAAGGACAGCGACGACCATGATGATGATTATGAGTATTTCATACCTACAGAAGTCACAGATAGCAACAATTTAGCACCTGTTGATCTCACTGTGGACCAGCCTGTAGATGACAGTTTAATCCCCGGCCGGACCGATGACGATCGACAACCAGTTGAGGGATTACAAGACACAGGAACTGAGGAGGACGCTTCTCCGTCTGTAGATGAAGATATAGATGATCCTGTTCGTCTTGATGATGATGCACATGCAGTAGAACTTGAAGATGATACTTCAGATGAAATTCCGGTAAACCAAAACATCGACGAGGAATCAGATAGCAGTGATGAACCAACGCCAAGACCTGGTAGACGTTCACTGCCAGCAAGGACAACTAGAGGGAAACTTCCAAAGAAATACGATGGTTTTATGATGCAACAGTCAACCAATTCCAAGCCATCAGATTGGTTAGAAAGAGCCAACTTCCTGTCTCAAGCTGTATCGTCAGGTCTTTTTCAAGGAATGGAGCAAGTTGTAACCAATGCCATCTTGAAGATTGTTACAGACCAGTAGTAACGTACGATGCTTTACTGACAGAGACGTCACCCTTTCATGGAGGGAAGGACATGGCGATGTTTTTTGACTGTTGAGACTGCGAGGACGCATTCTCCAATGCGGGGGAGAATGTGGCAGCGATTTATAGTATTCTTTTTATATTTTACTTTGTATATTTTATAACTTAACCAATTTTCCATTTCAGCGAATTATTTCAATAAACTATAAAAATATTTAATTTGATCTAAAGTTGTTAAAATATTTTGAAGACATTTTCTGAACTCATTACGCTATAGCTTTCCGTTTTCCAAATTTAGTCCCTGCTATGGTGTAATGAATAATTGACCATTGAAGCATATGATTATCCTGTATTGAACCCCATACAGTTAGTAATGCAGTGCAGGTATGACGTTTTCATGTACTATTGGTTAGTACAGTGAGTACATTTAAGTTCTGCCGCATTGGACTTTTCGATGGTATTCATTGGGTAATTTGTACATTATTTTCTATTGGCTCTGTCTTGCTATTTCACTTACGGTTTTCATTGTGAGGTTTATATTATTTGGAACTTTCTTTGAAGTTAGATGTTATTTGTACCTGACTATTATTCTGGACCTTTTTGGACATTTTTGACAAACATACCATATAGTGTCCTGGAATAATTGTATTAGTGTTTATGGCAGTGGATTTTGATAACTCAATCCCACATATTGAGTTACATTTTCCTGGTATATAATAAAGTATTTGAACCAGTTGGAGTCTATAATTAAAAGCCCTTATAAGACCCTATCACAGATTTAATTTTTCTTTAATGACAGACAAACTCGAAAGTGATGTATAGAACATAATATTTAAATGCATGCCATAAAATTTCATTGTTATGATGCAAAAATAAAAAAAAACTGTTGAATAAGCTGGTTACACAGATTCACTGCAATGTAATGTAGAATGTAAGTTAATTTACATTGTCTGAATACATCATATCATTACAAAAGGGATTATATGATAGGATAAAAATTAATTTAACCAAGGATGTCAGTTATTTAACTCATTTCAAAAGTTGCTGAATTTAGAAAGAGATGGTAGTAAATAAAACTTTTTAAAGGGGTTAGTGTTGTTTTCAGAAAAATAAAAGTTCACTGATTTTATTTCAAAGCAAAATCATACTTTATTTAATGGAAAAAATAATGTTTATGCATGAAATAAGGGTAGAATAAACTTGAAACTTGAAAATCTATAGAATTTGAATATAGGCCAACTTCTTGCATGTTTTGAAAATCACTGAACTACTTTCAGATTGGAATACCTGTTTGGATTCAAGGTCATTTCCCAGTAGCTAAAATCTTGAAAAGTAGAGGAGAAGTAATTCTTTTTTATCTGTGATGGCTCCTTTGTGTCTTAATATGCATTATTATAAAACCCCTGCTTCTGGAATGATGGGATTGATACATTGTAATAATATTGTTGATGATACTAAGTCCAAGTTTCTTGGTTAACTGTTATTACACTGGAGTTTGGTAAAACTAAAAGTCACTTTATTAATTGTAGAATATGTAGGAAATTATGGTAGCTAACAGAATAGTCTAGACTGGATTGATTTATAATTAAAATTTATATTAAGTGGACTTTCTTTGCACCTGTAAAAGAAACAACAAAAAGACTAAATATAGATAAAAATTTCAATGAAAAGACAAAATTATTTCTGTCAATTTTTATTTCATGACCTACATCCAAGATACCATTTTGGTCATTGGCCTTTCAGATTAGGTCTCGTCTGGCAAACATGACCAATTCCAGACTCTTGCATATGAATATAAAGAGATATGGGGTAGATGTCAATGAATTTTAAACCAAATGATAGCCCATAAAACTGTCTTTGATCCATCTATTTTAATTGCTCATTTCAATCTTAGTTTTCCTTGTGTATCTACAAAGGTCTTGATTATGCCCTATTGTTGCCTTTTAATTGATTTGTTCTAGTGACTGTGATACCATTTTTGTTGTTTTATAAATGGTAATGATAACATTTATAGGGAAACTTCTTCACTTCAATATGGAATTATTTGATTACTTAAATAACATATTGAGGTTATTGATCAAAGAGTATCACTTCTTTTTTTTGCAAGCATATCCAAGAAATCTTAACTTATAAGCTGGCTCTGAAATTAGTGATATTTTTAGTGGTTATGAACTTGTGAAGTTATTTATGGTTATCAGTATGATCTGCCTAAAATTTTAAATGTTGTATGCTTCACACTATGAGTTCACTATAAATGCATTTTTGCCATGTCCATATATATTCTGCTGGAAAGAGTTGCTTCCTTATATATTTGGTTTCAGGTTTTGCATAAACTATGACGTTGTTTTAGATTGGGTTTTTGTTACTTTTCTTGACTTTAATGGTATTTTATTTTTGATCTACTACTTTTGACATATTTATATAACTTAAATTTAGATAGATAGTTATTTTCATTTTTCAGAATAGTTGAAACAATCAAACACTATACATATTACTTAAGTTTGTTAAGTGTGTGTAAGGATTTTGCTGACCTGAACTGATACACTATATTTCTTTTTTACCATTTAAGAAGCTGAACTTATATCTGTATCTACCCATCATTGATTTAGAAGATTATTGCTTTCTGTCCCATGATATTGTCATTTAAATATGTCTGCATCTTGAATCAATAAAAGCTTTACTTGTAAATTAACAGGAATGAAAATAGTATTTAAAATCTGGATACTAATGTCAAATACCTATTTATGTCATGCATATTGACCAATGACATCAAAAATCAACGTCAATTATTAATGCCTAGACCAAAGGCTTATGTGGAATTCCATTTTAACTGCACATATGTTGTCTGTGCCTTCCATTCATTTTGATGCATGTATCTATTAATCATATTACACACAATTACCAGAACACACTTATGGGGACTACAAACCTGTACCCAAACAGTACACACAATTACCAGAACACAATTATGGGGACTACAAACCTGTACCCAAACAGTACACACAATTACCAGAACACAATTATGGGGACTACAAACCTGTACCCAAACAGTACACACAATTACCAGAACACACTTATGGGGACTACAAACCTGTACCCAAACAGTACACACAATTACCAGAACACAATTATGGGGACTACAAACCTGTACCCAAACAGTACACACAATTACCAGAACACAATTATGGGGACTACAAACCTGTACCCAAACAGTAAAAACAATAAAAATCAAATCTTTTACTGGAAATATTTTTCATCACACATCTTTATTGTTTTATGTTTAATTGCACAAATTATAATAACTTTGAATATCCTGTTGTATGGTCATGAATGCCTTTGTTCATCCAAATACATTTATATAAAATAAAAAGTGTTTTTCTCAATTAAAATTTTTTCTTCTTTTCCCTTTAGCTTACAACAAATTATGAAGTTGTTGAAAATGAAAAAAGGATATTGTTTAGACCTTGAAAAAAAGGAAAAATAAAAATTGCATAATGTATGTATTAGTGTTTGATTGTTTTCACATTACTGTGTATGTATTTTGTAGTCAGTTAACAAGTATTTTTTTTATTTCAGGGGATGAACGATCAGCTGACTCAGATAGTAACAGAAAACCCGTGATATTATCGCACACATCTCCCAAGCTGGTGTACCCAGTTAAAACAGTATGAATCTACTCTGATAGTTACCAGACATTGATAGTCACAACTAAAATTATACTGTGATTTCAAGAAGTGTTATAATACTGCACATAATGTAAATAACTTGTAAAGTGCTGTAAATAGCTTTATGGTGTATTTTAATTCTGCTAGTATTCATGTTCCTTCGTTTATTGAAGAGAGCTATATTTGCTTTACTCTGAATTCTTTTTGTTTGTTTATGTATTATTAAAGAAAATATATTTATTTGTTAAGTTTTCATGATTAATAATATGATATTGCAAAAACTCTGTAGTACAATAGTTTGTTAGCACTGGCAACAATCAATATGTATACTGTAAATTCAGAAATTATTTTGTGTATGTATTATTACGATTTTTGAAGAATGGACAAAAATGAAAGATTAATTATTGCGATTTCAGGAATCTCTGCATACAGATATATGTATCAGATATCAGAATGCGAGTTCTTATTATTGAGGTACTCACTCAGTCGCATTATTCGCATTAATAAAAACCTGGCAATAATTTCTGAATTTACTTACTGTATATTAAATTTATGTAGTGCCAAATTTTAAAAGAAAACAGTTTTTAGAATCTTTAATTACTGAGTTAAAATGGTAATATAGATCCATGCAGTTGGAGGTACCTTTATAAGTATATACAGGACTGTTAATATAAGTTTGGTTATGAAACTTAAGGTTGTGTACATATCCATTTTGCATTATCTGGGAGTTCTTCATGGCACAAGTAAACAGTATAAAGATCTTGTCGTAGCATTATAAGTTAAATAGCTGAACAATTTATGTTTAAATGTCATCCCATAGTACAAGAAAGTAAAAAACAAAACAATTAGTTGTAAAAATTGTAAAACTTTGTCCCTTCTGCATATATTATTTGAACTAAAATACTGAAATTATATTACAAATTTTATCACTATGTTTTATACCATTAGTTATAAATTTTTAGCGATTGGTCAGATGTTACTACATATTGACTCAAGCTAAATTTGAAGACCAAGAAGCTGATAGAGGACCATGATAATGGACCAGTTACAAAGCCATTACCTACCTTGCATTTAATACCTTTATAAATGGCTATTCTGGTTGTGTATGTACGTTTGAGGGCAGTTTCTGGTTTACCTAAACATCCTAAAAATTTAATAGCACAGTGTCCTTTCTATTTCAGACAGTAGTCTTTTTTTTTTAAACAAACCACATCCAGCAACTTTAATAGTTCCTTCTGACCCTTCCCTCTTTTTGCCTTGTCATCTTATTATAGAAACGAAGGGATTCTATGTTTTGAATTTATGACACAGTAACACTGACATGCAAAACCAAATCTGAGTCTTTGGACTTTCCAAATCTGTGTATAAATGTGAAAACCACAAAACTGTAAAGGTGTGCAGACTTACTGAACAGCAGTGTATTTGTAAATCTTAACAGTTCAGCCCTGGAACTCAACTGTCAATTATCTTATGCCAAGAGTTGTGTTATATGTTATTATATAGGCTCAATAAGGACTTGAGCTGAGCTCTAACATGTATACTCTTTGATGAAATGCATTTGTTAGTAGTACAAGTGCTACACAATATTTTTTAATGGGCAGTAACAGATATTTTAACATCATGTACAGTCTGGCATTTTTATTCGTTTCTTTATGTGTTCATGTAAAACTGTTGTGCTTTCATCGTAAAACTAGTATTCAGGTATATTACAAATGTAAATATGTCTAAGTATTTGTATGTATATGATGTATATTAAGTGACCATTGTCTTGTAAATTTATTGTACTTTAATTTTTTGTGATTCAATAAAGCTTACACAGCTATTTTAATTCTGTTTTGGAGATTTTCAAGACATTTAAATTAGGAATATAGAAATTAAAAATAAAGAGTAAAATGTTGAAAAAATTTCACAGAATTATTCATAAGCTCATTTTCAAATGATAATGAAAGTTTTTTTATGACTGTAAAACCAAAGTCTCAATACATGTAGGAGGTAATACACAGTTACTGCTTTATGTTTTTGTCAATGATAACACTACTGTAATCAACTTTAGTTATAAGATAGGCAGGGATAGAATAAAGCTGAAATGTTTCAATTCCTATTAGAATTCAGACCCAATTGACAACCATTTTGATATCTGTGATATTTTCATGTTCATTGCAACAGTAACTGTAATATATCTATTTTTCTGTAGTATATACTGATATTGCAGCACTGTTGTAAATGGTAAATTAAAATAATGATAAGACTTGGTAAATTTTATTATGGCTATTAGAAAAAGGAGGACATGTTGTTTCAATTTTTTTTTTAATTTCAATATACAACATTAATATGGAAGACTCTGCTTACCTATATGTGTATGTTACACGTTTGTTATTTTACTTATATATAGAATTTCAATCATTAAAACTGTAGTTGATAAAATGATCTTTTGGCAAAGTATGAAAAATACAATTTGCAATAATTTAGGGTAATGAATTGATATGAAATGACAAAGGAGAATAGTTAAAAAATTTACAGATGAAGAATATGTATAGAACATGTTGTATAATATGTGTATTTTACAAAATTATAAATATTAGATTGTTTTTGAAGGCAGACAACTTGGATTATTATAAATAGTGTACACTGTTGTAAAATGTACATAACAAATAATATTTATTTTGTATATCTGTGTCTTATCTGTGATTGGTCAATGTTATCCTAAACAGAAATTATCTGTTCCATTAAAGAAATGCAAAATATCATTTTTTTTTCATTTTTTTTTTACAATTGTGCAAGAAGTAATTTTGCTTGTACATGTATATGGCCACATGTACAAGTGAAGGCATATGATATTTATATTTATTCTGCCTCAAAATCAAGGGTCTGCAAAATGATCATATTTGCCAGTCATTTTCAAATATGGACTGAGATGAATATTCAGAATAAACTCCAGGATTAACATTTTGTACACCAGATGTGCATTTCATCTACAAATGAATCATCAGTGACATACAAAAAAAAAGGTTAAAAAGGCCAAATAATATACTAAGTTGGAAAAGCATGGAGGACCCAAAATTCAGAATAGATCTTTTTGCAAGAAAAATCTGTAATTGAGGTCTGAAATTCTACAGATTTTATAAAAAGCAAAGGAACAGTGCTTTTATTGATGTTCTTCATCTCAAAGTCATCTTAGGCCTTCAACAAGGAGCAAAAAACTCTCACCTCTATGCAAATTTAAGACAGCCCCTAGCAGCGGGAGTGGAATTCTTTGCAAACTGATGATCACACCACAACTGTGAATTGAAGAACAAAGTCATGGAGTAATATCAATAAAAAAATCTGGCAAAGAAATCAAACATGTACTGTCATAATTTAGCCTGACAACCACACTGAAGCGTGTTAAAAACAATACAAATATTTAGACAACCACGGGGCACATGGAGATATATGTTAGAGGTTAACTAACAACTTTGTAAAAAGAATTGCAGCCTCTTTTTCACAAGACAAATTCAATAAAAAAAAAAACATGATTTTTTTTTGTCACAATACCTGTTCAGTATATCTGGAGCTTGTGTTTTTATGCCCCCTCTGTAGCGGAGGGGGCATTATGTGTTACCCTTGTCCGTCTGTACGTCCGTACGTCCCCAAATTGGTTTCCGTTCTCTAACTTAGGTTTGCCTCAACCAAATGTTATGAATCTTATACACAATGCTTATTACCACAAAACACAGATCAAGTTTGAATTTTGGTGGCGTCACTTTTACCGTTCTAGAGTTATGCCCCTTTAAAAATGGAAAAATTGCTCAAATATTCGTTTCTGTTCTCTAACTTTAGTTTGCCTCAACCAAATGTTATGAACAATGCTAATTACCACAAAACTCAGATCAAGTACAAATTTGGGAAGCATCACTTTTACAGTTCTTGAGTTATGTTCCTTTATAACGTTATATGCAAGCGGGGGCATCATCTGTGTCCCATGGACACATTCCCCATTTATTTTTTATAATTTGTCTTTGCTTGCATGTTGGTGGTTTATGTGGTTTTTTGTAGTGTCAAATATTTTTGGTAATTTCTGTTATCTTTTTTATATAGAGCGTACTAGTACACAGAGTGATCAATTCAGTCAACTTTTAAATGGGAGGTAGCTCTGTCACATATAACAGTCAATCCAGTAAATATTATTTGAAACCAATTATTTTTGTTTGGACAGTTTTTAAAAGAATCATCTACAATAAAATTTGAATTTAAGTATGTTAAAAAGGAAAATAGATTCATTGGAACTGAAATATAATTAAGATTGACATGTTTAAACAGAATCTGGCATTTAATCCCTTTTAACTTTCTCTACAGTTTGCGTAGCATAATATCAAAAAACTAATTTCTTAAAATATGATAGATTTTACCTATGTATTAAAAGCAATATTAATCAGTTATTTCAATTTTAAGACCACACAAATTTTGCCTGTAGATATTTCAAATTATGTGCACTTACTTTAGTTCTAATTAACTATCCAGTATAAAATACAGAAATATATTTGACAAGAAGTATGTTAAAAAAAGTCAATTTTCATGGGTTGCGTTTTCACATTCACATACAAAACCATAATGTCTTTTGGTTGGGGGCCATGCAATTTCTGGATCAAAATTTATATTTAATTCTTATCTGTTTATCACAGTTCATGAATTTTGTCTTGGGATACATAAATAATCAATTAGGACATAATAAAGTCTTGAATATTCTGTCTTATAGAAGATTTTCTTCTAATTTTGTTTGTTGATTTTTGTGATAAAGACCACTAAGTACACCCAAAACTTTATTGTATACTGTGAATTCATTTATTTTAGTGGATACCAATTTTTGTGGATTGAGGAAAAAACATATTTTCAAGGATATTTAATTTTGTGTTTTTTTTAAAACTCTGCATACAATCCTCTAGAACATGTGTACTTTGTTGAACATTTAAATTCAAGGGTTACTTCTACTCACAAAATCAACAAAAAAAGTTATACCACAAATGATAATTAATTCACGGTATTAAGCTATATTAAAGTCCTCATCTATACCTTACCAGTCAAGGTTGTGGAGGTGAACATTCTTTAGGTTCTATCCATGCCCATATAATATTCAAGTTACACCTTGTTTTTGGTGGGGTTCGCGTTGCTCAGTCTTTAGTTGTATTTTGTATACTGTTGTTTGTGTTAGGTCATTTTCGTTTTTTTGCCATGGCTTTGTCAGTTTTTTTCAACTTAAGAGTTTGAATGTCCCTTTGGTATCTTTTCACTACTCTTTTACAAAATATTTTGTTTTTGAAAAACCTTACTTTACAAAATTTTTGTTACGGTAAGTTGCAGGATACAGAACATGGTGATTGAATTTCTCTGTTCTACCTTCAGTTATGGACAAAGAAAGATAACTCCAATTTGAAATCTTGCCTAAATTTGTTCCATCCAGTTATTTTACAATAAATCTTTAGAATTTCATGGATTTATGAATTTATTTTCCTGAAAAATCATTCAAGCTTATATGCAAATAAAAATAATGGTTTCGAGTAACTAAGATGTGTGCGTGCCTGCGTGCTTGTGTGAATATATAGAAAACCTGTAAATTTGGGTGTCTGTACAGCATGCATATTTTAAAATTTATAAATGCATTGCAAATAAGACAAAAAATGTGATGCTCTGATACAAATCTAATCCTCACCTTCAGAATCCTGCTAATTTCAGACAGGAATTTTAGGCAAATTTCCAGAGATAAATGATATTCAATGAATTAGAGAAATTGTCCTCACCTATCCCAACTATCAAAATCTCTAGATATTTTGTTAAGTTAACATAAATTGAATTTTTTCCCCACTTTAATTGGATGAAATCAAGAAAGGAGACCCCAATTTTGACTTCTGATTGGTCCCATAAATGTGAAGGAAATCCCAGACCTGTGGATGCAACTACTTACTAATGTAGTACAATAGCCTACAATCATTTGTTTTTTCAGTCCACATGAAGCAATTATATTTCATTACTTTTAAAACTATGAAAAAAATTCTGCGAGGGACACATGTTCTGTTACACCAAAACTGGTACCTGCCACTTAACAAAATGAAGAGATTTAATTTTAATTAGATTGGAAATGATGGAAACTATCTTTTACAGATAAAAATTTGATAAAATAAAAAAAAAATTCTTCAAGATAGAATTGAGAATGGAAACAGGAAATGTGTCAAAGAGACAACAACCCGACCAAAGTGCAGAAAACAGCCCAAGGCCACCAATAGATCGTCACAGTGAGAAAATCCTACACCCGGAGTTGGGCTTCAGCTGGCCCCTAAACAAATAAACTTAACACAAAAAAAACATAAATCATAAAGAAATCAAAATGTAAGGATGTTCTCTTGCTTTTGACTTTTTGTCAGATATTTGAATCCTCTAGTTTTATCCATGTAGTGCCATTAAAAATCTTGCCTGCTAACCCCTACTTTTCTTTTCTTAATTTTATTTGATATAGCTTGATAAGCCATTTTTGAATAAAATCCATGTTATTTTTCAATAGTTTTTGAAAGAAAAAAGGTGCCAATGCTAAATTTATGAAAAAATCTAAAGCAATGACACAGACCTTTCATTTTTTCTGCTTTTTAAGTTCTGTTATTTATTAACAGTCTTTTAAAAAGCTTTTTATTTTGAAACAGAGGAGTGGACATCCTTAAACAAAAAGTTGACTCATGTATGACAATGGAAAATATATTAAGAATATTAGTGAGACAGAAATCCAACAAGAAAAGTTAACTGCATGAGACATATACATAAAGGGTCAAACAAATTTATCTGTCCACAACAGCTCTTATTGTACTGCTTCTGACATGTTTAATACAGATTAGCATTTAATGTTACCTATCAACAGTATATTACCACCAGAAGGATTTTAAAAATAAATGATGTGACATTGCAACTGGCAAATTGAATAATATTTGCACAGGCAGTGAGGCTGCTTTAAAATAAATGTCTGACCTACAAAATGTTGGAAATAATTGTGCATGAAAATTAATGCAGTATTGTCTCAAAAAATTAAAAAATCATTCCATACATTGATGGAAAATTTATGTTCATGCAGGAAAGAATCCTTCTGCCTCTCCCCCTTCTCTATGATATCTCTCCCCTAATCATACCTGCAAAACCTGTCAAAGGTCAATTGTGTCTGAGGAGATGCAACCTTGGTTTTATAACAATAAAGTTCATTTGATGCACTAAATATTTAACACACAAAATATATCTTCTTGGATGAAAATTGATCCATAACCAAAGAAAAAATTCTGAATATGAGTAAAAGATATTAAGTAAGTGAGACAGCAATCCATCAACTAAAAAAAATAAGGATAACATTAGTTCTTCACACATCAGAGAAGTAATGCTTTTTATATATTATATATAATGTCAAGTATAAACTAAGAGACTAGAAAAGTTGTGAATAAATTTAACAGAGACTAACTATCAAACTGCTGTCATCAATGGCAAATTCCAAGTTTATATTTTGTTACAGAAGAAACTAAGGGCGATATAAAAATGATAATTCAATAGATATAGCATAATTCTGCTGTGTGACCAAAAATATCTATGAGTTTGACTGTCCCTCTGGTATCTTTCGTCCCTCTTTTATATGAAGTAGAACGTTAGGGTTCGATACATTATTGTAATTTCCTGTGGTATTAAGATATTCTATATTTTGGCGCTAAATAGATTATCTACCCTTTTGGGTTTTTAATTTTGAAAAAAACATGTTTTCTGTTTCAATAAAATTTAGATTATTTATTTTTTTTAATTTTTACAATCTTACGTTTTTTTGTACACAGTTTGTTGTCATTATTTAACGTGGAAGTTTTGGCGGATTCGAAACTAATTAAGCTGTCTCCACTCAAAAGATAAACATGCGGACGTCTCCTTGGGGACGTTTACCTCTATTATAAACTGGAAGTGGTACTGGATCATCGATATAAGCTATGATAACGTTAAATACATAACACATTTAAGTGTCTTCGTATTCCATAACATTCCAGAGGCATGACGCTTTTCATTTTAGAAAGAGATATATATTTTGTATAAAAACATGAGCAAACCTGTGTTGGAAACCTTTCCACGTGCATGGACTATTTATCACAGTTTGGAGCTTTAAAGGTGATGAAAGTTTATAGCTAATTGTGTGACCATGTTTACTCTGATGTTAAACTTTATTATATAGGTAAACATAACTTTTCACCGTTTCAATAGATATAGAATTTGAGAAACATTATTAATCTTTATTTCAAACACTAAATAGCTTTCAAAGTTTGTTAAAACTTGATTTGTTGCAAAACTTTAGCCACTGTTTAAACATATGCTGAAGTAGAAAATGGTTTATACACAAGGCAAGTGTTCTTCAATTTTGCAGTTGCAAGTTGATCACTTTATCAAAATCAACTTTCTTTTTCCTTAGGAGACTCATCATTTCTAGAATTCTTAATTATTTTAAAATTCACTGTTTACAAAACTTAGAATTTTTCAAAAATACTAAGGATTTTTTATCCCTCAGCTGTATTTGGCAACAACTTTCAGAATTTGAGGTCCTCAATACTCTTCAACTTAGTACTTTATTAAGGCTTTTGAACATTTTTCATTCAAACGTCACTAATGAATCTTTTGTAGACGTAACACACCTAATGTACATGTTGTACGATTAATTGAAATATTAGGAAATAGATTTATTATAAATGTGTAGAATGTATGTAAAAAGCTTTGAAAAACTACCCTTTTTTCGCTATATTACATGTATATTGCTATTTACCAATCTGCATTATTTTGAAATTTCATTGACTTTTTGTATTTGTGTTGTCTAGATAAGCAATTCCTTTATTATATTGAGTTCTGGATTGAAGGAATTTTCTGTAATTATATTTCCATTGAAAGAAACACAAGGTATTGCAGTTTTTGTACCTGACCCCTGATGAAAAATAGGTGTAGAATTTTTGTTCAAGGGCTGGTAGCTATCTCATTTGCATCAAAGTCAGATTCTGAAAGGCAAATGACATATGGTATTAAGGATAAATGTAAATAAATTAAATCATACAGAAATAATTTTGGTTATTTTCAGAAATAATAGGGGTTTTTAATCGCCCTTAATTGGACACCGATTTTTGCCAAATTAATGGAGTAAAATGATATTGCTTATATTAAAACAATTCTCCAAAAAACATTGATTTACTGATTTGATAGTCAGAAGAAAAACCCTCATTGTAAATCCTAAATTCATTCTTAATTTATTATCAACTTGAAATATCCATTTTATTTCTGTTTTCAAAATATAAAGTAGCATGATCCAACAAAGGAAATCTTTGTAATTTTAATTTATTAAAATCAGTACAGTTTTAAACTATTGCATTCCACAAACGATTTTCAACGTTTTTACAAAAACTAGCTGGTATTGAAATTTCATACAGTTCATGCAGCAAAACTGTTGATATGCATTGTAGATTTGTTTATGTTGTGTCACTTCATGTATAAATTTGACTGTTCAGAAAAAAAAAATGACAGACTTTCAAGTCCTCAAAAAATGACTGAAATCATGTGTAAAAATATTAAGTTATAGTTTAAATTTCCATACATTGAGCAAAAAAGCTAAGTGTAAGTAAGTGAACTTTGTAACTTAAATATTTGATGAAACAATTATCAAACTTCTTTAATATGTCTGCTTATTTATTTTTTGATCAAGCAGTTAGTAAACTTTAATATTATTTGCTGACTGCATTCACTTCTGCTCATATTTATATTCACTTGTAGAGTAATACCAGTGCAATGTATAACTTTTTTTAGGGACAAATGAAAAGATGTAAAATCTCTTCGATGATCATGATAATGGTATAAAATGGTCATCAAATTTTTATTGAGAAAATTATTAGATTCAATAAAATTAAAAACATGCTTTTTTATACTAAATTTGTTCAATGTTAAATTAAGAATGAAGGCTGAACTTAGAAAAAATACAATAACATTATTTTATTTTTTACTGATGCAAAAAAGTCTCTAGTATTAGACATTTTATTTCAGTAGCTGGAATACATGTTTAAAAGTACATTTACACATATGGATGATATGCAGTAGATAAAAATAGCAGATTGATGTAATTTGAATTTTGTATTTGTTTTGTTTTATACATATTATTTGAATTTAAAAAAATCTCAACCAGTAGTGCAGTTATTCTGAATTATGAATGAATCCGTACATTTATTATTGATTGTAGATTTAGACACCTCTATGTAACTGTTGTTCCAAATGATGTATTGTTTACTTTTTCATTGATTATTCTTTTTCCATGGATGAATAAAACTAAAAACATTTAAATAATTATTCTTGGTTTATATTTTTCAGCTACAATGAGAAATCAATAGTCATCATGCTTGAGGTTTGTCAGTACAATAGTGGAATTTCTACAATTATAGAACCAATGAATGACGGTGTCATAACTATCAACGGCAACATGAAGCATGCTTCTGCTAATGTTGAAGTTTATGAATTTAATTTAGGACAAGCACAGCAACTTAGATGTGTTAACCGTAGCAAAGCTACTGTTTGTGGAGATTGTGAAGCATGTATCTTAAATAACAAACTATCAGACATTAAAGAATGGTTCCCAAAGTTGGGAGATCATTCCAAGAAACGACTAATGCTTGGACTTTTAAGGCGATTTCATAGTATCGATCTCTTACATCAACTTGTGACATTATTACACCCAATGATGTGTAAAGATTATACATATGCTCGAAGTCGTACATGTCCAAGTCTGTTCACAGACTCGTCAACTCTGAGTTCTGACCGTGCACTGCCAACAGACAAAGTAGAAGATAATATTAACTCTTACTGGCAATGGTTTGAGAGGACCAACTATTGGACCAAGTCCAACTTTGCCTTTGCTGTTCTACAGATGTGTGACAGTCACCTTTTACACACTTTAGCATCACAAGCTCGTACATTGTTGATCACAGAAGAAAAGGCTGCTTCAAGTTTAGAAGGTTTGTAGCGCATACATCTGTTACATATTACAAGTGGAAATGTTAAAGTAGAATATCCTGTGTTTATGTGCATGTATAATTCAGTTATGCTAAAATTATAAATTTGATCCTTGCATTAATTTCATATGTGTAGATTCTAGGCACTCTACCCTTAGGCTAGAAATAATGTTGAAATATATAAATTGCAAAAAATATGTTTTTATTTCACACTCTTTTAATACATTTTTAGTGTCCTGGCTACATGATGTACATGTAACCTAAAATAAAGGGGTACACGTCCCCTCTGCTCTTATAGTCATGTCCTATGCATGCTAGTATCTCCTTTGGAAATTTACGTTCCCAGTTTTATGTTTATTGATAATTTACTTAGTACAATGTAGTATTTATGGGGAAAATTTGGCGATAATAAAAAGACCATTACTTTCATCTTTTTCAAGTGTCTTTTAAATTTGCACCCTCCTTACTTGAACATAAATAAATTATAAATTTACGATAAAGAACATTAAAAAATTATGAAATTAAAAAATAAAATTTTAGGGGAATTTTGGAAACATAGTCATAACTAAAATTTATTCAGATTTATGTTTCATTTAAAGGGATCATTTATTTTAGTCCATAAATAAAGTCATTGAAAGTATATGAGTACATCTCCATGTTGTGGAGATGACAGAATTAATAATGCTGACCATGCAATTTATTATCTGAATGACTTGTAAGATTTAGATGAATAAGAATGTAATAAATTTACGCTACGGTTCATTACCAAATATTCAATCAAAACTTGCAATATACATGTACATTTTAATTTAAACTAGCATATGACATGTATGAGTAAATTTGAGAATTTCATTTGTTGATTGGACAAAAAATATTACTTTGACCTGCATGTACTTGTATATATTTTCAAATGTGTATTTTGTTTTGTTAGAAGTCTTTTTAGTTAAAGATGAAAATATCATCATGTTTAATTTCATTTTCAAAATCCATTTCCACTTTTTCTTTCTGAATTATTATTTTTTTGTCTACTGAACCCACTTATCCTATTGAAGCTGACTGTTTTGTGTAAAATTTGCATGGCGCATTTCACCAAAAAACTTGAGAGAAAAAATACTTATGTACATATACATGTACATATATGTCACAAACATGATTCTTCATGAAAATACCCACAGCTATTTTGAGCATCTTTCCTTTTTGTTTTTTGATATTTCTTAAGTAAGTCCATATTCTAACAAAGTTTGATACATGTACAAAATGTAGGTCAGTTTAGAATATTATCGGTTGATTTTGTAAGATGACTTGAAAGACATACATGTAGTTAAATCAAAGTAATAAATGCCTGTTTTATATGAATATGGCTGCATGACAGAGTCCTTGGAATTGATTTGTTTTAGTAACTTGTCTTTTGACAACTTTTTGACAACTGGTTTTTAAAACACATCTTTATACAAAGGCATGCAGATTCATTTACACAACTTTTTAGATGACTGCAGCAATTGTGTCTTGTATGCATATTTTTGTTTGCATATATTTAAATGGTAAGATATCTGTTTATATTGTTATTTGATGAAATAAAGGTTGTTCTTATACATCTTCACATTGACTGAACATATACATATTAGTTTCAAAGCTTTAAATCACTTTATTAATGCTTTGAAATTTGAGTCATAATTGTACTTAAACAAGGTATTACAACTAAAGTTTACAGAACATATTACATTTTAATATATATTCAACAATTTTACTTAAATTTATATTTTATAATCCTGTGCAAAGCGTTGTCACCTTAGTAGCACATATTAACTGTTTATGTTTCAGATCGATATTTGGCCTCTTTCCTTTCTACTGAAAATTAAGACTTTTATCTTATACAGTTATTTGATATTAAAATAGATATTGGATAATCTTTTTATACTATACTGAAAGCATCTTAACAAACCTCATTTATATTATTATAACATGTACAATGTAGAGTGGATTTTACATTTATCAATTGCTACATGCATGTGATTGTAGATGCACATGTATTACATTTGTACATCTAATATGCTATATACTGTTATTTCCATGATAAGTTTATTTCCAATACCCGGTACATAAAGTATGACATAATAGCTTATTTCTCTAATTTAAAAGAAGATATAGAAAATATCCATTCAAATTTGTTGCCCTTCTTTATATCTGAAGTTATAAAGAACTTCTTTTTTTTTAATTTTTTGTATAATTTTCCTTTCATTTGTTTGAAGTCATATGAATTATGTCAATAAGATAAAGTCTTTGAAGTGAACACTTTTCTGCTATTTTAAGTCATTTGTAAACAGAAAGTATAAAGCGAAATACATGTCCTATTTGTACTTTAATATTTTTTACAATCTCAGAGAAAATTTTCAGGAGAATATTGACAATGCTATATTAATTTCTCCATTATACTCTGACCAAAATTTTTTTCATATTTTGAGAAATGAAAAGTTAGTTCAAAACTTATTGAACAGTCATTATACGCCCGTTTACGGGACGTATTATGGTATAGCGTTGTCTGTTCTTCAGTCTGTCTGCCTGTCCGTCGTCAACATGTCGGAAAAAAAACTCAAAAACTCTTTAACCAATTTGCATGAAACTTTGTGGTGAATTGTTTATATCTATTGCTGTGAGCTCCCTTTTGCTTTTTATAGATTTTAGATTTTACTTTTCCGAGTTATGGGATTTTATTTATGTCATTAAACATGATATCATATACATTTTGGCAGTATAATCTTTACATGGATGATAGTGAGATGCATTTCAGATTATGATTAGTTTACTTAGTTTGTTGGATCAAAAAATATTTCAGATATTGTAAAATGTTCAACTTTAGACAATTTCATCTGAATTGACATTTATCATTAAAGAGTTATGTCCCTTCATTATCTGGAAAATTGGGACTTTTAGTGTCCAAATTCAAGGACTGCTTGATAAATCTTCATAACTTTTACACAATGTCTTGCACCACAAAAGGCTTATTATGGTGGTTAATTTCAGTTTAGATGGTTTTGACATTTATCATTCAACATTTAGGCTTCTTTAAGATCAAATATTTTGGTCTACAGTAATAAGCCTTTTACCATGTTTACATTATATTATATAACTACAGACAGGGTTATCTGTAATCACTTACACCTGACTATATATACCATTTGTAATGTTAAATACATAAGTATATATTTAATTAAATGAAGAAAGCATGAAAATTTACTTAAAAGGAAAGTAGAGTTAATGGCAGCAATTAGTTTAAGAAGGTATTGGCAGCACCTATTTTATAGTTTTTGGTTATTAAATGGCTTCATAGATGACACATTTTAATCATGTTTATACTTTGTAGTCATGGTTGTAATCATAGTATAAGGGTACAACTGAATCATTTAAGATAATTTTTATACTTGATTATTTCGAATTGATATGACCATTTACAGTCAATACAAAATACTAATTTTTGTGGTTACATTTTTCAGCGTATAGTTGATTATTAAGATACAAAATCAAGGTTTGAATATGTTGTGTTATTTATTTATGAATTCACATACTGCATGTAAAATAGGGAAACATTCATATTCACATACGCATGATTGTAAAACTTTTTAAGTTTGTAGATTTATTATAAATTAGGATAACACTAGATGTTTTGCAACAATGCAGCAATGCAAATTATCTAGAATCCATATATAGAATAATGGCATTTTTCTTTTTGATACTGACTTTATCAGCAAGAATATCCGAGCTGATGAAGTCAGTATCAAAAAAATAAAATGCCATTATTCTTTTTATCGTCAATTTGTCTTAACCAAATGTTTTTTGTTGAGAATATAAGGTAAAATGAAATAGTAAGTAAAATTTCTTTTATGCATAGTTCGGTTGTATGAATAAAGTGTGCATTTCATTGATAAATTGACATGAATGGACTGTGCACTTTAAGTTGCTGCACTGGTACATGATGTCATTGCCTAATATTTTCGAGTATCAAGTCCTGTCCATGATCTTAAAATTATTAGGCAGTAAGATCAAAAGGAAAATTTACAAATTTTGAATCCTTGCTGTCATCTATCTTTTGCCATTCATTGAAGTTCATCTTCTATTTTGTTATTTATGTTTGATTGTCTATTAGTATGTCCTTTACCAGGCTAAAGTTTGGTTCAAGGTAGTCTACAATGAAGTTGTGGTCACTTAAGTTGAATCTAAGTTCAGGTTCTTCATAATGTGAACTTTTTGAAATATATGCCAAATTGAAGTTTGACACAGAACATGGAAATCTTACATTGTCATTGTGACTGGGACATGGTGTCCTATGGATATTTATTCTTGTTCAAAAATTTCATCCTCTGATATCAATGGGACAATTGAAACCAAACAAGGCCACAAGCATCAAGTTTAGTTTCAAAGTTTTATATCATGTTTTGACCAGCCACTAAATTAGCCACCACTTTAAGAAACATATTGTATGTATAGTACTTTAACTTTGTCATTAAGAAAGGCTGATTTATTTTGCTGAATCTTAAGGTCATTTGTATTAAATTTAATTGCACATTATGCATTGTTAGTTTAATCTTATTATTAAACATGTTAAAGTCCCTTGCAACTTTTTCTCCACTTTGTATAGAAGAATTAAATGCTAAACCATATAAGCTTACACTCGATGAGTCGTCTATTGGAAGGTTAAGCTTACACTCTATGAGTCGTCTATTGGAATGTTAAGCTTACACTCTATGAGTCGTCTATTGGAAGGTTAAGCTTACACTTTATGAGTTGTCTATTGGAAGGTTAAGCTTACACTCTATGAGTCGTCTATTGGAAGGTTAAGCTTACACTCTATGAGTCGTCTCTTGGAAGGTTATATTTTCACTCTACGAGTCGTCTATTGGAAGATTAAGCTTACACTCTATGAGTCGTCTATTGGAATGTTAAGCTTACACTCTATGAGTCGTCTATTGGAAGGTTAAGCTTACACTTTATGAGTTGTCTATTGGAAGGTTAAGCTTACACTCTATGAGTCGTCTATTGGAAGGTTAAGCTTACACTCTATGAGTCGTCTCTTGGAAGGTTATATTTTCATGAAATTTTATTTTCTCTGTCATCTAATTACTTGATTATTAATCTGATATTACAAAGTTGAAATTAGGCAAACTACACTTATAGCTGGGAAATTAGGGCTAGGGCAAATATTTTAGTTTTCTAATGCTAATTTAACTCAGAAAATTCATTGCTGCTGATTAAAAGCAGATTTTTCTTACATAAGAATTGAGAAGTTTGTTGGTCAGACTGAATGAACATTTTTGAATGAGAATTTTAATACTGTTGATTCATTTATTTTGTGGTTATCAATTTTTTTGGGGATTGAAGAAAAATTGTATTTTTTGTTGAAACATGTTTTTGATTTCTAGTTAAGCCAAAGTCTCCACACAGACCTATAGAAAATTTGTGCTTAGTTGGACATTTATATTCATGGTTGACCTATACCCACAAAATCCACAAAAATGGGTTTCCCACAAATAGTTGTGAATCCACAGTATTGATTTTGTAGTCTACATTTCACTCATACGTATTCATACGATAAGTCAAATACTGGGGCTGTCTTCCTCTTGCTGGTTGATTTCAGTCTTTTCTGTTGAAGATGATCTTGCAACTAAAACAAAATCTGAAATAAAATTGTTATTCTCGAAGTGGTAATACCTTTAATATATATTACTGTTGAGTCCTCATATTTCATGAGATTTTTGTTTCAGAAATATCCAATCTATTTTTCCATCTTTCCTAGTTTGTATTTTTATCAGTTTTTGTTTATTTGTATGATTAACTTTGCAAGCACAGGTCAAACAAACCAATACTGAAAAAAACTAATATAAATAGAATTTCAAAAATTTTCATGTGAAATGTCTATTCTGTTGAAGGAAAGACATGCATCTAACAGTGTGGGGCCTTTTTTATTGAAATTCTTTATAGAATTAAATGTTCAAACCTTAAAATTCCTCCTACTTAATAGTCATTTGAACTGATTTAATTTATTGGGCTGAATTTTAAATTTGAATTAAATTTTCGTTTTTAAATTAAAACTGAAAGTTTATATTGGCAGGTGTTTGTTATCTTAATATTTGCATATTGATGTGACACAATACAATTTTGAATTAAACTTTAGTAATCTTCCAGGTAGCATGCCTGTTGACGCAATGCTCATGTTGATAAATCTTACTGTAATAGTTTTATAGACTTATGTCCTGTCAGATTTGATTAAAATTTTCTATTGTTAAAAATTGAACTTTTCAAATGTTTAAAGTGAATTGCCCTCATTGTATTTATATTGCCTCATATTTGATCAGAACATGATTGTATTATAACACATTGTTTAATTTTGAAATTAAATGTAAGTGTTGAATTGATTTTTTGGGTGAAATTAAATTGATTCACATCAAAGAAAATTTACACTCTGTATTTCTATTTATTCAATAAAATGTTTGTTAACTGGTCATACATTAACTTATGATCAAATAAGTGCTCCTTAATTGGAATTGTTTAATATCAAATCTTATATATGATTTAATTGTAAGGATGTTGCTAGTATATAGTCTATTCACATGTATTTGGTTGTCAAGGATATTAAAATCACGCCTTCTTACACTCTTACTATGGTGGTCTCACAGACGCATGCTCATCTCGATTGTGGGAGCTAGGTTGATTCCAGGTCAAATCAAAGCCTACACAATTGGTATATGTGTGCTTTTCCACAAAGTACACAACATTTATGAGTAACAGCAAAGTCTGCTTGGCTAGGATTCAGAATGATGTGTCCGGGTAGTATGATATGTCTTTCTGCAGACAGTTACACTGAGAGCTAGGATGTCAAGCTTTGTGTGTTAGTCTAGTACAAAGCATGGTATATTCATATCTCATTACATGTTTGAAATATGTTATCAGCCTGAATATGCATGTAATGTTTGCTGTTGAACACCAAGCATCCATCAATCCATTTTATGATCTTTTATTGTCTGAGGTAATTGAAGCAGACAGTATCAGAGTTTTGATGTTTAAAGAATTATATATAAGAGTTGATCCACCCCCACCCCCCTTTTATGATAGTAGTGGTGATAGTAGTGGTGCATTATTTTATCTGGGCTCTGAATCCATCCTATATCAGGTGAAAGTTTTATCTGGGCTCTACATCCATCCTATATCAGGTGAAAGTTTTATCTGGGCTCTACATCCATCCTATATCAGGTGAAGGTTTTATCTGGGCTCTACATCCATCCTATATCAGGTGAAGGTTTTATCTGGGCTCTACATCCATCCTATATCAGGTGAAAGTTTTATCTGGGCTCTACATCCATCCTATATCAGGTGAAAGTTTTATCTGGGCTCTACATCCATCCTATATCAGGTGAAGGTTTTATCTGGGCTCTGCATCCATCCTATATCAGGTGAAGGTTTTATCTGGGCTCTACATCCATCCTATATCAGGTGAAGGTTTTATCTGGGCTCTGCATCCATCCTATATCAGGTGAAGGTTTTATCTGGGCTCTACATCCATCCTATATCAGGTGAAGGTTTTATCTGGGCTCTGCATCCATCCTATATCAGGTGAAGGTTTTATCTGGGCTCTACATCCATCCTATATCAGGTGAAGGTTTTATCTGGGCTCTGCATCCATCCTATATCAGGTGAAGGTTTTATCTGGTCTCTACATCCATCCTGTATCAGGCTAAGGTTTTTAAGTTGTATCACATCAACTGGAAACTAATTACACACTGATGTGGACTTTTTTTTAATTATACATCAAAACATATGTTCATTATATGAACTTCTAAAATTTTATCCCAAATTACAGTTTTGACCCCAATTTTAAGGAACCAAACAAAAGAAACGATAGTGGAAACGGGGCATGTCCATTTCATGTTGATGTCTATTATCACTTTTATTGAATTTTAACAACCTTGGAATTAATCAGTCACCTTTTCCTTAAAATCTGTTTTATTTAGAATTTTGCTGGTATCTTCCATAGAACGTTTATAGATATGGAATTATCAACATTATTAATTTTGTGTGAGAAAATATATGTTGAAAATTTTAACAACTTGGACAGTTAATTAATATATAAATTGATGATATCTTTCTTAATTAATCAAAACTTTCAGTCCTGCAAAGAGGATGAAATATTCATTCTTAAACACCCTTGTTAATATTATAAAGCCGATGATTAAATGTCTTTCATACTATGACATTGCTTTATGTTTAAAGAATGCTCTTCTTCAAACATGAATTATGATTTTATATATCATATTTTTACAATGATTTAATCTACGGTCGTAAGCCTGTCAGATATTAGTCTTTGGTAGACTAAATGGATTAGTATCTTTTTAATACCTTATCCAAGATTAAAAGATTTCTACCGAATAAATTGACTCGCGGCCATGTAGTTGGGAACCTTTGTACTGTTATTTTAGCTGTTTTATCAACACATCAGCACGATAGTGTAGTATTGTTGGATACTCACAAAACCTCTTCACAACAGCATTGTTCACAATCCATCAAACAATTTTTCATAAAATTGTCTTATATAATTCTCTCAATGCTGCGTCACATGCTTTGTCATTTTATACAAAGATAATTTGATAAATTGAAATAAATTGATATTAAATCTTATATTTACCACTCCAGTTAATCTATTGTAATTGAAATATGTTTTATATGCTGTTGAGATTATAGACAATCGGCACTACATGTACTTTTATAATTTATTATAGTTTAAGACATTCAAGTATATACTCTTCCATTATCACATTAAGTTTTAGTCTCACTTATACTTTGGAAATTTTTCATGTGTCATTGTACTTACTGACTTCAAAGAGATTAAAGTCAGAACGACATGAAAACGTAGTTTTTGTCTTGCTGGTGCTGAAAAGCAAAGCATATTAGATTAAATTTTTGTATTGCTGGTGTCAGCTTAATTATAGAGTTAAGGTTGGTTGAGAAAAGAGCTTCTTGTTAGGGTCAAATAAACCTAATATGCTGTTGTTTAAGCATTTCAGCTGCTTTCAGTCATGTCTTTGCAACTTTTAAGAAAACAGACATAATGTTTGTTTTGTATGTAACTACAAAATACCATAGTCAGTGCTGGTCTGTCTGTAAACACAATGAGTTAGAAAACAAAGCTATCGGTATCTTAAGTTAATAGTTGTAGATACTGTCTTTCCATGTGAGATCACAAAACTCTTTTACAACCCTTTGATCACTAATTGTAGGAAGGCAATTAAAGAAGATTGAATTCATTTCCACTTAAAAACCACTTTACATTTAATTGGTTAACACTACTTAATAACATGTTATAATGGAATATTTTATTGTTCAAACACATGCATTACTTTAATTATTTGCATGTAGAACTCAACAGAAGTAATCGATTTAGTTGAGGTTTTATATGAACATTAGATTTCTGAGTACTTCTATCTATCATGTCTATATAGCAAAATCAAAAGTTTTTTATTTTATCTCATATGATAATGATATACCCTCTAGTTCTTTAGATTTGGTTTGATTTGATTAACACTTGGGTATGTAGGATATGTGTATCATATATATGTCTCTGGTATGACATTTCTTCCTACATGATGGTTTTCTTTACCTTAAAATTTTCTACAGCAGTCACAATTTACTTTCTAGAGTTATAAAAAAGATGATTTAAAAAATTTTGATTTTTTTTTAAAATTTTGCCTTTAGTGTATATACTACATTTTTTTTAATGAGAAATCTAATGCAACATTTCCTGAATGGCCTAACAGATGAAAAATACATTTAGAATGATATGTTTTTATAGTAACAAATAAACCCTGTATGTCTAATTAAACTGTCATAATCCTCACTACCAGCAGCATTCTTTGGAAAAAATATCTTACCTATATATCTGATTACTCTTCATTTTTAGTAAAGTATTAAAATCATTCCTAATTCTTAATTTTCCAGATGATGACCATCTTGAATCTTCATCAATTTGTGAGACAGAATATTCCTATAAAACAGATGATCATCCTGAACTGGATATGCTTATTAGTTTGTCACCAGAATATGGTTCTCCAACAAGAGACCCAATCACTGGTAAAAAGATCAGACCCACAACAAGACCTCAGATATCAGATCCCCGTGATTTTCATGATGAGACTAGCCTGTCATCATTGGACCCTGCACTTATGGTCATTCCTTCTTCAGCCAAGGCCCATTCTGGTGTGTCCCAGTACAGGGACTTCATTAGATATCTACCAGTCCATCTTGCCAAATATATCCTCCGACTTCTGGATGAGGCTTCTTTACATGCTGCCAAGGATGTCAGTACCAAGTGGCAGGTACTTGTTTCAGAAGTCAAAGTTGAACTGGAGTTGAACAAGAAGTTGATGGAAGAAGTTATGCTCATGCAGGTAAGTTTCAAAATGAAAATTTAGAGTAAAGAAAGTATCAGTGAACAAAAGTTTTTAATTCCATTGCCTGATAAAGACAGGAAGAGGATATTGTATTTTCATTCTGATGATATCAGTAATTTTACACATTAAGGTTTACGCTCTACTTTTTATGCCTCTGCCGCAAGGAGAATGGGGGATTAAGTGTTACCCTTGACAGTCAGTCCTTCCGTCTTTCCGTGAAAACAAGCTTGAGTGGAGGCATTTGTGTCCTCGGACACATTCTTCTTTTATTTTACATCTTTGGTAATAATGAAGGTCCAGATAACAATGGATCACATCGACCTACTTAGTTACACATTATGATTACTACTTGCAATAAGTGATGGTTAAGTTTTGAAGAATGATATTTTAGCAGCAGACAAAGATCAAATTGTGAATTATAATCTTGCAAAAAAAGGGTCAGATTGATCTAGTACAATATACTTGAATAGTTAGATAAATAATATTTGTTTTATGAAAATAGACACAGACAACCATTTGAAAAAGTTGGATAGTAATTCATGATCAATATTATTATTTTCTGACAAGATCCAAAAATCAATCAAACTTTGAAAGTAAAAATTGCAGACTAAAGATTGGGGTGTCCTTCTATGTTATGTCCGTACAAGGTAGATTTCTAAAACTTCAGTAAACAGAATAAACTTGCAGGATTATCAATGCTAAGTGTGTTGATAATTTTTATACATTTCTGGAAGAACGACTTCAGTTTCATGCCCAAAATATCACAAAAAGCTTGATTGGCCTTAATACAGTAAACTTTCATGCCACAAACTGTTTTTGTCCAAGCTTAGGAATTTGGTTATCTGTGTGTTAAATAAAGACCATGGCTAGAGTATGAGATGGCCAACTTGATGGCATAGAAATTTCTCTGATTCAGTTTTTATCTAGGTAAGGTAGAAGTTAAGCTAGGAAGTAATAATATGAATGACAATCTGCTGCAAAAAATAGTCTTCGTCATTGAAGGGGGGTTGTTTCATTGGTATGTGCATGTGCTATGAATCTGGTTTCTACAATATAATTAAAGTATACATAAAAAAGATTATAGGGATTGCCAAAAATTTAAAGATGCATTTATAAGATTGAAAAATACATGAAGCATTATCATGATTTTGGCAAAATTCTAGGGATTTGGAGTAGGGGCAGTCGTTGATAGTGAAAGTTGGAAGGTGAGAATAAAGGGAAGGTGGTAAATAGTGATAGGAGTACAGATTTACTTACTTAGAATTTGAACTTCAGTTGGTAAAAGTGATCTTTATTAACCTTTTCTACCTTTAATGATAGTAGAATCAGTATAGCATAAATCTTCATAATGGGATAAAAATAGGTAATGGTTTACTTTTAAAATGTATATGGCATTGTCTTTTTTGATTTAAAGTAGTTTTTATTTTTTGGTATTGGGAAATTCAGTATTACCTATGTATAAATATAAGAATACAAAAATAAGGAGATGTATGATTTCCCATAAAACAACTATCTGCTGTAGTCCAATTGATGTAAGCAATAAAAGGTTACTGTATAGCCTTCACCAACATGACCAATGAGAAAAACCAATGATGTATAGTCAGCTACTAGTATAATAGGCCCCTATATGACAAAATTTGAAACAATTCAAACAGGAAAACCAACGTTCTTATTTATAAGAAGTCTGTTAAGATTATATTTTGTATTAAAAACTTGTTGCATGCATACTTCTGCTAGTGATACAAGTATGTCTCTAATGGTACATTTGTCAAGAAGACAGTGCTTTGGTATAGTCTTGATTTAAATGATACGTTATGGTCATAAATTGTCATAAATTTAGGTTCCCAAACTCCTTGTTCAAGTGTAAGTGATAACTGATTTTTGTCGAGCCTTCGACTTTTGTCGAAAAAGCGAGACATAGCGATCCTACATTCCGTCGTCGTCGTCAGCGGCGGCGTCCACAAATATTCACTCTGTGGTTAAAGTTTTTGAAATTTTAATAACTTTCTTAAACTATCCTGGATTTCTACCAAACTTGGACAGAAGCTTGTTTATGATCATAAGATAATATTCAAAAGTAAATTTTGTAAAAAAAAAATTCCATTTTTTCCGTATTTTACTTATAAATGGACTTAGTTTTTTCTGCCAGGAAACATTACATTCACTCTGTGGTTAAAGTTTTTGAAATTTTAAAAACTTTCTTAAACTATCCTGCATTTCTACCAAACTTGGAAAGAAGCTTGTTTATGATCATAAGATCCAGAAGTAAATTTTGTAAAAAAAAAATTCCATTTTTTCCGTATTTTACTTATAAATGGACTAAAAATTGAGAATGGAAATGGGGAATGTGTCAAAGAGACAACAACCCGACCATAGAACAGACAACAGCAGAAGGTCACCAACAGGTCTTCAATGCAGCGAGAAATTCCCGCACCCGGAGGCGTCCTTCAGCTGGCCCCTAAACAAATATATATACTAGTTCAGTGATAATGAACGCCATACTAAACTCCAAATTGTACACAAGAAACTAAAATTAAAAATAATACAAGACTGACAAAGGCTAGAGGCTCCTGACTTGGGACAGGCGCAAAAATGCGGCGGGGTTAAACATGTTTATGAGATCTCAACCCTCCCCCTATACCTCTAGCCAATGTAGAAAAGTAAACGCATAACAATACGCACATTAAAATTAGTTTATCTGCCAGTTAACATTACATTCTCTCTGCGGTTAAAGTTTTTTAAATTTTAACAACTTTCTTAAACTATCCTGGATTTGTACCAAACTTGGACAGAAGCTTGTTTATGATTAAAAGCTAGTATCTAGAAGGAAATTTTGTTCAAATTTTGTTCCATTTTTTCTGTATTTTACTTATAAATGGACTTAGTTTTTCTTCCAGTTAACATTACATACAGTCTGCAGTTTAAGTTTTTAAAACATTTTTTAGATTCATAAACTATCCTGGATTTTTACCAAACTTGGACAGAAGCTACTTACAATCAAAAGATAGTATAGAGAGGAATATTTTTATTAATTTTTTTCCTCATTTTTGTTGAGCCTGCGATTAAGAGCAAAAGTAGGCGAGACACTGGGTTCCGCGGAACCCTTACGAATTTTTCTAGAAACATGTTGTGCACAGAAAAATCGGTATCATGTTTATATTGCAGAACATGACTTTTAAAAAGAAATTTTATACATTAATTTATCTTTTTCCTTCCTCTCAGCAAATTATAGGTGAAGTTGTAGCAGCATCAAATAGATATTATTTCAATGAAATGGCTGTTTGTTTTTGTATATATCGATATATAAAAAAGACAAGGGAACTGTTTTACTAGCTAAATTGTTATTTATTTTTGTTCTTATACTGACAAATACTATTATTTCTAGGGTGCCTCTGCTCAAGGTGTTAATCATGAATATGCAAAGGATATTGATGTACTGGTCCCTAATCTGTATCCTGGTACAAGGGAAGTAATTAAAACAAATGGTGAAGTAACCTACCATCCTGACTATAAGACAATGATGACCTTTGAGACAGGTTACAGTGGCATATCTGTACGTAATGCTATCATTGAAGAAAGGAATGTTTTCTGTGGATCCTACTATGTACAGATTATGTTAAAATTGTAAGTTTATATTCAATATATTAAAACTGTATTAAAAATACCCCCCAAAAAATATGTCTATGACTCTATGGTTAAAGTAAACAATAACTATGTATTTAATAATTACTGACAATTACAGTTCAGAAAAGAAAAAAGATTTTTGCTGATGTCTGTTTAAGTATTTGTAGGAGTGTATTCACCAAGAATAATGAAGATTCTAAGTCAAATATTCATAGCAGTAGTATCACATGGTTGACATAAAAATATACAAAACTTTTGGGAAGACTGGTGTCAAGTATTTGATTCGCCCTCTTTTAGCCTCTAGTTTAGATTTTGATTTATGTAGACAATTTCATTTTTTGAATACATGCATATTTAAAAATTTACAGTTTCAAAATATAAAGGACTATGATTATTTACATTTTTCTGAATAGGTTAATTATTTATGAATTTCCTTAATCCTTTTTTCCAGAGATGATCCTCATCGAGTGTTCCATACAGATGGAGGAAACTTAATTGTTACTGGATCTAAAGATAGAAAGCTAAGATTTATTGAAATGGAGAATAGAGCAGAATTAGACCTTAAGATATCAGGGCATGCTGGCAGTATTAAATGTGTTCATCTTAATGAACAAGAAAATTATGTACTTAGTGGGAGCTATGATACAAGTATAAGGTACTTTATTATTTTATTTATTTCAGTCAGGGATCTATGCTTTAGTTGATGATATTGTTTGAATGATAGATAGTCCTATAAACAACTAAATAGTTGTCTAGTATTTTACACTGTGGTCTTTATTTAAGCTTTTATTTAGATTATTGAAATTTAGTCTTTTCATCTTAAATTATTTACCTATATGTTGGTGGGTAGAAAAACAAAGTTCATGGGTTGCTGAATTTGTGGTTCAAGAAACAAAGCGTTTTCTAATGATTATCATAGGAGATCAGGAATCAAATTTCAAAAGTGCAAAAATTTGCAGTTTTGATAAATTTTAAGAAGATTGTAATGATAGGTAAAGAAAATTCAAGATGAAGGAATGAGAAAGACAGAAAATTGTTTTCAAATATTAATTTTACACTTTTAGCAAGCATTTTAGCAAGATGTTGTTTTGGTACATGGATAGTATTTTTAGATTGCATTTAATTGTTGGCTCAAATTGTTCATAACATGATAACTCAAATAGTTCACTGACCAACCAGATAGGATAGAAATAGTAAAATTTGTAATTTTAATTTAGAATGCTGAACATTTAAAATTCTCAAGAACACTTCTGATCACAAAATGTTATTTTAAATTCTCTAATAAGGCCCATTTTTAAAACAGGAAATGGAGCACTAAAGATGGGAAATGTCAAAAGATATTCCGTGGACATAGAGATACAGTATTGTGTATTGAAGTTGTAGAAAACCTTCTGTGTTCAGGTTCTAAAGATGGTGCTTGTAAAAGTAAGTGTAAATGTAATTTTGATAGAGATTTATTTATTGAGATTTATTAGTTTAAACTATGCAACCTCATGGATGTGTTGTTTTTTTTGGTTTGAGGGCTGTGAGATCATTGTAAGCAAACCATGAACATGGATCTATATATTTCAATAAGATTTTGCTACATTTAATCTTAAGTATTCCCATTAAAGATAAAAAATAATTGTCACTTACCAATCTGTATTTTTGTCTACAGTAAAATAATTTCTATTTACATAAGTAGGATTAAGTTTTTTTAAACTTTTATAAATGATTTTACATGGAAAACCAATATAGATTTAAACCCATGTATACTAAAGCTGAATAATTGTGTACTTTAAAATAGATTGAAAACAAATAGTTAATTGCTATTAAGCTCAGTGCATTAGGCGTGCAAATAAGTCATCATAATGAAAAAAAATGTTTTTCTATTCATTTCACTGAAGATAAAGCCTCAATTAAAATAAGAATTAATCCCTATATGCAAAAACACATATTAATGTTCATAGTTTATTTATTTTTGAAAATGAGAGTTTAAAGTCAATAGTTAGAATAAAAGAAAATCAATACCTTGTTAGATATCACTTCTTAACTACTCTTTTTAACTCAAACATTTTCAGGAGATAAAAGGATAAAAAATAGTTCTTCAGAATGTCAGTTTAGATTTGAATCAATCAAGTCTGTTTACTTTTGTTAAGAAACCGTTATGAAGAGTTGGTTTTTGAAAATGACTATCTATTACTTTTCTTAACATAAACTTGAGAACTAATTACTCAGATAACTTTTTATATGACCAATACATATGACACTTTCAGGTTTGCAAATATTGTTGTTACCAATGTATAGATTTATCTTATAAGGTCTTTCATGAGGTCTTTTGTAATATCATGAAACAGCTATCTTGTTTTAAAATATAAGTAAATGAATATACAAAAATATCTTAAGTTTGTGTATAGTAGCTATTCTGGTGTAAGATTTGTTATTGAAATACATTGTATATATATCTTCATGAAAAAGTACTGTGCAGTAGGAAAACACTTTTGCATTTTTTAATGACAGCATTTTGATATTTGATGTGTTCAATATATAAAATGTATATTATGAATTAGGGATTATTTTTACTGAGATTCATTAATGTTGACAGCAATAGATGATAACATCTGATTATTGCTGTGATTCACTTGGTCATTTGTAAAATAACATGATAAATTCAGCAATGCAGCATTCAGCCTTGTGGGATATTTTTTTTTAGTAACTTTTCTTAAACCTTTAAAGTTACAAGATGACAAGGTCCTCTATGTAAACTACATAGGCATATGTAGGAAATAGCAAATATCTACCCACCAGGTAGTAATGAAACTTAATATTATCAAGCAAGGCATATACCCACGTGAAATAACCCTTACTCAGGTTGACAATTTTGGATATTCTACTCCTCAGCGGGCCATAACTGTTTTATTATACCGAACAAACAATTATTAGATGTAAAATATTGCCCTACGGGAGTAAAAAAGATTCAAAACACTTACGCTAGGAAATTATTTTGTGTCTTAGATTTTTTTGCCATTTTGTTTACGGGCGTCAATGACGTCATTTTTTATGGGAGATAACTAGTGCAAAAACCAAGGGGCTGAAAAGGTTATTCACTGGGGAATATTAGGGTTGTTCGATGGAGGCTTCAATATGTCAGGTTATTCATCGCATTTTTGGAAAAACATCGAAATTAAACTATGACACGTGATTCCGTATTAGCCAATCAAATAATTACTATACAATGTAAGGTATAATAAACAATTTTATACATATGCTTCAGTTCAATATGGACCTGAACAAGTTTATAGAAACTGTTATCAAATTTTAAGAGTAGTAATTCCCCTTCAACAACTTTAAGGAAAAAGAAATATAATTATTTCCAATGATGGAAGACATCCTGACAATGTTCTGTTATATTTTATTTATCTTTTGTACTGTGTATAAATTCCACTGCCTGTTAAAAAAACAATTCTTTTCACTTCAGTAAGTATTTGTAATTTAATATTTCAGTATGGAACATGCAGACAGGGAAATGTATATCCAACTTGAAACATCGTAGTCCAGTATCAGCCTGTGCTATGTCAGAAGAGATGGTTATCACAGGATGTGAAGATGGTTTAGTCAAGGTTTGGGATCTTAAATCAGCAGAACTTATCAAGGTTAGTACAACAGTAGTCTATCTGTTATCCATATAATAAGTGGTATTTTGGTGATTGAACCATATTCACACCGTATTACTGTCTATGGGTACAGCAGATGCAATAGGTAACACAGGTCAAAATCTACTGTACACTATTGCAAATGTATCTGTGGTGTTGTAGTGATAGCCAGTAATAGGGTGTCATATTGAACTGGTCTATATTAGTTTTCATTTGTATGTACTTCCTAATAGGATGTTCAGCAGTATGTTTTAAATTAGATGTCTTCATTATTTCTTAACTAAATTGACATACATAAAGTTTCAAAGTACATTGAGGATACCTTCAATAACTGCAATCATTCTTTCTTTGAGACCTTATGATCTAGTACCCTCCTGTTTCACTTGTACTTGTGATTTCTTTGTCTGTTATTTTGTTCTGCCTAACAAGTCAACTACTCTTAATAGATTGTATTAGCATGAACATCATGCAAAACAAACCAAGGAAAACACGCAGTTTTGCTCAATATGCATGCATCACTATTGTATTGTCAATATGATTATAATATTTTTTCTTCAGATTTTGAAAGGCCATGATGACCAGATAACTGCCATTAAGTTTGATCGTTGGCATATTATCACAGGAAGTAAAGACAGCTATGCCCATGTATACAGTACACAGGGAAACCATGAAAGGATTCTGAATGCCCTCAAACATCCTCAGTATGTATTATTTGTATCAAAAATCAAAAACATTTTTGGATATTTGTTAAGGTAGAAAATGTTGTTTTTAAACATGAATTGATAAGCAGGTAGTGTTTTCTTGTGTTGATGATAAAAAGTTTTTAAAAATAAATTTCCAGGCATGAAAATTGATACAACTTCAACAAATATTTTTTCCTAAAAAATCACACCTTGATTTGTTAATATTTGACAAAGTCTTTATATTGTCATGATTTTTTATGTCTGATATATTGTCAGCTCTTAAAAAAAAGATATGAAAAATTCTAATTTAATGCATTAAAGAGTAGGATTTTGTAGATTTTTATCACATTATGTAAATTTTATTATAGTAAGAATTTTAACAACTCTATCAACTAGTCTTCACCAAATTAATGTAATTGTGATCACTTTTCAATAATGTATACTTGAAAATGATGTAAATGTGATCACAATTCAAGAATGTATACATGAAAATAATGTAAATGTGATTACTATTCAAAAATGTATATATAAAAATAATGTAAATGTGATCACTTTTAGATAATGTATACTTGAAAATAATGTAAATTTGATCACAATTCAAGAATGTATACATGAAAATAATGTAAATGTGATCACTATTTAATAATGTATATATAAAAATAATGTAAATGTTATCCTTATTAAATAATGTACATGTAATTTTGATTACTGCAGTTGATTTGAAAGCCAAAGGGAGATAAGTCAATTTATAAGCATTTGAAAGAAATTCATTCTTCGCTTTCCTAAGTAGAATAAATTGTGCTTACTTCCAGGGCAGTGCTTTGCTTAGCTTTCATGTACCTTCGAGTAATAACGGGAAGTAAGGATGGTCGACTTAGAATCTGGAACATGGTGACTGGACAATGTTGTCGTATCATGAGAGGAAACAGTCAGAGTGATCCAATCAGAAGTATCGTTGCTATAGGAGATAGGTAATGACAATAGAATTGACTTAATGTAAAACAAGCATTACCGGTTTGATATATATATTAATAGACTTATATAAAATAAGAAGATGTGGTATAATTGCCTATGAGACAAATTCCACCAGAAATCATATGATGCAAATGTTAGCAATAAGTCTGTTAGAGGTTTTTATCTAACTATTAGTATTTTTTTTTCTTAAATTTGCATGACGATTATGCTTGCATGAGTACATTCTTATCTTTAGTTATTGAGAACTAGATATTTGATTTTGACATATAGTTAGAGGAGCACACCACATCAGAAAAACTATAGATTTGAATATAAGGTAGTTTTGTACTTAAAAGAAGATGACCAGGATGGTTAATTAGTCAAACATATTATTTCATTGCTGAAATAATTATGTAAAAATTTACTGCAAGCAGTGATTAAAAACTGCTTTCTTTCAATTTTGTTAATAAAGCCATCCTAAATTATTTATGCATTTTTCAACACTACAACACTAGATCTCTTAGGAAAGGAGAAAAAATAAAAACATACAAAATTTTTTAAATACCAGTGTGATTTATAAGTCTCTCTTTTGATACCTAAATTCTTGTTAAATTGTCTTGTAGCTATCACAAAATGATGTAAGCCTTAGACCACAATATTTTCTACCATAGTTTACAGTGTTTTTCTTTGTTAAGTCAAATTGAATTACAAAAATTGCACCATTTTTTACGTGAAATAAATTCACCTGCTTATAGACCATTATTATTCTAATGAAATACACATGTCCCAGCAAAGTGTATATATGCTTTATCTCATGAGAGCCCTTTTAACACCCAAAGGGTAGGATTTGTGTTTTGAATAAATGCCAAAGTCAAATTTCAACCCTGAGTTCACTTTGGCCAAATCACTACTTTCACTTTCATAATTTTTATGCCCTGTTTATGACAGTAAGACAACTTGAATTTAATCCAATTTATATCTTTCACCTAAGCCTGGGACCAATATATAAATGTACTAAACTCAGACTTAACATACATATTTTAACCTTTGTTTCCAGTGAAATTTTATTTTTCTTATGTTGGCTTAAACAGTTCATATGTTTTGGTCATTTAAATAAAATGATGAATTTTCAGAAGCATCTGTTAGCTGGGCCAAATTTTTCTTAATGTATCATCCTTATTATGGATAGAAACAAATCTTTTTCTGAATATTATATTATTTATTATAAACTTTCTTTTATTTCAGAATAACCTTAAACACAGACAAGAATTTATTGGTGCTAAGTTTTGACCCGCCTAACTGGGATTACACCTTAGAGTCGGACAAAGTGCCTTCTTTAGTACCATATAGCTCATATTCTGATGCACCAATGCGTCATAGAGAGTATTCCTATATACGTGCCTGTAGAATGCAAAAAGCTGGTGCAACAAACACAAAAATTCTCCAGCGTGGAATTGCCAATGCCCCATCTGACTATATATATGAAGGTTTCCCTCAAACTCGATTCAGAGCTCCACAACTGCCGCATAGTGCCAAAAGTCTTAGTAAGCGTAGTATGCATAGTGCTAAAATGATTCAAACACAGCAATATGCAGAGTCTGGGTATGAAAGTGGAACTACACCAATAAGGATGGAATCCAGAATGGCAAGTTCTGTCTTATCTTCTAAAAAATCTGTCCATTCAGCACCTCTTCATCCTCCATTCCCTAAAACCAGACCTCAGACTTTCAAGTCCGAATATAGTGTTGTCATAGCAACAGATAAACATGATACTGATGAAGATGAGGAAGATGAGATTGAGCCTCATCCTTCAATGATAAGGAGGCGTGTGTCATGGGCATTTGATAAACCTCTGATTCCTAAGTCTAAGGATGTGTCATTATCAGAAACAAAAGCAATTCTCAGGTCACAAATTAGAATGAAAGCTGAAAGTATTGTTCCACCAGATTTTATTTATTTAACTGTAAATGCAATTCAAAGTTCGATGCAACCATCTGAACTCTCTGCCAACACCTCCAAAAATATTCGGGATTTAAGTTTAAGATTGAAAGAATTGAAGAAACGGCCATCTTCATCACCAAGTAAAATTGATCCTAGAACTAAAGTTCCTGTGGAAGAAATGGGACTAGAAAAACTAATGCCTAAAACTGAAGAGATGGATACAAAAAGTGTTTCAGAATTCTCAGAAGCAAAGTCGCATAAGTCTAAAAAGAGTAAAGAAGGTGTGCCATTGCATGGTCCTGATAAAGAAGTTTATGCCACACAATGTGATGTCATACCTACAAAGGTAAAGGTCAGGACAAGTCTCCATCAGAAAACTACAAAAAAGACTGTACCAAATGGAAGGGTTATTAGACCTGTGTCTGCATCAGCTTCTCGTCGACATCCTCCTCCTGAGGAAGAGAAAGGTCGACCTATCACAGCACCATCCCTCCGACGTCCAGGCACTTGTTTTTCTGTACCATCAACTATAAGTCCAGCAATGCCTGGAGTATCCCCTCCTAAGAGGCACGAAGGAATCTCCTCTACAGCTTATGAAACAAACATTGTCCCAATGTGTATGTATCCTCCAGACATGAAAGAAAAACTTGCTCAATTATTGAAAGAAAAGCGAAAAGCTTTAGGTCATGATATTCTAAGAACACGAAGTGATTCCAGTTTAGGTGGAAGAGTTGGACAATTTAGTGATCCTTTAAGGAGTCATGTTAAGTTTGAACTTAGGACTTATGAACAAGAAAAAGGTTTTGTGGACTCAATAGAAAAAAGTAATCTTGAGAAACGTCGAAAAGAAGAAGAGGAACTTGAAAGGAAAAGAAAAGCAGCATGGCTAGCTAGGGCAAAATCAAATACTAGTATTAAAGAAAGGCCAAAAACTGTTTCATAACTTAATCAACCTGTTTGAATGGTTCTGTATCATGAAAAAGTGGCAAATTAAAAAGCAAAAATAATGTTTATGTGTGTGTAACAGTTTATTTATTTAGTCGTGCTTTATTAGTGAGTAAGTTTCTGTGGAAGTGAGAGTAATACATTAGTATTTGCACAATTCAGATTTTCACAAAATTAATATTGTTGCTTTTTAGCAAAGGTCTGAGATTGAATTCATTAGATTTTATACAGTTAACAATAATTTACCATGAACATTAAATTTAGTGGTATTTTCAAAACTCTAAATATACTTTACCTTAACTTATTTTAGGAAATTAATGAAAATTTCAAAATACTGTACATTATAACATTGTCAAAGAAAATTTCATCAATTTTATTAGTTTCTGTTTCTTTAATTAAGTTTTTGCTTGTTTATGAAAAAAAACCATTCCTTTTGGTAAAAGAGGTCATACCAAAAACAAAGGAATTTAAACTGCTGTCATGAAGATAAGAAACAATAACCTTGAATAAGGGAGATAATTCAAACTCGACAGTGTTGAAAACACTAATGTCACAATGTTGTGATTTACTCAAACATAACAGGATTTAGTCAATAGACAGTAATTTTGTCAAGTCTTATTGTAGCATATAAGTTATGAGGGAAAAGTTATGATAAGGATTATCAATGGTTGATACAAAAAAAACATTATAATACAGAAGGATTGTTACACCGTTGATAAAGTCTAAATTTCACATATTTTTCATACATCTTATTGTATTTTTAGCCGTGTTGCTTCTGGATTTCAAAATCCTTTGAGTCCTAAACAATACCTTTTTCAAACTTAGTTTGATAATGCTACAAGGGGTAAGGCAGACTTTTGGTGTCATTCGGTCAACGGTTAAGATCACAGCAGATATTGATAGACTGGTATTTTGGACAATTTTTGGTTTCTTAAGAATATGTCCTACTTGAAGCAAATTTAGTTTGATAATCACCCATGTAGTGTGAAAGACATTTATTGATTTTGGGATCAATTGTTCAAGGTCTCAGCAGCTCTTGAAAGACCCAAATTGCGGGAAATTTTTGTTACCGAAGGATATCTTTTGAACAAAACACCCAACCTGAACCAAATATACCTTAGAAATATGTTTTAATATATATAATATATATATAGAAAGATATAATATTATTATTCATAAATTATTCTTAAAGTCACATATTTATTTTTATACATGTATTTTTAAAACCCTTTGCCAGCCATCATTTTACATAGAGTTTCAGCAGACTTTAGAGTAAAAGACTTTGTCACCAAAACCAAAAAAATAAACAAAACCCAGTATCAGGCCTCCCCCCAAAATTTTCCACTGACACAACATGCTTTTCAAAATATACACTTGATGAAAAAAGTGGTATATAAAGCCTTATAATGGAACACTCGAAAATGAATGACAACAAACACTGTTATATATTTTGCACATATTCATTTAGCTCAGAAATATTTTACATTGCAAAGGAAAAAATGTGATGAGATGTTCTAGATTTGTCAGTGTTTTTATACATTATTAAAGATGTGTTTAGAGTAAGCAGTTTGTATTTTAGTGCCTATATTTTTTAAACATTATTGTATTCTTGTTATCAGAATATATTGATATTCTTGAATTGTTAAAAAAAATGTGAAGATTCAAATGCACCTTTTAATTTCTATCTGTGATTTCAGTGAACTATATATGAATGAAAATTGGTTTATCGCTAGTCTGCACAAAATGCTCTTAATTCATTGTGCTTTTAAATTACAAATACTGGGTAAATACTAAATAAGCTTGTCCAGCGTGTGCATTTAATGGTTGTCAGTGGACATTAAGCAGACAACAATCAATTAATTTAGTTTAGCTGTTTTTTGCTGGTTAATGCTGTGTTAAGTGATTTCACTGTGATTACTTTGATTATTAAGTATTGTTTCATTTATGTTAAATCATGGCTGTTTGTTATGTTCAAAAATATTGTCGATACTTTCCAGACTGAATGATGATTGCATAATGTGCCCAAATGTAAAATGTATATTTGTTATGCTTATTTGCTCATTTTTCGTATGTTGTGCAATTTATAAAGGTTATTTGAGGGAGTAAATTTTTTTACATGTACTTTGTATAGTGCTAAAAAATTCTATAAAGGCCAAATACAAAAAAAAATTATTGAAAGTAATTGCAGCAGTTTGCATTGGCTTGATTTGAATGTATTATTTTCCAATGATTACTGGAATAAAAAGTGTGCCCAAATAGTGATAGTGCCTTAAACTACAAGCATTTTTACAATTAGTTTCACAGATCTTAAGTTCTTTTAACAATTGCAGCATCATTTATTTGAAATTATCCTGACACAAAGTAACATTTTTAAATCATAAATGAAGGATGGATGGACATAGTGTAGGAACTCAAATTTAGTTAATCCATGTGTGTAATTTGAATTATTTGAGAAGCAATTTTAAATCATTGAAACATTTTGGAGACAAAATTTGTTGACACTTGCATGTCTCATATTTTACCAATTATTTGAGATGTTTGTGATTGGGCATAGCAATGGTTCTACAGGGAATACAGTTGTCAAGTATTTTTGATAGCCCACTTGATGTATTTTCACTCATTTTTTAACGTCTGATCCTATGATTAAGAACTGCATGAAAAAAAACAATTTTATTTATTTAACTTTAAGTGTACAGTAAGAACAAATATTTGTTTCCCTTATTTTTACTGGTACTGAGGTTTCCTGACTGCTTTCCTGCATCATTGATAATACATCTGATTGAACACTTCAGCTAGGATCTGCTTATTTTGAGTAACAGTTAAAAACGTCAGTTGATCCTGCTTGCTCAACTTTTATATTCCCGCTTAATTCAAGATGTGTTTTCAGAGAAAAGACTTAATCATGAATTTATTTTTAAGATTATTATTATTTACTAGATTTTCTTACCCCATATTGTTAATGTCCTGTCATTTTACTTATATACAACAGCTATTATATATTTTGTTTTTACAAAGTAATCTTCTGTTGAAAATATTTTGAAATATTGATGCTTTAGGGAAATTTTTAAATGATGCATATATTTACAGAAGAATGAGTTCAGTTGTTTTTACTGTATTAAATGAATTTCAAGTTATCCATCTACTTTATTATAAAGATTTAGTTGGTTATTTTATGTTATGTTCTTTTGTTTTGGGTAAATGATTGGTATATGTTTTAATGAAATGAAATTGTTGTAATAAGTGCTCAGTGCTGATGTATTGTCATTGATGTTAACTCAGCCAGGTTGGCTTCAGTAGTTACTACAGCACCCTATGGAATAAGACCCACAATGTCATGACATCTTTCATGGCTGTTTAAATAAAAATTGTTGCCACAAAAACAGTCAAATTAATTTATATATAAATGAAAAGCACATTTTTATTGTTGAATAGTTGAAAGATTTCAAGTAAATATGGTTTATAACTTTATATTGTAGCCTTCAAATATGTTGTTGAAATATTTTATTGCAATAAATTATTAAAATATTATAAATGTTAAACAGGGCCAATTAGATTTTTGGGAGCAAAACTTATCTAATTGAAAATTATAAGATCTGTGTTTTCATCCTCTTAGGGAGGGATGTAGTAAACTGTGACAACACTGAGTTATAACAACATATTCTGTGATTACTTTTGTGCCTACATGAACCATTGTTATTTTGTTGCTTTATGTATTTGAAGTCTGTGATAGAATTATTTTCAAATTATACTCTACATTTTAAATTGTGTTGTTCATTTTTATTTATTAACCCATATTTATCTAACTGTTATTGGAAAATGAAAGATAGAAAATTGAGGTGGAAAGTAAAAGAAAATGTAATGTATGGCTATATAAATGGATTGAGTACTTTTAAAAAATTAGTTTTGATCTCACAACATGTAAATGTACAGTGGAATCCCAATGTTACATGAAAAGAATCGTTCATGTAATTGTTTTTGTCTTCTGAAGGAACAAAAAAGATTAAAATTGATAAGTTCAAGCTTAAATTTATATTTGCAATCCCATGATTAACCATATTTAACCATTTCCCCCCCAAAATATGACATCATCAGAACAAATTGGTTTCATTTTAAGGCAAATTTTATCAAACTGAAAAAAAAATTTTGCTCCACATCCTTGGCAGTCTGTTTGGGTCAAACTGAATTGTATTTCGTATTTAAAATCCTTCCTTTATTCATAATTAACTATTTTTATAAGGCATGCACAAAATCTCTGGACATTTGAAGATCTGTCAAAACAGGGGTTTCCCTAATTTTGGACACACATAAAACAAAAAAACTTAAGGGTGAAATTATAAATTAAGAAGATTTCATGAAATTAAAGTATGTCATGAATTTGTTCACAATTTATTATCAGATTATTTTTTTTTTAGTTTACCAAAGTGAAGCCGAAAGTCTTACATGCTTGGATACATCCGACTGCACTCTACCTGTCTCATATAAGGAACCATATCAGTGATGTTCCTTCGTTGTACGTTAAGATTTCTCCCCTTTAGAAAGTTGTTTGTTGGCACTTTAATCTTTGATAGCATTAGTTGAAATTATTCACAACTATCATAGACTCTGGTGCATCTAGTGATATTTTGTATGAAGTTGCATTACTATAAGTACATATCAGTTTGACAAATATTTTGAAGCCCTGCCCCCTAGGTCATGTTGCATTGTCTTTGAAATAATTAGCAATTTTAAATGTTAAGTTTTCTGCTTAAGCTAGTTTGATAGCAACTACTTACAATAGACAACAATATTTTTACTGTCTGTACATCTTAGCCTGTTTGTTAGCCTTTTCGAGTCCCTACCCACTAGTTCATGGTCTAGCGACTTTGAACTAATAAACAATGTTGCTGTCCATCATATTGTCTTTTTCTGAATTTTACGCAGACAGGCGAGACATATCTCTGTCAACAGTTTATTTTGATAACCTTTGAAGTTGGTACTGTAATATTCGTTATATACATTAGGATCAACACAGTCGTAATGTAACTATGGGTGAAAATCTAGGATTGTATTGCCAATTGCTGCAGTTGTATTTGAAACAACTCATTCATGAAATAGCCAGGACAATGTTGTTATCTTGTACTGTTATCCATTACCCAAAATTTAGGCAATCACATGGCAGATGATATTGTTAGAAGTACTAAATAAAAACATGTCTTGATCTATTTTATTAATAAAAAGAAAATCTATAATATACATCTACAAACCTTTTACAAAGAACAAGTCTGTTTGATAACAATATTGCATTTATTGTCTAAGTGCACACACTTCCTATTTGATACAAATAAAACTTTATCTGACCACACCTACAATTTCAGATAATGAACACAACTTTACAGTTGACTAACTTGGTATGTGTTGGATCTAACACGGTAAAATGACCATGAAGTAAACTGGATAATACCAACAATGATTGGGTACCAACATATTAATGTAAACATAACTTGTTTAAGTTCTGGTGTAGCTACATTTGTCTTAACTTTAAGTTCGTTATATCCATACAAATTTAATATTGAAACCGCAAACATTGGTGACAATGAGAAAGCTGGCTTGGTTATCAATGCATTGGTGCCAAATACCATGGATGATATAGGATGTCTGCAAAATATATACACTCATTATTGGTTAGAATGACAGTGGCTAATATTAGAGAATAAGCAAACTATAGTCAACAGATAAAGTAACTAGAACTTGCTTTATGTAACTTTGACTTCTTTTGTATGGTATTATATAGCATATTAATATAGTGGTCAGCACTTTTATTCTTCCACTAACCTATGTGTGTGAATTGACCCAATTGCATGTATACTGGTCAAGTACCAGTTACCATCAGATTTCCTATGATATAATTTGACCGAAAGAATGTTTAGACATATTTGTTTTATATACAATAGGTTACCAATTCTTCGATTTTGCACCAACAAGTTGAACAGTTACTTCAAATCTTTATATTTATCAACAAAAAGAGGGTCACCAATATGTGCCATTTTTTATAGTGATATTTAAAGACTACTGAATTTATCCACTAAATGATAAAAAATATCACCTCATCCAAACTTAAATGTCACGTTTTGTAGCAAGACTAGAAGAATACGAGTCGAATGAAACAAATATATATGTTAATGTGTCCTTAAATTCTGAAAATCGTTTCTTTCCTAACGTAGTATATCTTTACATGTGCTTTTATATCAATATGCTTATACATACTTTCTCCTATACTTTCTTTTGTTTTCATCAGCTATGTCTGCTAGTGGCAAATTGAAAAGTCCAAAAGTAGCACCAGAAGCACAGCTAAAACATAAAGCATATACTAAACTCGCTTTAGTATGATTGTATGTAGAGAGTGTTTTGTTCACTTAAAGTATTTAAAAGAAGGTATGATAAGGCCTCTTTTTGGCCGTTGAATTCGAAAATCAAAAAGTTATGAATCTTACCCATAATTGTTTTTGCTGTCATCTAATTTGTTTCAAAACTATGCTTCCTATAACGGCCATTTTAAGCCCAATATATCAATTGCAACATGTTTATGACGTTATAGTGAGATCATAAGAGAACTTTCTGCCCTGAAATCTCCAGATTATCTTATCCTATTCATTTATTAATAAAATTGACATTTTAAAGGCTTCAAGAAATGTACATTTTGACGCAAATTCAGGGCCATATGCACATAGCATACCACCTCCTTTTTGTCTCGCCATGACGAAGTTTCAGAGGCAAGACTTAGGGGTGCTATTTCCGGTCGCGGTTTCGAAAATGTGATGATGTTTGTGATTATGTCAGTTCAAAGGGAACAATAATGGTAAGTCATTTATAATTGGCATGTAGTTATTTAAGCATTGGCACATCTAATTTCAATGGAATTTGTTAGAACCGCCACCTCATTCATGGCCTACTGACTTTGAAAGTTTTTCATAGTTTATATGTTAAAGTTTGTGGTTAGGTCGGTTAAAAGGGGATCACTAATGGTAAGTCAATGATATATTGAAATATCTTATTTTATTGTTTTAAATTCTACATTTTCATTTTACTATCAAACTATATATTCACTATAACTTTTTGTTATTGTAGACTATTATGAAATAAATCCAGTGTGTTTATTCTCATTCTTTTTTTATATTTAATGTCTACATGAACAATCTTACCTATCCATTAGAAGGAACAGCATCAAACACCATGGATGATTTTGGCCTATGCAAAACATAACCAACCCTGCCAACACAGTATAAACATAACTATATCTTATCACTTTGAAGTAGGAATATTTCCGAAGTAATGGTGCTCCAATAATCACAATTATCTGAAAATATAAATAAAGTAAGCATAGAGAAATGTTCTTTTTCTTGGAACATTTGGAACTGTTATATCAATAACAAAACTTCTACAGGCTTGTTATACTAATCTTTCATTTTTGCCTCTGTTGCACTGTTTCCGGTGTCTTTTACCAGACATTGACGAAAATTGCTGTCGAGATATTTCACTTGTAATTGAACGAATGGTTGATTTTCAGTTAAAATAGGGTGATACACAAATTGTCAATAAGAATTCACAAACTAGGAAAGATGGGCAATGTTAATGTCTAAAGGAAGGCGCATAGACCGATATCCCGCTGAACAACACCACGCTTAGCAACACGAACCTGCCATGCAACTATATCCTTATGTTTAATGACCAATACAAGAGAGGCAGAAGATACCAAAGGGACATTCAAACTCGTAGGTCGAAAACAAATTGACCACACCATGGCAGAAAACGAAAAACGACCAAAAGACAAACAACAGTACACAAAACACAACATATAAAACTTAAGACTGAGCAACATGAACCCCAGTTAAAACTTGGGCTGGTTTCAGGTGCTCTCAGGAAGGGTAAGCAGATCCTGCAAAAAATGTCATAACAATGTCAGATGAAAGAAGCGCAGTCATGATGTCAACAACAATGAAGTGACAAAGTTGATGAAACATACGTGAAACTGGGAGACAATTATACGGAAAAAAGTATTTATGGAACTCCAAGTTAAATACAAAATAAGGAACTCCTTAAAACCTGACAAAATCAAACACTATATCAACCAACGAAACGAATGAAAAACAACTGTCATATTCCTGACGTGGTAGCTGTTGGTAAGTTTGTCCAACTTGACATACCAAATCCTCAGATAGGGAGATTTTTTTTGTCAGAGTTTAGAACAGGATATAACAGACTGATTAAGTACTACAATCAAATAGGTCAATCCCTCACTCCTTATTTTGAATGTGGTGAAAAAGAGGCACAGAACAATTCTTTCTCATCTGTCAAAGATACCAACAGAAATGCTTAGACAGATTGAGGCATCAAATATCCCGATATACATTAATTTAAACAATGTTCGCACTCACAAAGAAGGAGACTTACGGAAATAACGCACATACTGTAGGTGAATATTGAGTGAATACATGATGATTTTGGGATCTAGTAAGCCCGGAATCCAGATCCTGCTCCTCAGAAAATATTCCAAGATATACCGTGAGATATTACCTAAAGACACGGAGTACCAGATAAGAACGAAACAAGCAAGCACATTAAGACAAGTTGTTTCAATGTGTTTACCTCAGGATTATGCTTAGATTATAAATGTTACTATTGAGTTCATACACCAGATTCAAAGGTTTGTATCAAAGTCACAAACACAATTTTCCTCAGTTGTTGTTCAGTGAACATGTTAGTGTCACTGAATGTAATGCGTTGCTTTTTTAGAAGGAGGGGATATTATCATTTGCTCTTTCTTAGGGAGAATATATATATGTCACAGCATATAATTTGGTTGATGGATTGTTGTAAACCTGATTTCCATTGGGAAATATTTCATGAATATTCAAGACGAATTTTCTTTGGGATTCAGTGTCCTATCCTTTAAGTATTGTCCATACAAAATACATTTTAAGCTAGATTTACTAAGTAATTGAAAACATAAAAAAACTATTTGAATATAGAATAAAAGGAATATGTTTAGATGTTTGAAGTAGCCGCAAGCTTTACACAATTTCAATCTGATAAAATCTGACAAGCCTGTTTCCAGAAAGATTCATTCATATTTTTTCCCTGTGAAATGTCTGCATCATCACGTTTCTTTTTCTTCAAATCATACATTATAAAAGCATGAATCCCAGAATACAAAAATAGCAACCAGGAGCAAACAGCTATGAAAAAGTAGTCATTTGAAAAACTTTGGAATAATATAAACTATTGGACGTGAATTCCAGTAACATTATACAAGGACTCCCAATAATGATTGCGATTTGTGCATGACAAGTGAGAGCTATTAGTATTCGGTCATCCGGTTCCTGTGATAACTCAGTAAATGAAGGTAAATAAACATAATATCTCAAAGAATGAGAGCGACAATCAAATGCAGTCAAACTATCAAAGTGCTGTCTCCCCATGGAATACGAGGAACGAGAAGGAAAGAGCAAATAACGTCCCACAATACAAAACGCGTTCTTGTCTGTTTTTGGTTTTTTTGGTGAATTGGAGAGTTTTGCTTCTCAATTCGAAGGCTACAGCAGCTACGCAGAAAGACAATATTCCTTCCCTCTCGACTACCTATCATGTTTGTATCAAATTTATGATATATGCTATATTGCAATGAAAATTTACCTTATCCGTATTCGGACGTCAACGAATAAGACAAATTTACTGTTATTGCCACGTATCAAAGATATTTACCTGTTTTTTTGTTTTTTAATTTGTTTTTTAATGTTGTACTTTTAGATAAAACCGCATCCGGTATCTCTCTCTCTCTCTCTCTCTATATATATATATATATATATAAGTACGTCTGAACCAGTGACAACTCTACGACAGATTTTATCCATCGGATCACCAGTGGTGGTGATACAAAACTAAAAACAATGGTGATCCGATGGATAAAGTCTGTCGTAGAGTTGTCACTAGTTCAGACGTACTTATAATATAATTATTTCTGTGACTGAATCCTACATTAATTTGTAAGATCCTCTACGATAGATAATTCAGCTGATCTGAAATATTCCATCTTCATGCCTTATATATCATGTACTGTGTTACGACGCTAGATAAAAACTGACGAGGAAAGGTAACACCCGGCCACCGAAAGCTTGATTCAAGTTTTGTCGAGCCTAGGTGGTCGAGTGGTCTAGCGCGCCGGGCATAGTGCAAGGCGATTTGGTGCCACGATATCTCAGTTGCATGAGTTCGAATCCCGGCCAGGGAAGAACAAAATTTGCGGAATAACATTGTTGGGCTGTTATTTAGACGAATTATATATATATTTTGTTAAAATATACTTTTTCACTCTTTTGGTATTTTGGAAAATGTTGTTTGTGCTGTATTTAGACCCCTCTAACAAGAAATTTGTTTTGCATGCTCACGTATAAATATTGCGGTTTTTATCCAACGCAATCATAGGTTTGAACGTTGTTTTCAATTTAGACTTGTATATATATATAAATAAATCATAGGTTTGAACGTTGTTTTCAATTTAGACTTATATATATAAATCATAGGTTTGAACGTTGTTTTCAATTTAGACTTGTATATATTTTTATCCAACGCAATCATAGGTTTGAACGTTGTTTTCAATTTAGACTTGTTTATATTTTTTCGTTTGGGCTTGTTTTATATTTTCCTTCGGGTTTATATGATCCGTTCATCCTATTTCAACTCTTTAAAGTTCAAGAGTCTAACCTAAATTGAGGTAAATTCTATGGCCTTCCAAATACCGTTTCGATCCCTAACATCACTGAAGAATTGTCGAAATCCGGATATGGTGTACAAATTTTTGAACTTCATGTTTGTGGTATATCATCTTTTCCGCAAGTTTTTTGTTTTCTGTTTGGTATTAAATTAATATTAAGATCCATTTTGTTACATCTGGTGATCAATTTATTTGGCAATCGCCAATGGCAGTCAGCAGGGTTTAAGAACATCCGTTGTTCGACCTGTTAGTCAAATGCGTTTTGTTAAAATATACTTTTTCACTTTTTTGGTCTTTTGGGAAATGTTGTTTGTGCTGTATTTAGACCCCTCTACCAAGAAATTTGTTTTACATGCACACGTATCAAAATTGCGGTTTTTATCCAACGCAATCATAGGTTTGAACGTTGTTTTCAATTTAGACTTGTATATATATATATATGGTTCTGTTCACTTTGAGTTAGGCCAGTCCTTTACATTAAAAATCTGACAGTTCTGATTTCTAGTAAAATAAGTAGTATAGGTAAGCCATGAAAATGTTATACGTACTGTTGAAATTATTCCTATTGCACCGTAGAAAGTCTTCCGAATACTTGCAGAAATAACTTCATCAGATATAAGTTGGTCACATACTATTACCATAAAGCTTGATAGAAATGCCTTGTGTAATCCATGAAAAAAGTTAGTTATTACAAACGCTATAAAATTTCGGTCTGATAAAATCTGACAAGCCTGTTTCCAAAAAGATTCATTCATATTTTTCTCATGAGAAATGTCTGCATCATCACTTTTCATTTTCTTCATATCATACTTTGTATGAGCATGAAGTCCAGAATACAAGAAAAGCAACCAAGAGCAAACAGCAATGAGAACAGTTGTCATTTGAAAAGCTCTGAAATAATGTAAATTATCTGATGTGAATTCCAGTAACATTATACTAGGACTCCCAATAATGCTTGCGATTTGTGCATAACGAGTGAGAGCTATTCGATCATCCGGTTCCTGTGATAACTCGGTAAATAGTGCGCACATAGCAAGACCCATGAAGGTAAACATAGTATCCCAAAGAAAGAGGGAGACAATCAAATGCAGCCCCACAATCATATTGCTTTCTCCCCATGGAATCCATGGTACCAGAAAAGAAAGCGCAAATAATGGCCCACAATAAAGAATACTTTCTCGTCTGGTTTTGGTAAATTTCAGATTTGTACCGTCTTGTATATAGGCAAACAATGGGTCGTTTATTGCATTCCAAATTAGATATGACACTTGAGCGATCTGAAACCAATATTCTTCGATATGATAAATGTTGAGAAACACTTTGACGTAATAGAAGTTAAAAGCTGAGCTGACCAATCGGAAGGCCACAGCTGCCGCACAATAAGACAATATTCCTTCCTTACTAATTGTCATGGCTATACTATGCATATGCTATTGCTATCGTGCACTGAACTATTCATCGTATCCGCATATTGAAATCTATTAATAATGACACGTATGAGTCTGTTACCTGTTTTATGCACTATTGCATAAAATAACATCCGGTATTTATTTATATATTTTTAAAGATGTATGAAATGACAAAGCTTACAATAAATTGTAGACAGGTTGCTAAAATTCGACATGCAACTTAAATAATACTATTGACTTAACATATATTGCAATTGATAGAGATGTGTAATAATTATTGCAGATAATAGATATAAGAAGATGCGGTATGAGTGCAAATGAGACAACTCTCCATCCAAGTCACAATTTGTAAAAGTAAACTATTATAGGTCAAAGTACGGCCTTCAACACGGAGCCTTGGCTCGCACCCAACAGCAAGCTATAAAGGGACCCAAAAAAGAACTAGTGTAAAACCATTCAAACAGGAAAACCAACGGTCTATAGATATAAGATGTGGTATGAGTGCCAATGAGACAACTCTCCATCCAAGTCACAATTTGTAAAAGTAAACCATTATAGGTCAAAGTACGGCCTTCAACACGGAGCCTTGGCTCACACAGAACAGCAAGCTATAAAGGGCCCAAAAAATGACTAGTGTTAAACGATTCAAACAGGAAAACCAACGGTCTAATCTATATAAAAAACGAGAAACGAGAAACACGTATGAACCACATCAACAAACGACAACCACTGAACATCAGGTTCCTGACTTAGGACAGGTGCAAACAAATGCAGCGGGTTTAATCGTTTTAATAGGCGCCAACCTTCACCCTACCTGAACCAATAGTGTAACATCACAACATAGAAAGACACACTATAAAATATCAATTGAAATGGTTTAACTCAATCAAAAGACATATTAACAAAAACAAGTGAACATACACTGAACGAATAAATTTGATCTATGACACAATGTAAATACAAAATTAATAAAACAAGGGGGTTAGATGTTTAACAATATCAGAAAGACAACCATAACCTTGGACAAAATGCCGCCAAATAAAATAACGTACACAGGTAAATAAAAATAAATTTGTTGTAAGGTATACATGGAGTACGGAAATATTTTTTACAAAAATAAATAGTTTTGTTGTTCCCAGTACGAGAACACAAGTGAAAATTTATCGTCATACTAAACAATGATCAAAGGTGGTATATATTAAAAATAGTGAGACTAGATATTACACGAATAAGTAAACATTAAATAACAAAAATACATTACAAATTGTATCAACAGGTCAAATTAACACGAAAGTACGATTTGAGAGTACTCGCAGTTACTGAAAGCTAGTTAGAAGACAAAAACAATTTATAATAAAAAATCATGCATTAGAAACCAAAATCAGCCAAAACACATCCCAGGGATTTAGTATTTTAACGTCATTGACAGTCAAAGAAGATATGACTTGTGCAATGCCAAAATAAAAGTATCGACAGGCAGTAGGATAGTTAGAAGTTAACCTGTTAATAAATATGTATAATGTAATATATGGATAGAGTAATCTCTATATATAGAAAATGAACGTGGATGTGTATTTATACATTCCAAAAAACCGTTTGAAAAAAATACAAATTTAGTTATGTTTTAATTTGCTGATAACAAAATCGATATTTGTACCAATGTAAACTATTTCTTTTGATTGAGTTAAGCCATTTCAATTGATATTTTATAGTGTGTCTTTCTATGTTGTGATGTTACACTATTGTTTCAGATAAGGGTGAATGTTTGGTACCATTAAAACGTTTAAACCCGCTTTAATTGTTTGCACCTGTCCTAAGTCAGGAATCTGATGTTCAGTAGTTGTCGTTTGTTGATGTGGTTCATAAGTGTTTCTCGTTTCTCGTTTTTTATATAGATTAGACCGTTGGTTTTCCCGTTTTAATGGTTTTACACTAGTAATTTTTGCGGCCCTTTATAGCTTGCAGTTCGGTGTGAGCCAAGGCTTCGTGTTGAAGACCGTACTTTGACCTATAATGGTTTACTTTTATAAATATTGACTTGGATGGAGAGTTGTCTCATTGGCACTCATACCACATCTTCTTATATCTATATATTCAAAGATCTAATTACAACATTGGTAAGATAACCTTTACTAATAAGTTTGTTTAAAGGTTCGATGAGTTTACACGGATCACATAGTGATTTCCGCGCTTCTAGTACAATATTACCGTAAAATTTAGGATGTGAAATACCGTTTTTAATAAGTTTCTTACAGGTAAAGCCAAATTTACTAATCAAATCTTTGTATCTATGAAAGAATTTAGTAAAAGTTTTAAGCAATTTATGGTAACGAAATCCCTGACTTAATAATTTACCAGTTATGCATTGATTACGTTCGTTAAAATCTATGACATCACTACACACACGGGCATAACGAACGAGTTGGGATATATATATAAACACCGTATGATCGAGCCAAAGAAACAAGTTCCTTTGAGTAAATTTCGGTAGTATATTTAAAGAACTCTGGATTATTTAACGAAAAATCTATAAATTATTCTATTATTTAATCTATATAAAAAAAAAAAAAAAACGAGAAACACTTATGTACCACATCAACAAACGACAACCACTGAACATCAGGTTCTTGACTTGGGACAAGTAGTGAGTTGCACTCGGTGATGAATTATATCATAGAGTCGAGAGCTTGTCCTGGCCAGCTGATATTTGTTCTTGTCGACATTCGGGCTCGCCCCATTTGAAGTTTATGCGATTCCCTCAGTTTGTGTTTGTTACATTGATTTACCTTCATCGATTTATGAGATTTGAACATCGGTAAAATACTGTTGCCTAAACTGATATGTTTACCTGTTGTTACTCCACTATCGAGTAACAGTCGAATAAATAACTGCTTAACCCGCCGCACAATCATATGTCAGTTCTATTTCATTATTCATTACTAAATGTGGAATAATGAATAATGAACTATTTCATTATTCATTATTGAATTTGGATAATGAAAAATGAATAATGGACGTACTTCAGCGCGGTGTTCAAAAGATGGAACCTTCAAGTTGTCTGTTGTTGTCTTCAGTCGCTTTTTGAATGTTTTCTGTCCTCAAGGGAATTAGGTGTAGGTGACAGATCTTTGATAGTCTTGGTTAAAATTATCCATAACTTTTTAGACCCGGTAGATTTAGTATTTGACATATTATGGAGAGCCATTTGTCAAATGAGCTGCGTCGGATAGAAATCGACCTTATGCAAGTGCACGTATACATGTACGTGTATACAACTTTGGTTGATTTTGGAACATTCAAATGCGAAATAAAAGATGAATCTGGTCTGTTTTGTAAGGTTCTTATTCTTATAACAACTCGATTTTAAACAGTTACAGACTTTCAGTAGATATTTTTTCAAACTGAAATAGGTTACCGAATGTATTGATATTCATTTCCATAAGGTCGATTTCTATCCGACGCAGCTCAAATGTTGAACTCTAGATGTCTTACTGACATATACCGACGCTACATCTCCTTATTGTCATATTTGACATTTAACCTGCTTACATCGTCCGAGCTGACTTTCGAATGAACAATTTACGAAAAATACTCCAGTTGCCTTTCATTCATATCTATGTTGTTTTGTGTACTGTTGTTTGTTTGTCTTTTTCTTTTTTAGCCATGGCGTTATCAGTTTATTTTCGATTCGTGAGTTTGAATGTCCCTTTGGTATCCTTCTTACATTGAATACATTTGTATTATCAATGTATTCTGTTCTGATTAAAACAAATAAATATTCCTTCGACAAAAATTTAAGATCTGATTGTCGGGCAATAGAAAACAAGAGGCGGAAGAAACCAAGGGGATATTCAAAACGCAAAGGTCGAGATAAACTGACAATGCCACCAAAATCTAGATAGGGTCAGCCGAGCTATCTCCACTAGTGATACAGTAACCGTCTATCTTCAGCATTCGTTTCATGAATAATTTTAAATAAAGTCACTGTGTGTTGAAAAATCTGAAATACTTCACATACCAATGACGTAGAGGTTGACGAACACATCTTTCATTATTAATATCAAAAAATTTAATAAAAGAAAGAACATTTGTAAACCAGTTAACATATCATCACCATACTTCAACGTCAACCCCACTCCTCACCCCGTCCTTTACAAAATAAAACCAAATAGATACTAATATTAAAGAATACAAACCCCAACCAAGATTAACAAAGGTTGAAATAACCCATTCTATTTGGACGGTCTTTCGCTTTGCAAACAAAGCTATATTTTAATATTCCAATAAAGAACATGGGTGCATATGGCAAGCCGTTCTCGTCAAAACTATGTTTAAACCATTTTTCGAAAAATTAACACACTGAGAAATAAAAAAAAACACACTGAGGTTTCATAAAAACGCACTGAAATTACAAAAAATGAAAAACACACACTGAGAATTGAAAATTACACACTGAGAATTGAAAATTACACACTGAGAATTGAAAATTACACAATGAGATTTCAAAAAGACACACTGAGATGAAGTAATATGAAAAACACACACTGAGAATTTGAAATTACAAAATGAGAATTTAAAATTACACACTGAGATTTGTGGGCACTTTTTATGCGCATATATCTAATTAGCATACTTAATCTGAATCTATTACAAGCTTAAAACAACTAGGGGACAGAGCTCGTTAGTCCTTCAATTTGGCGCTAAATGTTTTAAAAAAACATTAAAAATACAACGTATAGAAAAACTACGTTATTTAAGACCAATAGAACAAGAAAAATACCCACTTACTCTCATTACAAAATATAACCAAATGGTGAAAAACTTTATTAAAACTGGGAACAGTATATCTAACAAAGTTAAAGTTAATATATATGTTCCTGATTAAAATCATAAGAAAACATTGGAACAATCTGCAAAAATACAAACAATGCAGTGAATTTTCTTCCCAAGTGCCTATTATAGCATATATACGTAACAAAAATATAAATGATTACCTTGCGAAATCAGGGTAACAGTTGAAAGACTTTTGAAAAGGGACCATGCTTCAACAGTTTTAAGCAAAAAATCCCGATATTCTGTTAGTAATAATCTGAATTATAGGCAACAAAGTTATGAATATGAAAAGTTGTTAAGTCTTAAAATTTATAACGAATGTTGGTTGTAGGAACCGCATTTCATTATAATGACAAGAGTTCGGGAGACCAAGATATTAATCTGTTGAATTATTCATCTCATGAATATTCAATAGTAATTTGCATATTAATCTCAGTGTGTATTTTTGAAATCTCATTGTGTAATTAACAATTCTCAGTGTGTGTTTTTCAATTTATTTCATCTCAGTGTGTCTTTTTAAAATCTCAGTGTGTAATTTTCAATTCTCAGTGTGTGTTTTTCATTTTTTTAAATCTCAGTGTGTAATTTTAAAATCTCAGTGTGTAATTTCGATTTCTCAGTGTGTTATTTTAGGTTTTTAAATCTCAGTGTGATTTTTTTTAATTCTCAGTGTGTAATTTTTTCGAAAAAATGGTTTAAACATAGTTTTGACTTGCCATAGGTGCACGTGAATGACGTCACAATAAAAATTGCAACGTTACTTGCATCTTGAACAACGCCAGAGATTAAAATGGACGTTTGTGTTGATGTTTTATGTTAGGAAATTAAATAAAATCATTCTTACTGTATTAATTGTTCTTGTTCTTTTTTAATCTTGAAACGGTTAGTTTTTTTTTACAACGTTTTGGCTTGATCAAATCAAAATGGCTGCCTTTCGAACGTGCTTCGAAGTATAAAATTTATAAATTTTCATATTAGAATCGAAATAATTCTATCATACCATGTTCTATGCTCATTTTAACTTGAGTAGGTATTATATTTGGCAGCATTTTACACCTCGTTTATATTATGCTTAGTACTGTTGGTAAAATGAGCATGGCATGAAAGAAACCTCAAAATAGTACATAAGGATTGACACTTCTTACAGCTAAAGGCATACGAACACAGGTAATCTAAGTCTCAATTAGAATAGTATTTTCTGATTTACATGGGATTTTAAAAAAGGACCATGATACAAATTGTATCGATCCTATTATAATTGGATAACAGCACACTAACATAAACATCGCATGTTTAAGTTCAAGTGAAGATTCTGTCCCTTTCAGCTGACTATATCCATATGTATCTAAAATAGCTGCTACAAACATTGGAGACAAGGAGATCGCTGGCCTTGCTATCAATGAACTGGTTCCAAATACCATGGAAGATAAAGGTCTTCTGAAATATACAGATAAGTTATTTACATGAAGATAAAAAAAATTGTTGCCAAAAAACCAACACACACAAATAAGTCAGTTTAAGATTCGTAGAGGGTATTAAAAAATAGACAAGTGTCTATTTAATGTGTCAAACTTTGAATCGGCCCGAGTCTATAAAGGTTGGAAATAAAACAGCAAAACCCTGTCATCAACACCAAAGTCCTAAACAGACAAAAGACATTAACATGAAACAAAAACGACCACAGACGATGATCTCTTTTTTAATCTCTACTATATTTTAATCTAACATTTATTATTTTCATCTTGTAATGTATTTCTATCAATTTTACCATGCACTTATATTAGATAGCTAGACATATCAAAAGTGTTAAAATTCCTAAAAGTTATAGACTCGGCACGACTTAGAGCTTGACATATTGTATAGACTCCTGCTTATTGTTGAAAACTGTTTGTTTGGTTGTTGTCTCCTTGAAGTACAGCCCTTTAATTGCATGCATTTCTTATCTGTGGGTATTACAGAAAAAGTCTCAACTCGGACATCATCAATCGACTCTTTAACTATGTTTTTATTTTCGATATATCGTTATTCTTTTGAAATATCTGGGAAGGTAAGGTTCTCAGTGTAGTAGCTTGAGTAAAGGGACATTAGCTGCCAAACACTTTAATTTGATTTATGACATATCAATATATTTATCAGAATCGCAAAGGTTCCAAAGGAAATAATAGACAATGCATGAAATAGAATAAATAAAGTACTAGCATTCTGTCCCAATTTCAGGACTTGATGTCATCTAATTAACCATCGAGATGACCTCAGATGACTACCGATGGTCCTCTGACACAGTATAAATATGATAGATATAAATATAAATAGAGAGACAGGCACGCGCAAAGTATTATGAAGAATGATAATAACAGTAGTCAAATTATCAAAAGTTCTTTATATGATGGTACGTATATTGTTTCAAGATTGTTTTCTCAAACGGCCTTTATCATACTGTTAGATGCATATGGCGCAGATCTTTGCAGCGAAGTGCTCAAACAATTCCATGTATCTTTTCTGTCCTGTAGTTTGTTGTTCTTTTTCCCTTATCTTTCTTTTTTTCTGTTGTATCAATTCGTGACACCTTTCTCTGCTTTCGATAACTAATGCTTGATTATATTAATGTTTTGCTGTCATCATACATGTGTATTGTCTTTGTAAGGAGAGGACTTATTATAATAATATAAGTTGTAATAACTTTTGTCCAATCATAATGCTTGATCATTGCAAAGAAATACTATTGAAATAAAGTACATATTGATAATAATAAACCTGAAATACTTACACTCGCTTATATTTAGTTTTGTTAATATCGGCTAGATCTGCTTGTGCCATACCAAAGAAAGCGTAAACAACACTTATTGCACAACTAAAAGAAGAAGAAAAAAACATGAAACAAAATAATACATTCATGTTACTCGTATAAATATCTTCATACATCGGACAATTGAAAATTCGCATCTTAATGTTTTTGAAATGTTTCTACTGTGTATAGGTTGCTGATTTGTGAATGTTCTTTGGTATATTTGAAAATTGATTGATAAATCTATCTTTGTATTTCATTTTATTTTTTGTTTTTTAAATGAAAATGTTCTTAAAGTAACACATATACTAAAAGATAAATTAACTTCCAACACTGTATTAATATTTTTACCTATCCAGCATCAGGAATATGATTAGACACCAAGTATGTCCTTTTCCAATATACAGCATAATTATTCCTGCTAGTACCATGCATCCATACACTGATTTGACCACTGAATAGTAAGAGTATCTCGTCGCAAACGAAGCTCCACATATCACACATATCTATGTCAAAGAATAATATACATATACACTCATCAATGGCGCTCAAATCAGTTAGAATGTCATATTAAACACACATGTATATGTATATGTTTTATAAGAGATTGAAATATGTCTACACCTCGAGGTCTACACCGACTGAATTAGAAAAATGTGGTCGAAAGACAAAATATAGCTACACAATATTCGATTTCAACGGAAATACAACATTCTATTATAAACGATGATTTTAGTTTTCTTTTACGGATAAACATTATCTGTTCCGTGTGTAGTAATTATTTACACTTTTGTGGAGAAAATAACACTTGTAAATAAATTCATCATAGATACCAGGATTAAAATTGTGTACGCAAGACGAGCGTTTCGTCTACAAAAGACTCATCAGTGACGCTCGAATCAAAAAAGTTAAAAGGGCCAAATAAAGTACGAAGTGAAAAGAGCATTGAGGTCCCAAAATTCCGAGAGGTTTTGCAAAATACAGCTAAGGTAATCTATTCCTGGGGTAGAAAACCCTAAGTATTTCGTAAAAAAAACAAAGTTTTGTAAACAGTTAATTTATAATTATGACCATATCAATGATAACGCATGTCAACACTGAGGTGCTGACTACTGGGCTGGTGATATCCCCAACAGCAGTGGCATCGACCCAGTGGTTGTAATAAATATATTGAATATTAATTGGTGACTGTTATTATAACCGCAATACAAACGATGTTTATTAGAAGAAACATGAGGAGATGTGGCATATTAATTCATGACACACAAGCTACTTACAAGAACCTGAGCAATACATAAAAGCAAAGAAACAACGCTTATATTGCTGAAACTGTTATAATTTCAAACATTTCAAGCATTTCAAAGTCTAAATGAACATTCAACACAGAATAAAAGCTCACGCTTAATTGCAAGCTGAAAAAGGCCCCAGCACAGGTTCTTTTCTTGATTTCGATAATTAACATTTATGCTGTGTCAATATGCAATTACAACAAGATTGATTGAATCAAAGATTGGAAAAATGCATAATTGTATTTTTTTATTTTGTGGTACATTTACGAATATGGCTATGTCTATAAGTCATGCAAGGAAATAAGCAGACATATGATATCCAGATTTGTTTAGGTTATGGCGAAATATAATCTTAATACAAAAAAAAAATCAATAAAATCAGTGTTTCTTAAATCAACTTGTTCAAAGTTTTCATCACCTTTCACATCATGTACAAATACTATAATCATATAGCTTCTTGGACATAATTATATTAGAATTTTTAGCAACTTGTCATTCTATTCATAATATTACACTTATTTGTTTCAAGTACAAATGTCAAAATCATACAGCTACAATGTCGCCGACACAACAAAAAAAAAAAACAATATACAACTTACTGCAGATATAAAAGGGATTCCACCATAAAAAATCTTTCTGGCATCTTTCGGGAATATATCATCTGGAATTAAGTGATCACAAACTATGCCGAGGAAATTAATTACAAAAAATTTATGAAAAACGTGAAAGAAGAAGGTGACAGCAAAAGCAATAAAGTTAATATCTGATAAATACTGGCAAACTTGTTTGCAATAAGATTCATTTTCTACTGAAATATTGTTATTTATTTGATTACTTTGATCTGTGTCTGAATTAGTCCTTGTAATTGTTTTCAGATCATAGGGACTAAAAATATTTATTCCTGCATAAAGAAATAATAAACCAGAACACACTGCTATCAGTACTGTAGTTGTTTGAAAAGTTTTGAAGTTACTAAGACTATCCGATGTAAACTCTAGTAATAAAACCGTTGGCGTGCCTAGTATACAAGCAGTATGATAATATTTCGTCAGTACTATTCTGTCCTCTGTTTTGTCAGAAAGTTCTACAAACAATGCAGACATTGTAAGTGCCATAAATGAACATACTGTGTCCCAAGCAACGAGACTTACAATTAGATGTAGTCCTACAACCCATGAATTGTCTCCCCATTGAAACCAAGGTATAATAAATGATGTTACTAATAGAGGTCCACAATACAAAATACTTTCTCGTCTTGTTTTTGTAATTCTCAATCTTGTGCTGTCTTGAATATAAGCAAATAAAGGATCGTTTAAGACATTCCATATTAGATATACTAGTTGTGCCATTTGAAACCAATATGCCTCGATGTGATACAGATTCATAAACACTTTGACATAATAGAAACTGTAGGCTGTGCTAACCATCCGAAATGCTATACCAGAAGCACAATAAGCGACGAGTCCCTGCTTGTTGACTGTCATTTATGAACCTAGAAAAAATCAGTAAAATTGTCCATCTTTATAATCTGTTTTTAATGCCGAAATTAGATCGTTTCTTGCCTTCTTTTATCATAAGTAATTTTATTTTTTTTTACATAAATGTAGTACAGCTGTGCTTTGTTTATACTAGTATTCTTCACTCTCATTTCTCGTTCTTAAAAACTGCACACTCTAGATACATTTTCAGTACATTATCAAATCAAACAATTAAAAGAGAGAAAAACACAAGAAATATTACCGACCAAAAAATTTGATTCTTAATGTGCAAGTCAATAAGAAAAGTGTTTACCTTAAACATCCTAAAAGTTATTATTGAATAATTAATATTTTGACATGTGCCTGTCAATAAGATATAACGTTTACCTACAAAAGTTATAATTGAATAGTGCATAATAGTCCATACTCCTTTCAAGGCTAGACTGTAGAATTCCCCCGATAACTCTATCTATATTTTGTTTTATATTGTCACATACATGACAGCTGCATGAGCATAAGGAGATGTAGACATATGTAAAAGCGACACATACTATATAAAGGTCAACAACTTACATCGTCAATGTCAGTACTAATGTTTCAACTCAATCTATAGATGTTACAGTGATTTTTCAGGGATTTTGCATATTTACTTAAATCATTGGTGATTATATAAAATCCCTGAAAATGACCATTGATTATACAAAATCACTGAAAATTTTAAGAACTATTTTACAAGTTCCCGTAAATGATTTCAGGGATTATCAATAATACACTTTTTAAGATTCTTAATTTGATATAAATAAATCAAATACATACAAATAAATCATATGTATTACAAAATGTACACCTTTCTGGTTTAAGTGGACAGTTTTCATTCCTTGTCCATTTATCAAATCTTATTAAAGTGAACAGTTTTTCCAGTGATATTCTATTTAACTGGGTTTAGCCACATTAACTGATAATCATTTTTTTTTTTAAATTGAACTTTATAATACCAACATAAATGCACAAATCATGTAATTTGCAGATTAAACACAATTTTGGAGGCGACCAACATTGTCTGTAATGTTATGATACCGATTCCGCATTTTGATCGTGGAAATTCAAAAGGAGAACCCAAAAATATAATGACCATCGTTCATAAAAGGACTGAAAAAGATAATGCCTGGCTACGAAACATGAAATTTTGCTCAGATAATACACAAGGAATCAATTCGAGATGTCTGATTGACCTTTTAGCACCTTCAGATGTTTCTGATGGACACTTAAGTTCCCTTCAATGTGCAGTAAAATCAGATTCAATACTAGTATGTGAAGACTAAGTTTTTTTTCAGCTACATTTTTGTTTAAAAAAGAGAAAAGCAGAGCAAATGTTCAAAAGTAGTAGTCTGGATGGGATTTACAGAATAATGGGCAAAAAGTGCAAAATAAAGGACTAAACAAATAAAGAAATTAGACAAACAATAATTAGAACAGAGAACAACTGGTTGGTAAAATATACAGAATAGAGAATAATGGGCAAAATGAATAAAGATTAGAGAAAAATTATGTAAAAAAAATAAAAATAAATAAATGAGGGACCCCCATACAGACCATCATAGTAGATACCATGATTTGTATTAAAATCTTGTGCTGAAGATTTTAATATTTATGTTTCTAAAGGTGTTTAAATACGATCGTAGATAAATTATTCAACTTTAAATATATGCATTGTCTCTTCATTCCAGTTATTATGTATAATCCCTGACATTTTTTCTGGTGAGTATGCCTAATTCCTGAACATTTTAGTGATAATATATAATCACTAAAGTTACAAGAGGTTATGTAATTTCAGGGATTATACATAATCCCTAATTATACAAATTAACTGTAACATATATATAGTGTGTCTCTGATGGAAAATTCGTTCTTTGTTCATATGAACCTGGGTTCAAATTAAGAACTTTACGCAGAATAAGTAAAAAACAACATCGAGTTAAATTCCTTTATTTCTCTTTCAGAAATTCTGATGCACTGCATAGTATATTGATGATTTTATTTCACTATATAATATTCTAGTTTAGGGGCCAGCTGAAGCCCGCCTCCGGGTGCGGGATTTTCTCGCTGTTTTGAAGACCCATTGGTGGCTTTGCGCTGTTTTGTGCTCTTTGGCTTGACACATTCCCCGTTTCCGTTCTCAATTCTATTAAAGTGAATACTTGCGTCTTATATATCCCAAATATATATTACAGTGACATTGAGATCTGCTTCGGATCTATGTCTTCTTATTCTCTCTCTTGAAAATGACCGTAATGGCAAACTCATAACTGGGACACAATGATTCGATTTAACCAATGTTTAAGTGTATGGTGATTGATACGATATGGCAGGGCATATTCTTGTTATACAAAATAACTGATTTTTTTATTAATGATTTGCCAGATATATTGTCAAACAATTAAGATAATGTCAATTTAGATAACGAAAAGATACCATGTCTACTATACGCTGATGATCTTGTATTAATATCTGACTCAAAAGAAGGGCTTCAGAAGAGACTTGATACTTTGTGCACATTCTGCAAAGATTGGTGTATGGAAATAAATGTGAAGAAAACAAAGATCATTATATTCAATAGGAGTGGTAGACTCCTTAATGAAGATTTCAAGATAGGAAATGATTCTATCGAATGTGTTAAACAATACAAATATCTTGGCATAGTCATCCAAAATACTGGAAACTTTAATGAAGCCAGGAAACAATTATTCCAAAAAGGTCAAAAGGCCAGTTTAAACTGTATAAAGATTTGAAATCATCAAATCCTCCTATAAAAACTCTTTTGCATTTATTTGATCATTGTATACAGCCAATTGTATCGTATGGTTTTGAAAATTGGGGTGTTATTAACATTACTCCTAAAAGGAAAAATTATCCCTTTATGACATATTTAAAGATTGGGAGTTTGAGAAGCTAAATTTAAAATTTTGCAAGTATATTATTGGTGTTACAAAGATGTGCACAAACGTAGCAGTCCTGTCTGAACTGGGTAGATATCCTCTTTATATAAATTTGCTAACACATATGTTTATGTATTGGCATAGACTAGAGAATTCCAAATCTGATTTATTGAAAAGTGCTTATGCTGAGTTAAAAATGATTGAGAGTAAAGCTCAAACTATCTCCAATAATTAATGGCTCTCTAATATCATTTTCTACAGTGAAAAATTGGGTATTGACCTAAATATATGTAAAAATTTAGGCAAAAATAAATTTAAAATTTAATGAAAAAACAGCTCAAATTAAATTTTTAAAATGATTGGGAGAAAATGCGAGATTTTTATTTACAGAATCAAGGCAAATTGGACACTTATTTCTCATTCAAGAGGTCATTTGACTATGAAAATTATTTAGATTTAAAGCACCCCCAAAAACATTTGTTAACAAAAAAATGATACAGACTCAGCAATCACTATTTAAGAAAAGAAACTGGCAGACATGAACGTTTTATCAATGTATGTGGTAAATATGAAATATTACCTCGACATGAGAGGATATGTTTATATTGTAATTCAAATTCTATTGAAAATGAAATGCACTTTCTTCTGGAATGCCCTCTTTACAATAACCTCAGAAGAGATACGACTGATTATATAAAAAAATACCCCAGTTTAGTTAATTTAAACAGAAATGATCTATTTACATGGATCATGAGTAATGAAGATAGCAGTTGGCACAACATTTTGCAACATTTGATTTTCAATGAACGTCAAATTCGATTATTGTTTTGTGCTTCCAACCGGATTTAATTTAAAGGCCACTGAAGAGTCTTGTGTAGAAGCAGAGACATATTATAATTGTATAATTTGTCTCTGGTAGAAGAATCGCGCGCCTGGCGTACATAATCATAAATCTGGTATTTTTGATTTTTTTCTTCTCGTCAAGGAAAATTGTGTGCATATCAGAAGGATGATAAGTTTACGGTTGCATGACTATTTTATACATTTAAGTGACAGATGAAGAAAGAAATCATACAAACCTATATAGTTAAAAGATCAGACATATATACTTCCACACCAAATATCATTTGAACATCATATTATACTTATTTAGGAAAAATGTTACCTGGGAGCATATCCGTGTTAATACAAATACAAATGCATTGGCTCGTATCCTGGTTTATTATAGACATACACATTAATCATTAATTTCATGTTACCATGTGTATCGTTACAGATGAATAACTTAACTTCTATAAAAAATATACCAATTCATAAACCATGTCACCGTTCCCCCTTTTAAAATATTATTTCAAGGCCACATTGGTGACATTCAGTCCACTATCGTCTTAGCCATAGGATGTTCTAATTCGGCACGTCTTTTTATGCTTCACAAACCTGGTATCGATTTTAATAATATTTTCTATCTCCATCCATCCACTTCCTAGTCAAAACTTATTATTGAAGACATATACTATGTGAATAAAACAAATAGCAAATAATTATCGCCTTCCAAAAGTAACTTTTTAATGTGTGCCAAGGAAGATATTGATTATACAAAGGTCAGTAACTTTCGAAAAGAATAAAAGCAAAGAAACGAAATATGACAAATATTTATAAGACATTTATTTGTACTGTTTTCTGTTTTATATCAAAGAATGACCATGCAATAAGTTGCACTATTCCTATAGCTATTGGATACAGGCATATAAGCAGAAACATGGCATGTTTCAGTTCATGTGAAGCTTCCACTGTATTGTTTTTTAATTCACCATATCCGTAATGATTTAATATTGAAACAGTAACCATTGGTGAAAATGACATGGCTGGTTTTGACAACAATGCACTTATTCCAAATACAGTGGACGATATAGGATGTCTGAAAAATAAGAAATAAGATTATAATGGATTTAATACATATTTCAGGGGAAATGCATGACTTTGTATATTCTACTTTGATTACAACTTTAATACATATTTGAGGGGAAATGCATGACTTTGTATATTCTACTTTGATTACAACTTAATACTTATTTGAGGTGAAATGCATGACTTTGTATATTCTACTTTGATTACCACTTAATACATATTTGAGGGGAAATGCATGACTTTGTATATTCCACTTTGATTACAACTTAATACATATTTGAGGGGAAATGCACGACTTTGTATATTCTACTTTGATTACAACTTAATACATATTTGAGGGCAAAAGCATGGCCTTGTATATTCTACTTTGATTACAACTTAATACATATTTCAGGGGAAGTGCATGACTTTGTATATTCTACTTTGATTACAACTTTAATACATATTTGAGGGGAAATGCATGACTTTGTATATTCTACTTTGATTACAACTTAATACATATTTCAGGGGAAATGCATGACATTGTATATTCTACTTTGATTACAAATTCTTGAGTATTGTACAAATTTTGATGTAATAGAAATATTCACCAAAAAGGAATTACTAAATGTCAAAGGAACCTTTAAACAAAATAAAAACAAATGTATATATCTTTAGGTAATTAAACGATATTCATCAATATACAATTGCGTACTGCAGATCACATGACAAAATGTTTGAATCCTTCCAATGGGAGTCGTATTGGTGGTTTCAATTAAACCAACAAAGACTACCAAACATTTGAACAATCTTCAAACTATAAGCGGGCAAAAAAAAATGAAGATACAGACAAGATTTCTGAAAAGGGACAGTAGTAGCTTTAAGTCTTTGAAGAAATGTTAGACGATTATTACTGTAATATTTACATAAACTGTTATCACAGAGATATGTCTCGCCTTTTTGTAATTTTGCTTATGCAAATGTTGAAATTAAAATAGCAATACTTTAACATGTAAGTTATGCAAATATTCAAAGTCGATGAACCATGACTGAAGGTACATGGCTGAACAATCTCCATGGAAATGAGATGTGCCAATGTTAATACAACTGCATACCAAATACCATTAACTAATCATAAGTCGTTCCCTTTAAACAAACCTAAACACAAACATTAACTTGTAGACTATGTAAAAGTTTCAAAGTCAATGAACCATGATGAGGGAGTGGGGCTATATAATCTCCATGGAAATAAGACTTGCAAATGCCAATAAATTTGCATACCAAATATCATTGACATAACATTAGCAGTTCATCTTAAACTGATTTAATCACAAACTAATACATATAAACTAAGCAAATGTTTCAAAGTCAATAGACCATGACTGAGGGGGCGGGACCAAATATTCTCCATGGAAATAAGATGTACTAATGCTTATACAACTGCATACCAATTAACATTGGTCTACCACTAATGGTTCCCCTTGAACTGACCTAATCACAAACTAATACATGTAAACTAAGCAAAATTTTCAAAGTCAATAGACCATGACTAAGGGGTCGGAGCCAAATAATTTCCATGGAAATGAGATATGCCAATGCTTATACAACTGCATAGCAAATATCATTGACCTACCACTAGTGGTTCCCCCAAAAACTGACCTAATCACAAACTAATACATGTAAACTAAGCAAAAGTTTCAAAGTCAATAGACCATGACTGAGGGGGCAGGGCCAAATAATCTCCATGGAAATGAGATGTGCCAATGCTTATACAGCTGCATACAAAATATCATTGACCTACCACTTGTGGTTCACCATAAACTAGACCTAATCACAAACTAATACATTGTTGACGCCGCCGTCGCCGCCGACGCCGGAAACAGCATACCTATGTCTCGCTTTTTGACTCTGTCAAGGCGAGACAATAAATTAAACTTTCAATATCCCATATCTACACAAATTTTTCCCAAATAATAGATATAAAAAAACGCATACAAATACAATTATAGACGTTCATGGCTTGGGACAGACATATAAAGAATGTAGCGGGGATAAACATGTTTGTGAGCACTGAATCCATCAAATAGCTTAAATCAATAGATTAGTACGAAGCACAAACAAACAGCTAATTAACATAAAAGCAATAGACACACATCCCTGATATAAGAGTACTCGCAGTTATCGAGAGCTATAGTTCAAAGCAAATCACAACTAAATTAAATAAATAAATCGTGTTTTGTATAGTCTAGAACAGTTGAAAGTAAAATTTAACAGAGACAACCACAACTAAAAAAGGCTATTTTTTTTAAAGAACTGAAAAGCGATATAAGTAGAGGCACGACCGAAGAGGTTCTTGGCTGTGAAGAGGCACAATAACATACGAGTGGGTTACACTACTGTTCGTTATCTCAAGCCTCGATCCCAATTTTAGTCTTGATCTGTTGAATAACAGAAGATACATAAATGAACATTAAAATCAATAATTTAAAAAAAAAGTATTAGAGTTACAGACGACTAAAAAGGTAAAAGTATAATACTATATAAATCGTATTGTAGATGCTCGCACTTTCTGATATCAGGCTCATGTTTTTAATTTGCTCCAATAGAAAAAAAAATGCCGTTCTTCGCCCTTATATCAGCCGCTATACTTCCGGGTATATTTCATACGACAACATCATGAACACGAATGCTTATGCAGTGTATGATGATTTCACAACAACAGTTTGTTTATAACAGTTATCAATAAGTTTACGAAGCCAAAAAAGAACAGTTTGATGAAATTTTCTTATACTTGTTGGTGTTATAAATAATAATAACGTTAACTGCTGTGTGTGAAATGCCGCTTTTAAAATCGAATTCCTGAATTTATAATAATTTTTTTCTTTGTTACAAATTTAGTGAAAGTTGGAGATTTCATATCTGTAAGCATGCTGAACTATCGGATTCAGCAGTTTGCCAGTTATTGCCGTCGTTACACTCGAAATAGTTAAGAAAAAATATAAAAATAGATTGTGATGAAAATGTAACACAACAAAGTTAACTGTTGATATGATTTTTCCATTATTATAAAGTTATAAATAATAAAATATCTTAATCACCCAATGCCAGATGACACCAGCAATAAATAATATCTTTTATGTTACACTTACTTCCTATTGTATTTGCTTTTGTTATCATCAGCAATATCAGCTAGAGGCATGTTGAATAGTGAAAATGTAGCGCCTGATGCACAGCTGAAAATAACATAAAATCATCACAATAATACATTCGAGCGGTAACATAAAATATTTAAGTCTACAATTTATTTTACAAATAATGTCGTCTTAAAAAACAGGAACATTGGGTATATAAATATAACATAAGACGACTGGTACAAAAGTTCGTAGAAAACTCTTATCAAATGAACACACATAAAGATATACATTTAAAATGTTAAAGTGTTTTGATATTTATATTTATGACTTGACATGTCAAATATAAATGCTTAAAACAAATGTTGGATACATTAACGAATATACCATCAAAGCTCGTAGTTCGTGACTTAACGGGAAATGTTGTGAAGACGAATTAACCCTTTCTAATCATATTTTATTTATGCAGGTATATAGTTTTGTATGGATGCCACTGAATTACAGTACCACTTCATTCACATCCGTATGTACACCATGATGTCATTATGTCATTGAATATCCTGGTTTTTTTCGTTAACATAATGTCAAATTGCTTAAAGACCACTCCAAATTAAAATCTTTCATTTTGCATTAACTATTATAACTTGGTGTAAATAAAATGCACCAAATCGGGCTTGTACACGTTCTGATGGATGTATGTACTAGATGTAGGCAGCTCATATTTTAGGGACGTCAGCTCCGAAGATATGAGACGACTACATACAGTACCGGTCTGTCAGTGAGAGATACTGAAAATACATCAAATTAAATCAACAGTATCTTATGAATTATCTCCATTTTTTAACTCTTAAAATGATATTTCTACATATTTTTCAATCGGTCAAATAAGATTTACCACCATTGTGAGCATATATGTAAAGCCTAAGGGATTGTGTGCTTAGTTTTTGCCATGGTGAATTCTAATTGGCTCTGCAGTTGTCGATTTTCTGCAACTTTTCATAGCGTAAAAGGTCTGTTGATCGTTACTAATGAAAGCTGTATCATCCATTTTTGGTCTACATTGGCTCAACATCTAATTTTATGTTTCCTTAGTATGTACGATTTTCTTTAAAGAACAGTATAATCGATAAGTGATCTCGCTTCGACATGCAAAAATGTCCTTTCCAAGTAAAACATGACCATATGTGGTTTTTGAGAATCTGAAAGAGACCTTTCGATTTGATGCTCTGAACGTTTTATATTTTTGGCTACCCAAACATTTGGTCTTTCGCACATCTGTCAGATAGAGTGTTTTTTTTACCAGAAGCACATGTCGTGCGAATCGATATTAGTATCATTTGTTTATATTAGCAGATGTACCATGAATTCTGGGGCGTAGGAGCCAGATGCAAGGCCGAAGATGTCATTTCTTTTTTGTATAAGAAAATGAGAGAGAACACCGACTAATTTCTAGACTACTAAACAATGGAATTTTCTTTTTTCTTCTTTTTTCTTGTCACTTTAAGACCCCCGACTTTTCAGACAGTCTACTCCTCCGCCACTGATGACATCGTTTACAAATACACATATCATTCTCAACGTTTGCTGTGTACTATCAAACATCAGAATTATATCAATTTATTTAAAATTCCATTCGAGTATACAAAAAATAAATATATCTTACTTATCAGCTAACAAGAACACCATCAGACACCACGGATGACCTTGTCCTATATGGAGCATTACAATTCCCGCAAAAACGATATATATAAACGCAGACCTGATCACATAATAGTAGGAATATCTGGAGACAAACGTTGTTACTGTGATTATAACAAGCTGGAAAAGAAAGTCACGTCTGAAATACAGCTCCTTAATTCTTTTAAATCATTGATTGATTGATTAATTGATTGGTTGATTGATCGATTGATTTAAATATATTCTTTCTTTTATAGGAAAATTTATTAAAAAAAAACCTGAGCAGTTAAACAATATACACACACTGAGCTATGGTACCATATCGGTGAAATATAACCTTTGTCTTTTAAAATTACAGATACCTAACCCATTATTATATTGTAAATTCAATTCCCGTAACATTAAGGAATAAACAAATTAAAAACCTACAGTCGACATTAATGAAACTCCACCATAAAACAACTTTCGAACACTTAATGGAACATCATCTTCTGAGATCAACTGGTCACAAACAATTGCAATGAAGCTGTTTAGAAACGTTTTGTGGAATGCATGACAAAAATTTGATATGATGAATGCTATGAAATTCCTGTCATAAAAAAGCTGACCTACTTGATTCTTGTAAGGTTCCTTTTTAACATTTACACGCGAGTTCTTTGCAAGTTCGTATTTTTCTATTTTTTTAACATCATATTTCGTATGAGCATTAAGTCCCGAGTAGTAAAATAAACTGCAGGCACAAACTGCAACACACACAGATGTTATCTGAAAGGCTTTAAAATTGTGCAAACTGTCTGAGGTAAATTCTAGTAACATAACGCTTGGACCACCAAGTATACTAGCCATTTGTGCATATCGAGTCAACTTTATTCTATCTTCTGTATCTCGAGAAATCTCTGTGAATAATGAAGATACCGCTAATCCTATGAATGTAAACAGTGTATCCCAAAGAAAAAAAGTCATAATTAAATGAAGACCAACAAGCCATGAACTTTCTCCCCATGGAATCCAAGGCACAATAAATGAGAAGGCAAACAGAGGACCACAATACAGTATGCTTTCCCGTCTTGTTCTTGATATTTTAAGCTTTGACCCATCTTGTATGTAAGCGAACAACGGATTACTGACAGACGTCCAGACCATATGAAAGGTTTGAGCTATCTGAAACCAAGTTTCTTCAATGTGATAGTGGTTTATAAAAACTTTGACATAATAGAAGTTGAATGCAGATGCAATCATGTGAAAAGCAACGCCAGCTGCACAATAAGCCAATATCTCCTGCTTCCTTAAAACCATGATCCATAGTCTAGATACTGTGTGTTTCAAAGTGTAGTTTCTTTTTCACAGTAGTCTGAAAATTAAAAAAAAAAAAAATTCTATAAACAATTATCATTCTTTTATTACAATATATGTGGATGCCTTTCACACATCTTGTTAAAGGATTGTTAATCATTAAGCTCATGGACACAAAAGATTAATACATCAACATCACCTTTATATTGAAAAATTGTTCAAAATGATCTCACTTTGATACTAATAAGGTGAACCTGCAAGAAAGTTCAGATGATATTACATACTTTAAAACACAAAATAGAACTCTATAAATTTTGTGTGTCCTAAGCGCTTTACCTTCACCAGAAACGCTTAACCCAAACACTTGAAACCCAAGGATGTATAACCAAATGGAAACTAAAATGTATTATGGTCCACTAAGCATGTGGAATTTGGAACCTTAATTTCTTAATAATTTCTGAATTCACCAACCGAGACATTAAAAAAGGTTTTTTAAATCATGCAAGTATCGAAGCACTGACTACTGAGCTGATGATACCCTCGGGGACTAGCAGTCCATCAACGGTGGTACCAACCATTCAACGTTGGCATGGACCCAGTAAACATTCGAAGAGAAACTGACAACACCATGGCAAAAAATAACGAAAAACAACGAAAAGACAACCAAGTCTAGAAAACACTACCGTGAAAACTAAAGACAAAACAACATCACTAAAATATAGGCGTGATCTCAGGTGCTCCGGAAGGGTAAGCATATCCTGCTCGACTGGTATTATCCATCATGTTGCTCGTGGTAAGTCAGTGACAAATTCAGCCGGAAAAGTATCATTCGACGATGTCACAATCGAGGAAAAGAGGACAGGATTGTGATAACGACAATTGACACACTATCAGTGGTGATCTGTGACAGATATTTTCGCCATACAGGTCAACGAGCTTGTGCTGTTGCCGGTAAAACTTTAGAAGGGATGACTTCAACCTTAATACTTCGAACTCTATGTTCAATACCTTCCTTGTAAGTAGCAACCCTCTATGAATGATCATGATACTAAATGCAAGCTTTGGAATATGGTATCAACTGGGATGTATTATATATATAATATATATATTATTATGTTATTTTCATGTCAAATGTTCATATCCTTCTGGGTCCTGAATGAAAATAAAATATTCTTCTTTTTTATATATACCCCTATGCAGGCGCCGCTGGAATGTTGCTACGTAGAAATGGAACCATCACAATTGGGAAACTGAAATCATCCCTTTTGTCGTAAAGTTTTGTATTAAACCGACCCTCATTGTGAATTTCTACATACATGTATAAGTCAAGATAAGAAAGTGGGAAAAGGCGAATTATATATTCAGCGTACATGTACGTACGTTTGCATATTTCATAACGGAGACAATTGTCACTATGCAGTGATTTTCCAACCCTCATTTGGGGTCCGAATTTGGGCCCCAATCCCAAAGAGAAATATGCTCTTTTTTCCCAATTTTCAGCTCTAAAATTCCCAACTGTATATCGTCACGAGATTTTGTTGGTGTCGTATCGTGGTTTTTTGTTTACAAATCTCTTGAATCTTGTTTGCAATTCATGCAGTTATTCCTTCTCAGAATTCAGGATTTTGCACCTAATTTTTCAAAATTTTCTTGGGAGGTATGTCCCAAACCCCCTAGCAAGTTGCACACACGGTACCCTCCGTATAAACGGACTAATGTATTTCAGTCCCCAAAGCCAACATTTCACGAACTTTAATTCCCAATTGCATGGGCCATGGGCCCCTTCCCCTAAGCACTAGGAAAATCACTGTGTAACTGGACGTAAATTAAACATAAATCAACCAATCATCATGAATGGAGACAACTCTTAACTCTACTCAGTACTCATAGCTACGGCTATAAACAATTTTAACTGATTGAAGAAAAAAACAACCATTGGCAAAAGAACGTGTTAGATAAAACAATTAACAAATATTAAAGGAACATATTGCATATTTCAATAGTTCAGTCTCCATCAGTAGACATCTTTAGAGAACAGCTCACTTCTGATTATAATACTAAACCTCTTGTACATAATTAACACCTAAATTTGTTCATCTGTACAACCACACAATTTGTACAAAATAGCATTTAATTTTCTGTATTTTTGTTTTATTTTCAAGTTTTATTTTTTTCGAAATAGGCCACAAACGCAACAGTAATTAATCGTCAGCCTGCTTTATGGTATAATGTATGTTTAAAGAAGAAAGAAGTGGGGGCGAACGGGCCTAGGGCGAACTATTTCGATACCGATATCAGGTTTTTCGTTCGCTGGGTGGAAGTTCTAAAAGAGGAAACACATATGTTGGTTAATGAGCAATGGTAAAAAATTAATATAAAAAATAAAATACTTACAATAAAGTTACTATGTGCATCAGCAAACGATTACTTCAGTCTTCGCAGATGTTTGCTGTTATGCTTATTCTCTTATTAATCGATATATCCTTTCAAGTCAGCCAGTCGATTTATGTAACAAAATAAAAATCCGGATTATTTGACCGGAAGCTTGTATAAATGGTTTTGGCCGTTACTTTTTTTTTTTACTTCGGAGCTCTTCGGACTTATCCAGTTTATCAAGGACAATTCTGGAGAAAGTTAAAATGTGACAATGAAAAATGTTTCATCTAAAAAAATATGCAAAAGATACAAATTCATATTGTTGGGAGTTCTCATTATACTTTGTATACAACTATCCTTATTATCCTTCAGTCCCAACACAAATTCAACGGAATCTGATCCTTCAGTAAGTCAACTTTGAAAAGTCTTTATTGCAAAAACAAATAATTTGTTAAATAAATACTTTCATAACTGCTTACTACAAATTTATACTTGGCTGGTTTAGTCACGTAGAGAATCATATTCATACGATTTTTAAGCACCAACCCCTGGTGTCTCTTCCAGTTGAGCAATCAAATGAATGGTCATATCTATCTGTATGTATTTAATACCTCTTGTTGCTTGCTTTGACCTGGGACTATTATACTAACGGGACTGGAAACTGATCGATCTGTTGAGAATTCATTGCCCCAAAAGCGGATTATTGATTTTTTTTGTTTTGATTGACAGCTTATCGTGTCACGTAGTAAATTAGCATCCGGTACATGAATGTAAACAATAGAATTAGGCAAAAAAGTCAGCATATATATAATACTGTTAAAATTGGTGGATTTGAAATAAAAAAATAATTATTAATTTAATTAGTTTAAATGCAAAAAATATATATTGTTTACGAAAAATTATTAATAAGTAGTCAATATATTAGTGTTGAAAATAAACCAGATGTAGTCGAAATGCCAGCGCTTTACTTGACCGCTAAGAAAAACAACATGTCAAAGGTTAACAGATCATAATGAATCCTGATAAAAACAATAAGAGTGCAATAAAAACAATGTTTACAATTTCAGTTCATAATTAATTCATATAACAAAAGTTACCCGGGTCTCATAAAGATATAGCAACATTGTTTTGAACTTTTGTGAACTTCGTGTTTACACCAAAATTTCAATATGGCTATGAACGGGCCTACTTTTCTAGTTCTAATTATGGAACCTATAGTGTACATATTTTCACGAAGTCATATGCTAATGCCACCAGAAGACCATTACTGAGCAAAATTAACCCTGATTATAATAAAAATATTGTACACATAAAAAGGAGTAGGTAATTTTATAGGAACAGTATAATTTATTTGAGCCGCGCATGTGGGTTCCAGTTGTAATGAGAAAGAGATTTATATTCCACTTTTTATTTTAAAAAGTGACAATAAAAAAAGGCAAATCCAAACTATAACCTATAAATATGATTTTACAACAAACAGAACTTGCGTATCTCTTTTCAATCAACAGTTATAAGAAATTTTATGAATCATATACTTTTTTCCACATCGTCCCCACGCTATTTTCATCCTGAAAATTTCAATCTGAATGTGTCATTTTTTACACTTAAGACGGGATTTGGTGATTAATAACAACTGTCAAAGATCGAGATAACTTTTATCATTATAGTAATCATGTTTATATTAAGGATTATCATTTCGAATAACTATAAAATAAAAAAACAAATTACGGAAATTATAAGATCAAGGCACGCTGTCACTGTCAAAACAATATGGCATATCGATAAATAGCGCAGGTAAAGTCTCGTTCTAACGACCGTGATGTTGATATTATTACACTGATTGGTGTAACGGTTTCCAGTCCCGTTAGTATAATAGTCCCAGCTTTGACACCAGGACTGAGGAGATTAGTATGGACCCTAAGCACTGTCCCCTGGTGTGTTCTCCACCCAAGCAACCTTTCTTCTTCTCTGGATCTTTACACCCTTTATAAGGTAACCATACTTTTGTTCCACCACCAAAAATATACAAAATAATGACCCACAATTTTTGTCTCCCCTTGGGTTGCACTGTCGCAAACATCCTTTTTGCAGAGAACATTTAAAATCATCTTATATTAATTTTTACATTACCACACCAGTATTATACATAATTTGTACACCAATCTCAGTTATTTTTATGTCCCAGCCATGGTAGAGGGGGTATTAAATGTTACCCCTGTCTCCCATAATTAGTTTCTATTCTCTAACTTTACTCTTTAGTTTGCCTCAACCAAATGTAATGAAACTTATAACACAATGTTTATTTCCACAATTTTTTTTTTAACACAAATCAAGTGCGAATTTGGTTGCGTTACTTTTACCGTTCTTGAGTTATGTCCCTTTATAATGTTATATGCAAGCGGGACCATCATCTGTGTCCAATTCACACATTTACCATTTATCTATAAATGAGTTACACCGTTGTTTACCCGAGGTCAGTCGGCTTAAAGGACCTCATCGAACAATTAATTCTTACTGTGACGTATTAACACAAGCATTGTGACATAGGCAATTTACGGGAAACTGCACTTATCCAAAAGTCGTCTATTCTTGTACTATATTGATTGTATACATTGTAACAAAATTATGATTGCATCTTTGTCATTGCTTCCTGAGGAACCGTAACTGAAATAAACAAGTCAGGAAACTGAAAATAAATTATATGCACTAAAATTATAAAAAGGTCCTGTGTATCTGTAGTTTAAACTAATATAGCTCGATCTGGCTGCTTTGGTTTAATCAGGTTATAAAAAATATCTCTGTTTTCAATTTTTAAATGAAATTTAGAGTTACAATCTATTAAATGGAATATCTATGACTCAACCTCCTGCTGTTCCTGTTAGTGTTATACATTGTTGTTGAGGGTTTGGTGCAAGCTCCCCCATCAACATTTTCCATCAACAACAACAACAAGGTTCAAAACAAGGTGGTTTTTATTACATGTATGCTTTCAAGTCTATTAATTCAGAAACTGAAATTTCATGTGAAAAGTGTTTTAGGGAGGCAATTTCTTTACAACCCTCTTAGACTAACGTAGCCAAATCATGTTAAATAAGCTAAAACTGTAGATACATGTATACTGAATCTTATAAAAACCAGCAGGATAAACTTGCTTTATTCTTATTAGCATGCTACTGTTTAGTACAGTGTGATGCATTTTCACATCCATTGCTCATGAACTATATTCTTGTATCTTCTTAACATAATGACCATGACATTTGGTATTGTGCTTCATGTTAGCCAGCTATTTATTGTCTGATGCATTTTTGTCGAGCCTGCAAAATATATTTCGCGAAACCGAGACATAGCAATCCTAGATTCCAACGTCGGCATCGTGAACATTTAGGTTCAGTCTGTGGTGAAAGTTTTTTTAGACATCAATAACTTTGTCAAATCTACATGGAATTTAATGAAATTTGGACAGAAGCTTGTTTATGACCAAAATATAGTATACAGAGAAAAATATTTATTTCCATTTTCCGTATTTTACTGATAAATGGACTTAGTTTTTTGTCTCGCCTTGACAGAGTCAAAAAGTGAGACATAGGTATGTTGTTTCTGGCGGCGGCAGCGGCGTCAACAATGTGTTAGTTTGTGATTAGGTCTAGTTTATGGTGAACCACTTGTGGTAGGTCAATGATATTTGGTATGCAGTTATATTACCATTGGCACATCTCATTTCCATGGAGATTATTTGGTCCTGCCCCCTCAGTCATGGTCTACTGACTTTGAAACTTTTGCTGAGTTTACATGTATAAGTTTGTGATTTGGTCAGTTTATGGGGAACCACTAGTGGTAGGTCAATAATATTTGGTATGCAGTTGTATAAGCATTGGCATATCTCATTTCCATGGAGATTATTTGGCTCAGGGGCCCGGCTCCGCCCCCTCAGTCATGGTCTATTACATTTGAAACTTTTGCTTAGTTTACATGTATTAGTTTGTGATTAGGTCAGTTCAAGGGGAACCATTAGTGGTAGGCCAATGTTAATTGGTATGCAGTTGTATAAGCATTAGCACATCTCATTTCCATGGAGAATATTTGGCCCCGCATCCTCAGTCATGGTCTATAGACTTTGAAACTTTTGCTTAGTTTACCTTGTATTAGTTTGTGATAAGATCAGGTTAGGATGAACCGCTAAAGTTAAGTCAATGACATTTGGAAGCAAATTTATTGGCATTTGCAAGTCTCGTTTCCATGGAGATTATATAGCCCCACCCCCTCATCATGGTTCAATGACTTTTACATTGTTTACAAGTTAATGTTTTGTTTTTAGGTTTGTTTAAAGGGAACGACTTATAAATGATAAGTCAATGGTATTTGGTATGCAGTTGTATTAGCATTGGCACATCTCATTTCCATGGAGATTGTTTAGCCATGTACCTTCAGTCATGGTTCATTGACTTTGAATATTTGCATAACTTACATGTTAAAGTATTGCTATTTTAATTTCAACATTTGCATTATCATGATTATCAAAATTACAAAAAGGCAAGACATATCTCTGTGTTAACAGTTTATTTTACAGTTAACGTTCAGATTTAGTCTGAGGTAAAAGTTTATTTAGACATCAATATCTTTGTCAAACCTACATGGAATTTTAAGAAATTTGGACAGAAGCTTGTTTATGACCAAAATATAGTATCCAGAGCAAAATTTTGAAAATATTTATTTTCATTTTTCCATATTTTACAGTTTACTAATAGATGGACTAAGTATTTTTTACAGTTAGCATTCATATTTAGTCTAAGGTTAAAGTTTTCAGTCATCCATAACTTTGTCAAACCTTCATGGAAATTTGAAATTTGGACAGAAGCTTGTTTATGACCAAAATACAGTATCCAGAGCACAATTTCGAAAATATTTATTTTCATTTTTCCCTATTTTACTAATAAATGCATGGACTTAGTTTTTTTATACAGTTAACAAGTAGATACAGTCTGGGATTAAAGTTTGTTACACATCAATTACTTAGTAAAACCTTTATGGAGTTTCATGAATCTTTGGCAGAAGCTTTTTAATGATGAACATGATGAAGAGATAATGTCTGAAGCAAACCTTTGAAAATACATTTTATTTCATTTTTATACGCCCGTTAACGGGACGTATTATGGTATACTGTTGTCCATCCGTCCATCTGTCTGTCCATCGTCAACGTGTCGGACAATAACTCAAAAACGCTTTAACCAATTTGCATAAAACTGGTGAATTGTTTATATCTATTAAAAAAGTTTTTTTTCAGTTTTCTGACAATAACTCAAAAATACTTTGAGCAGTTTTCATGAAACTGGTGAATTGTTTATACACAATGTATCTATTGATGTGAGCTCCCTTTCGATTTTTATAAATTTTAGATTTTACATTTCAGGGTTATGGGGTTTTATTCATTAAAAAGGGGGGATTTTCCAGTTTTCCAGCAATAACTCAAAAGTGCTTTGAGCAGTTTTCATGAAACTTTGGTGACTGGTTTATATCTATTAAAATAACCTCCCTTAACTTTTTTTATAAATTTCTGAAATGTGATTGAGGAGTTATGGAATTTTATTCTTTGAAAAAGCGACAGGCGTGTCATGCTCTCATGGCGCAGCTCTTTATTAGTATTTTTCTGATAGATGGAATTTTTACAGTTGTCATTTACAGACAGTCTGGGATTAAAATTTTTTTGACATGATAAATTTGTACACCTTCATGGATTGTTAAGAAACTTGGACAGAAGCTAATCTTCAAGGCCAAGAAAGAGCATCTAAAGAAAAAGTTTGAATATTTTTTAAAATTCTGTATTTACTGATAAATGGAATATCTTTTTAAGTCAACATTACACTTTGACACTAACAGCAGCAATGGCAGGTGAGACACAGGGTTCTGCGGAACCCTTTAATTTTTTTTTACATAAAATGTACATAAAAGTATATACATTTTGTGTACGTACAGTTGGAAAACAACCATTGAGAAGGTTCCTGACTCACAACAGATGTTGAAGGGTTAAACTAGTTTTTTGAGAACTCATCCCTCTCCATTTTACTTTCAGTTAGTGGACTAACAAAATAAATGTAAAAGAAGTTCTATGAAAATAAGTACAGGGAAACCACACGAGTAAAAACAAATATGGTATAATAGATAACATCAACAGAAGTACTGTAAAAAACTAGCAATATTACAACACATCATGTCATCAAAGAAAATCCAGAGTTACAGAAAACAAACTCTAATTATGACATACTTCAGTGACTGTACTTAATTATTTCATACAGAAATGCCATAAACAGTACAGGAAGACACTATTTTGTGCATCATCAAGTTTTTGTCTTTTTCAGTCTCTTCTGTCCATAAATAAGCCAACAGACAGAAACAAAACAAACGGACCAGATCCACCATTACAGATTCATGATTCTACTGACAAAAAGTCTTTCCAGTTTCAACCAAAGTGCCATATAACTGTGAAGGATTCTTTATCTGCTATAAGCCGTGCCAAAACTGAACATTGTAAACAGCAAATTGCAGATGTTACTTGTTTGTCATTAGAAGAAAAACTTTTCCCAAAGAATATACCAAATTATTGTCCTTTCAAAGGTAAAGAGTTAATCTTGTTTCCCTTTTGAATTAAATGTGGACTGCAGATGATATTAAGATGAATCTTAATTATGTGTGGTTAGTACATGTAAATTGAAATGTTTTACCATGTTTGATGAAAAATAAGACACTAAAAATGAATTAAATTAGTACTAGTGCACAATCCATTGTGGGAACTAATATAGCAAAGACATACCATGTATTAATGCAATGATTGTATACAATTGCATGTAGCATTGAATCCTGAAAAGTCAAGATAGCTAAATATTTTATCAAAATGGGGTATGCTCAGCCTTTTTAAATATGAATTCAACATTTAAACTATCTAGACTCAAAAAAGTATTGAAATGCTGAAGCCAAGAAGATGTGTAGTGGTATTAAATTTTTATGTCCCAGCCGCAGCAGGGGGCATTAATCTTACCCTTGTCCCTCTTTACATGCATCTGTACATCCTGAATTGGTTTCCGTTCTCTAACTTTAGTTTGCCTCAACCAAATGTTATGAAACTTATACACAATGCTTATTACCACAAAACATTAGGGATGTCAACGAGTACTCGAGTACTCGAGTATCGCTCGGTAGTACCCAGTATCGAATACCAAAATGATACTCGACTAATCGATCTCCTGTAAGAATGTTGTTGCTTTCTTAAGCTTAAACAAAAAAATATTTTTATTGAGAGCGCATCCCGGGAAATTAAATATTAATCCAAATTAATAAAAAATTAATATACGATTCAAATGTTTGCGTTTAACTGTCATTTTAAATTCTCCCAAACAGAGGTAGGCTTTGAACAAGAGCACTTTTCCAAATCTTACATCTTTAGCTAATCTGAGTCATTCCCCCACCTCTATACCGTCAGAGCATATATGTTTATCACCAGGACTGTTAGTTACCTTAACAAAGTCGAGAAATTGCCTCGTCCCAGAAAAAGTTGTCAAAATGATACTTTTAGATACGAACAAATTAAATGCACCCTGTGTCGACCCTCAGAAAATGATTAAAGGCATCAGTAAGTTCTAATTATTACCCCTTTGTTAATTATTAAATGTGTTTTTTTACGGTTCCCAAATACTGTAATTTTCTACAGATATTAATTAATTACGTGATTAGATTATTGCTAGTTTACATAATTCGTATGTAGTAAATGAGCTGTTAATTATGGTATAAAATTCCTTGGACTATTATCTAGTCCTAGGTAATTATGTTCAGGGTTTTACGTTCATAAGACAACGATCCACAATACATAAAATAGGCATAATTTTGTTTATTTTGTAAATATTTTACCGAGTGAGTACTCGAGTATCGCTCAGTAAATCCAACGAGTACTCGATTAGTAAATCTTCACCGAGTTGACATCCCTACAAAACATAGATTTCTTAATATAGTCTAGAAATTATATTTTCTTACCATTTAATCTCTTGACATAGTTCCCATTATATGCACAGACCTGATTGAAATCATATCTCAATTTTGCAAAACAGTAAAGTATAATTGTTTTGTTCATTCATGTCATTTGTATGTTTTTCGGAGAAAAAGAAGTAGTCAAAGGATCAGTATGGCATTAAAATGATTGATTTTAATATTATTGAATTGCTTAAAAGTTCATCCAATCCTTACCCCCTACGATGTGCATTCAGATCTTACATCAGCGCCAAACAAATTCAACGGAGCAATGTGAAATATCTGATTTTGAGTATTTGTATACCCGACATGTATATAAAAAAGGAAATGTTATATGATTGCCAATGAGACGACTACCTATACATACATTGGTATATAATTGAATCTATGTTAGATGTATCAGCATGATACTTTCAATGACTACAACTCCGTTGTTTTTCTGCAGAAAGAAAGTTATTGGTAATGTTTCAAAGCATCAAGATTTCATCAAGTAGAAGTTAATTATTGGAAATTTCTCTCTGTGATCTACTTTTCATACATATTACATTGACTACTATTGACAGAAAAAATATGTTTTATTATATTAATATTTTCTACAGGAAATCATACATCTGGATTCTACTATGGCTGTTTTGGAGACAGTACAGAAAGCAGAGATTTGTCTCATCACAAAGAATTTCCAGAAACAAACTCTCCTAAGAATTGTATAAAATATTGCACTAATGGAGGTACAAATGTAATCTCTAATCTTGATGAGGTCAAAAGGATCTTCTATTTTGTAAATGTTGATTGATTGGGGCTTTAATCTTGTAGTTTTTGCAAGATATCTACTTTTTGGCATACTCAATTGAATAAAGAGATTCTAACATTCAGCTTGGATTGTCTATACATAGCTAGCAGAACAAAAAAGTGTTACATTTAGATTGGCATACATTGATTCTTAAAAATAATGAGATTTTAAATGATTATTTCATGAAGTAGAAATACATTTTGCTTTTTATAGAAATGAATAATATAATTTTTCAATGTTATTTTCATTTTATATTTCATTGGTTGAAAAGCCGCAACTTACAGAATTTACAGAAGTTTCATATTAAAATGTTAATTAGCGGTAGCAAATAAAACAGCAAATGTTTTCTGTATTGATAGGTTATTTATATGCTGGTTTACAATACATGAAGGAATGTTGGTGTGGTGACAGATTTGGTAAGCATGGTAAAGTGGACATATCATTGTGTAATAACCAGTGTCCTGGGGACCCATCTAAACCATGTGGTGGTTACCAGGCTAACAGCATCTATACAACTGGATTAGGAGGTAGGCCATAGTGTCACTTGGAACTTTCTGCAGTAATAACATGTATAACATAAAGTTAACAGGTAGTTGTGGCACAGCTATTGAAGGAAACTGTGACTGGCATGTAATGTCTACTTGCTAAATAGCATTTGTACCAAATAATGCATTAATGTTATGGGCCCTTGGCAAACTCATAGAAGTTAATGAAAATTTCCAAGCAAATAGAACGTAGAAAAGCTTGTTAATATTCTGAAAAAATGATATATGTAACTATTGTACTTTCTAAGATTTAACAAAATTAATATCCTGCAGATAAATGTACATATGAAAATTAATTTAGCCAAAAAAGGACAATAATACGACTTAAGAGTACCTTTTCTCAAAACCCTATTCTGCAAATTTTCCTGTAAAACAATATATTGCGACTAACATTTCTTTAGCTATTAGGCAAGTAGTGAATACATGTTATTGCCAGTGAAATTTATTTTTAACGGATATAAAATTTGTAAATGTTCACAAAATTCTTTTAATTAATATAAAGATTTGAATCATACATACATTGTGATAAATAGCTGTGAAGACCTAAGCTAATCATGACACTGTGATGTACATTGTGATAAATAGCTATGAAGACCTAAGCTAATCATGACACTGTGATGTACATTATGATAAATAGCTGTGAAGACTAAGCTTAACATGACACTGTGATGTACATTGTGATAGATAGCTGTGAAGACTAAGCTAATCATGACACTGTGATGTACATTGTGATAAATAGCTGTGAAGACTAAGCTAATCATGACACTGTGATGATATTAAACATCTTATTATACCCCACACAACGAGTTGCTGAGGGTATAATGTTTTTGACCCGTCCATCTGTCCGTCCGTCCGTCAGTCCGTCCGTCAGTCCGTCAGTCCTGTTTCTTGTCATCGCAACTCCTCTCAAACCACACAACAGAATTTCACGAAACCTTTTTAGATAATAAGGACATACTATGTAGTTGTGCATATCGACAGGAAATTACGATCTATTTGTTTTTCTAGGAGTTACGCCCCTTTGAACTTATTTACTTTAATGTACTACTGCAACAGTTTGTCATCTCAACTCCTCTGAAACCAAACAAAAAAATTTCATGAAACTTTGTAGATAATAAGGACATACTACGTAGATGTGCATATCGTCAGGAAATTACGATTCAATTTTTTTTCCAGGAGTTACGCCCCTTTGAACTTATTTGCCCAATATACTACTGCAACCTTTTGTCATCGCAACTCCTCTCAAACCACACAATAGAATTTCATGAAACCTTTTCAGATAATAAGGACATACTACGTAGATGTGCATATCGACAGGAAATTACAATTCAATTTTGTTTCTAGGAGTTACGCCCCTTTGAACTTATTTGCTTCAATATACCTCTGCAACAGTTTGTCATCGCAACTCCTCTGAAACCACACAACAGAATTTCATGAAACTTTGTAGATGATAAGAACAAACTAGGTAGATGTGCATATCGACAGGAAATTATGATTCAATTATTTTTCTAGGAGTTACGTCCCTTTGAACTTATTTACTTTAATGTACTACTGCAACACTTTGTCATCTCAACTTCTCTGAAACCACACAACAAAATTTCATGAAACTTTGTAGATAATAAGGACATAGTACGTAGATGTGCATATCATCAGGAAATTACGATTCAATTTTTTTTCCAGGAGTTACGCCCCTTTGAACTTATTTGCCCAATATACTACTGCAACCTTTTGTCATCGCAACTCCTCTCAAACCACACAATAGAATTTCATGCAACCTTTTCAGATAATAAGGACATACTACGTAGATGTGCATATCGACAGGAAATTACGATTCAATTTTGTTTCTAGGAGTTACGCCCCTTTGAACTTATTTGCTTCAATATACCTCTGCAACAGTTTGTCATCGCAACTCCTCTGAAACCACACAACAGAATTTCATGAAACTTTGTAGATAATAAGGACATACTAGGTAGATGTGCATATCGACAGGAAATTATGATTCAATTTATTTTCTTATACAATTTTTTTTTCTTACAGTTATTTTATTTCTCCAGTGACAATGTGGGGACGTGGGGTATGTGAGCGTGCTCACTAAGGTTCTTTAATTTTTCATGTTTTAAGATACAACATTTCTTTGATGATTTATACAGCAAAAACATTTTTGGCAACCCCTTATAAATTTTATATCAATAAAACAGAAATTTCATGAGCATAATGATTATGTTGTCACAACTTGCTGCATAGCAAAAGACTAAGAGCTACATGAAGGTTACATTGTGCATTGGACTTTCACTGCAATTTTGTGTCTGTCTGACATCTTACGTTGATACCAATCCAGGAAATCTATGATTTGACAACTATAGGGTTGAATTTTTTTATACCCTTATTATAAGTTATATATATTAAAAAGTTTCCACACATTCAATGTTGTTCCTTCAGATGTCTGCAAATCTTTTTCCAATTGTTGATCATATGAAGTAAATATTGTTTATATAAAATAAGGAGATGTTGTATGATTATTCCGTGAGATAACTATCTTCTAAAGACCAAATGACTCATATGTGAACAATAATAGGCCACCCTATGGCCTCCAACAATGCACAACTCCTATACTGTGTAATTAGCTACATGTATAAAAGGCACATGAAGACAAAAAGTGATGCAATTGAAAAAGAAAATTTACAGTCTGATTTATAATACAACAATATATTTCAACAATTATGGCAAACAGCACCCAGCAACATGATAATTTTTTTAGAACAGATTAAAGAAATAATTACTGAGAAAATTTCATAGTTTCATAAAACAAAATAAGTTATACCCTTACCTCTATAATCTATAAAGTAATGCAGTAAGTTTCGGCATTTTTCACTGTTTTTATACGACCGCAAAAAATTTTGCGGTTGTATATTGGTATGACGTTGGCGTCGTAGTCGTCGTCCTAAGACACATTGGTTTTCGCACTCTAACTTTAGTTTAAGTGAATGGATCTCTATAAAATTTTACCATAAGGTTCATTACCACAAAAGGAAGGTTGGGATTGATTTTGGGGGTTATGGTACCAACAGTTAAGGAATTAGGGGCCAAAAAGGGGTCAAAAATAAGCATTTTTGTAACTTCCAGACATAACTTGTGTGTTAGTGTATGGATCTCTCTGACATTGTACCACAAGGTTCCATATCACAAAGGGAATGCTGGGATTGATTTTGGGGGTAATTGCCTCCGAGTTTTTGGAATTAGGGGCCCAAAAAGGGGCAAAAAACAAGCATTTTTCTAGTTTCATGACAATAGCTTGTGTGTAAGTGTATGGATCTTTTTGAAATTGTACTACAAGGTTCCATATCACAAAGGGAAAGCTGGAATTGAGTTTGGGGGTAATTGCCCAAAACGTTTAGGAATAAGGGGCCAAAAATATGCATTTTTCTAGTTTCCAAATTCCAGACAATAACTTGTGTTTAAGGAATATGGATCTCTATGAAATTGTACTGCAAGGTACCATACCACAAAGGGAAGGCTGGGATTGAGTTTGGGGGTGATGAATCATAAGGGGGTTCAAAAAATTTGGGGGGGGATTTTTTTTTCCCTTTTTTCTTTAAAATTTTCCTTTTTAAATTGGTTATTTCTGATTTATATATAAAAGCAAATAATAATGATATGGTTTGAATAGGTAAATTAAATTTTTTTAAGTTCTTAGACCACATTCATTCTGTGTCAGAAACCTATGCTGTGTCAAATATTTAATTACAATCCAAATTCAGTGCTGTATCAAGCTTGAATGTTGTGTCCATACTTGCCCCAACTGTTCAGGGTTTGACCTCTGCGGTTGTATCAAGCTGCGCCCGGCGGAGCATTTTATTTTTTGTTTTTTTGGTTTTGCTCAAAGTGAATTTAGTAGAGATACAGTGATTCTTTGAAAAATGACCCTGTTGGTGAAATGAATATATTGACACTACCTCTTTTTTGTAGCAAAAATAAAGACCCCAGTTGAGTTATTAGGACCTATGATTCAAACCAAAAAAGTGAAAATTGTCTTTGTTTTGACCTTGAATGGTCGTGCTGTCAGACAGGTTAGAAGGTTATTGAAGGCCATCTACCATAAAGATCATTTCTACTATATTCATGTTGATATTGTAAGTATTATAAGAATTTGAGATAGTTATTAAGACACTCATATAGTTTATTTATAAGTACGTGTAATTTAAATGCAGAAATGTTTGCATGCATTTATTATTGCCTTTCTTGAACAATGAACACTAATGTGAGATAATATGTTGAAATTCTGTATGGAAAGAATGCTATTAGAATTTGAAACAAGACTTTTTTTTGCAAAACCTATTATGTTGCAACTTTTTTAATAATAATAAATACATTGCAAAAATTTACAAGTTAACTAATACATGTAACTGCAAATATTGCAATGCTGTTTAATCTGTCTTTTTATTTCATGTTTATAGACAATGCAAATTCAATGCATGTGAACACTTTTATTCTTTAGTTAGACATATTTATTGAATAATACACATAGCAATTACTCTGACATTAATGTATAGTCTAGGATGTAAACTTTTAATTATAATTCCCTGATTACTGGAAATGATGTAACAGAAATTAGCTATTTAAAATAATGATTTAAAATTTAATAATTATTTACTCATTTGTTGCAATTAATAATTAAAACATAAATACAGATGTATTTACACTTGTATGCTAATTTGTTCGCCATTACTTAAAATTATACAAGTTCCTGCAAAATTTTGCAAAATTTTGCATCGCAATTTAAAAAAGTTGATATCACAACCAAAAAGGTATTGTTAACCTAAGAATTCAGCTAAATACCAAAAGTGTAAATTTGTCTATAATTCTGAATATGCCATATAAATACTATTTTTTATTGCTTTAAAAATGCAAAATGAGTACATCATGAAGCTTTCTACCATACAATTTTATCTGTAAAATGTGTTATTTTTACTAAATTTGAAAGATTGATATTTTTCAGAGACAACAGTATTTATACAATGAACTGTTACCATTAGAATCAATGTTACCCAATGTAAGGCTGACAAGGAATAGGTTTGCTACCATATGGGGAGGAGCAAGTTTACTACAAGCCCACTTAGCATTCATTAAAGAACTTCTAGAAATGACCGACTGGACGTGGGACTATTATATCAATCTAAGTGAAAGTGACTATCCCATAAAGTAAGTATAAACACATGGCTACATACAATTTCTCATCACATTTGATATTTGTGAGCAATTAATACTTTTTATAGTTGTTTTTGTAATCTAACTTTGATGATGGACGTCAAACATTTTTTATGTGCCAAAAAAATTTTGGACAGGTTCATAAAAACTTGATAAATAATGATCATGATGATATAATGATTGTATATTTTCAGAAATTTAGACACACTTGTGAATTTTCTGACGAGATACAAAGGAAAAGTATTTCTGAAATCCCACGGCAGAGACACACCAAAGTGAGTATAAAATGCACTGTGAACAGTTCAGATTATTTTACACAAACCATTAACCTGAGTAATTCTTGAAATATAATTTACGACAAATGTCTTGGTGATTTACCACTTCTTATTGTGACAAAAGACTTATAAAAGTTCACACAATACCTTACTTCAAAAATCTCCTTGGAGGATAAAACCAGATCAACTTGTAAAGATATTGCATTCTCATATAGTATTTTGTTATGTAAATCTTTTACATTTTCTCAGTATTAGTAATGAGACGAAATTGTAATTGCAGATTTTTGAAAAAGCAGGGACTTGACCAAATTTTTCATGAATGTGACAATCATCTTTGGAGACTTGGGCCTAGGGAACTGCCTGATGGACTTCGATTTGATGGAGGAAGTGACTGGTTTGGATTACACAGAAAGTTCTGTGATTATGTAATAACTTCAGATCTTTTATTAGATGGACTAAAGGAATTCTATAAGTACACATTACTTCCTGCAGAGGTAAGAAAATCAATTTAGTAATTCATGATCATAGTCTTATGAATAAATATAAAATATATGGTAAAAGTTAACAACATATTTACAGGGAAGTACAGTCTCCAGAAAAAGACCAATGTCCAATCTGTATGTCAAACTCTAAAATCAAAACAATATTGATTTATAGACGAAAGAGGAAATTTAAAACAACAACACAAATGAAACGAGACTGATCCTGATGAAATTTCAACAACTTGGTCTTTTGCAGAGAACTACAGCTTATTTTAATTTTGAGAATTATGGCTTAATCTGTTTTCAAAAAGAGGGTAAAAAGTGGCCCAAAACAATGTTTCAATAGTTTTGATGATGTGCAGCACTCATTTTCTCATCAGATTTTGGTGCATTTTTGTTTGACTCCATCCTGGAATATGTCATATGAATTCCTATATCAACAGATTTGATGAAGCATTTGCAGGTTCAGATATTAAAAAAGTCAAATTGGTGTTAATCCCATAAGCTTTCATATGTCCATTGTCCTTGACCTCATTTTCATGGTTCAGTGACTACTTGAAAAAAAAGTCAACATTTTTTGTAATGTTTATTTCTTTCTTATGAGTAATAGGATAACTATATTTAGTATGTGCTTACCTTGCAAGGTCCTCATGCCCGTCAGACAATTTTCATTCACCTCAACCTCATTTCATGGATCAGTGAACAAGGTTAAGTTTTCGTGGTCAAGTCCATTTATCAGATACTATAAGCAGTAGGTCTACTATATTTAGTATATGGAATGATTGTAAAGTGTACATGTCCAACTGGTAGGTGTCATCTGACCTTGACCTCATTTTCATGGTTCAGTGGTCAAAGTTAAGTTTTTGAGTTTTGGTCTTTTTTCTAATACTATATGCAATAGGTCAACTATATTTGGTGTATGGAAATACATGTCAGTCTCACAGGTTTTATTTGACCTTGACCTCATTTTCACAGTTCATTTCTCAGTGTTAAGTTTTTGTGTTTTGGTCTGTTTTTCTTCAACTATAAGCAATAGATCAACTATATTTGTTGTATGGAAAGATTGTAAGGTGTATATGTCTGTCTGGCAGGTATCATCTGACCTTGACCTCATTTTCATGGTTCATTGGTCAATGTTAAGTTTTCTTGGTTAAGACTGTTTCTTAGAAACTATAAGCAATATGTCAACTATGTTTGGTTTATTGAATGATTGTAAGGTGTACATGTATTTCTCGTTTGGTTTATCTGACCTTGACCTCATTTTCTTGGATCATGTTAAGTTTATGTGTTACCTGTAGTAAAGCTTTATATTTAGGACTATCAACATAAAATCAATGGTTAGTAAAGAAGGCAAGACATTTCAGCGTGTGCACTCTTGTTATACTTCATGTATGATTTTATTTTCAGTCATTCTTTCATACAGTCCTTCAGAACAGTATTTTCTGTGATAAATGGATGGACAACAATCTTCATGTAACAAACTGGATCAGAAAGAAAGGTTGTAAATGTCAGAATAAACACATTGTGGACTGGTGTGGATGTTCTCCAAATGATTTCAAATCTACAGATTTACAAAGACTTATGGTGGGTAAACCTTTGCTGGCATATCATTATTGAAATTACTGTAAACTAACTTATTTTAGTGAATACTTTATTCCTCGATTAGGCATTTCTTGTGATTTATTTGTGACGATTTATTATACCCCCACGCAACGAGTTGCGGAGGGTATAATGTTTTTGACCCGTCCCTCTGTCTGTCCGTCCGTCAGTCCTATTTCTTGTCATCGCAACTCCTTTCAAACCACACAACAGAATTTCACGAAACCTTTTTAGATAATTAGGACATACTATGTAGTTGTGCATATCGACAGGAAATTACGATTCAATTTTTTTTCTAGGAGTTACGCCCCTTTGAACTTATTTACTTTAATGTACTACTGCAACCTTTTGTCATCGCAACTCCTCTCAAACGACACAACAGAATTTCATGAAACCTTTTCAGATAATAAGGACATACAACGTGGATGTGCATATCGACAGGAAATTACGATTCAATTTTTTTTCCAGAAGTTACACCCCTTTGAACTTATTTGCCAAATATACTACTGCAACTTTTTGTCATCGCAACTCCTCTCAAACCACACAACAGAATTTCATGAAACCTTTTCAGATAATAAGGACATACAACGTAGATGTGCATATCGACAGGAAATTACGATTCAATTTTTTTTCCAGGAGTTACGCCCCTTTGAACGTATTTGCCAAATATACTACTGCAACTTTTTGTCATCGCAACTCCTCTCAAACCACACAACAGAATTTCATGAAACCTTTTCAGATAATAAGGACATACTACGTAGATGTGCATATCGACAGGAAATTACGATTCATTTTTTTCCCAGGAGTTACGCCCCTTTGAACTTATTTGCCCAATATACTACTGCAACCTTTTGTCATCGCAACTCCTCTCAAACCACACAACAGAATTTCATGAAACTGTGTAGATAATAAGGACATACTACGTAGATGTGCATATCGACAGGAAATTACGATTCATTTTTTTCCCAGGAGTTACGCCCCTTTGAACTTATTTGCCCAATATACTACTTCAACCTTTTGTCATCGCAACTCCTCTCAAACCACACAACAGAATTTCATGAAACTGTGTAGATAATAAGGACATACTATGTAGATGTGCATATTGACAGGAAATTATGATTCAATTTTTTTTTCTGATACAATTTTTTTTTCTTACACTTATTTTATTTCTCCAATGACAATGTGGGGACGTGGGTTATGTGAGTGGCTCACTAAGGTTCTTTAATATTTACATTACTTTTTACTTGTGGATTTGGGAAAATAAATTGCTTGCAAAAATTAGTTGGTTTGCAGAAACTTTAACATTTAATCTAATATGATATGCATGTAAATCAAATACCTGTGTAAATTGAGAGCCAGGCTGAATTATAAGTCTCACATGGACAAACTTTTTTAAGTGTAAAGACTATGCCATACAGTTTTTATTTTTTTTTTTTGTTCAGAGTCAGTGCATAGTACATGTAGCTACATTCAGATTTTTTTGTATCAAATATAGAAAACATGATTGGCAATCATGTGAGTCAAAAATTTACTCTTTATTACCAATTAAACCTAGCCTTGCTTCCATGACAAAATCGTTGCTGCTACAACTTGCTATAAATGCAAATTTCATATATACTGAAAAAAAAAGGAATGCACCACCTCCATTAGTTTCTCTGAAGTAAAAATTTCTTTTGCATTTAACTTTTTTAAAAATGATTGAAGTGAGTCAAAATTTTGATACAATGTGTCTGAGTCATAAACATCAAATTCTGTGAAAAATGAGAATTTCTTAATTTAATTTTTATATCTCAAAAAACACATTTTTACCCAAAAAAAAACAAAAAATGCTGCCAAATTTGTGTAAGCTGAAAGTGTGTGTACCTTTTACCCTGAAAACAAGGAAAAGATTTTGGTTTTCAGTTTCTTTATCGAATTCTTGTCTATTGACCAATTTGAAATCGACTTATCTTAGACTTTTAATTTTTATACGACCGCAAAAATTGAAAATTTTTTGGTCGTATATTGGTATGACGTTGGCGTCGTCGTCGTCGTCTCCGTCGTCGTCGTCGTCGTCGTCGTCCGGCGTCGTCTGGCGTCGTCCGAAGACACATTGGTTTTCGCACTCTAACTTTAGTTTAAGTGAATGGATCTCCATGAAATTTTACCATAAGGTTCAATACCATGAAAGGAAGGTTGGGATTGATTTTGGGGGTTATGGTACCAACAGTTAAGGAATTAGGGGCCAAAAAGGGGCCAAAAATAAGCATTTTTGTAACTTCCAGACAATAACTTGTGTGTATGTGTATGGATCTCTCTGACATTGTACCACAAGGTTCCATATCACAAAGGGAAGGCTGTAATTGATTTTGGGGGTAATTGCCTCAAAATTTTAGGAATTAGGGGCCAAAAAAGGGGCAAAAAACAAGCATTTTTCTAGTTTCATGACAATAACTTGTGTGTAAGTGCTTGGATATTTCTGAAATTGTACTACAAGGTTCCATATCACAAAGGGAAAGCTGGAATTGAGTTTGGGGGTAATTGCCCGAAACGTTTAGGAATTGGGGGCCAAAAAGGGGCCAAAAATAAGCATTTTTCTAGTTTCCAGACAATAACTTGTGTTCAAGTGTATGGATCTCTCTGAAATTGTACTGCAAGGTACCATACCACAAAGGGAAGGCTGAGATTGAGTTTGGGGTGATGAATCATAAGGGGGTTCAAAAAATTTTGGGGGGGGATTTCTTTTTTTCTTTTTTTCCTTTTTTTTTTTCTTTTAAAATTTTCCATTTTAAGTTGGTTATTTCTGATTTATATTTAAAAGCAAATAATAATGATATGGTAGGAGATACACACCAAACAGGATGTGTAAATTATTATATTATAAGTATTGTGCAATAGCAAGAAATTTTCAATTGCACAGTATTGCACAATAGCAAGAAATCTTCAATTGCACAGTATTGCGCAATAGCAAGAAATCTTCAATTGCACAGTATTGCGCAATAGCAAGAAATATCCAATAGCACAATATTGCGCAATAGCAAGAAATTGTCAATTGTACAGTATTGCGCAATAGCAAGAAATAATCAATTGCACAGTATTGTGCAAAAGAAGATACTTCCTATAAATTGCTTATTTCTTGATCAATTTCAATAGGGTTTTATTCTTGAATTCTTGGGGTTCTTTAATATGCTGAATCAAACCGTGTATTAAGTTTTTGGATTTTGGGCCCCGTTTTTAAATTGGTCCACATTGAGGTCCAAAGGGTCCAAAATTTTACTTTGTTTGATTTCATCAAAAATTGAATTATTGGGGTTCTTTGATATGCCGAATCTAACCGTGTATTTAGATTCTTAATTTTTGGTTCTGTTTTCAAATTGGTCTACATAAAGGTCCAAAGGGTCCAAAATTAAACTTAGTTTGATTTCAACAAAAATTGAATATATGGGGTTCTTTGATATGCTGAATCTAACCATGTATTTAGATTTTTGATTATGGGCCCAGTTTTCGAGTTGGTCCAAATCGGGGTCCAAAATTAAACTTTGTTTGATTTCAACAAAAATTGAATATATGGGGTTCTTTGATATGCTGAATCTAACCATGTATTTAGATTTTTGATTATGGGCCCAGTTTTCCAGTTGGTCCAAATCGGGGTCCAAAATTAAACTTTGTTTGATTTCAACAAAAATTGAATATATGGGGTTCTTTGATATGCTGAATCTAACCATGTATTTAGATTTTTGATTGTTGGGCCCCGTTATCAACTTTGTCCACATTGAGATCAAAAGGGTCCAAAATTAAACTTTGTTTGATTTCATCAAAAATTGAATATATGGGGTTCTTTGATATGCTGAATCTAACCATGTATTTAGATTTTTGATTATGGGCCCAGTTTTCAAGTTGGTCCAAATCGGGGTCCAAAATTAAACTTTGTTTGATTTCAACAAAAATTGAATATATGGGGTTCTTTGATATGCTGAATCTAACCATGTATTTAGATTTTTGATTATGGGCCCAGTTTTCAAGTTGGTCCAAATCGGGGTCCAAAATTAAACTTTGTTTGATTTCAACAAAAATTGAATATATGGGGTTCTGTAATATGCTGAATCTAACCGTGTATTAAGTTTTTGGATTTTGGGCCCCGTTTTTAAATTGGTCCACATTGAAGTCCAAAGGGTCCAAAATTTAACTTTGTTTGATTTCATCAAAAATTGAATTATTGGGGTTCTTTGATATGCCGAATCTAACCGTGTATTTAGATTCTTAATTTTTGGTTCTGTTTTCAAATTAGTCTTCATAAAGGTCCAAAGGGTCCAAAATTAAACTTAGTTTGATTTTAACAAAAATTGAATTTTTAGGGTTCTTTGATATGCTGAATCTAAACATGTATTTAGATTTTTGATTATGGGCCCAGTTTTCAAGTTGGTCCAAATCGGGGTCCAAAATTAAACTTTGTTTGATTTCAACAAAAATTGAATATATGGGGTTCTTTGATATGCTGAATCTAACCATGTATTTAGATTTTTGATTTTTGGGCCCTGTTATCATTTTTGTCCACATTGAGATCAAAAGGGTCCAAAATTAAACTTTGTTTGATTTCATCAAAAATTGAATTCTTGGGGTTCTTTGATATGCTGAATCTAACCATGTATTTAGATTTTGGATATTGGACCATAATAGGTGAATGTCCAATTTAAAATTTTTAAGTTCTTAGACCACATTCATTCTGTGTCAGAAACCTATGCTGTGTCAAATATTTAATCACAATCCAAATTCAGAGCTGTATCAAGCTTGAATGTTGTGTCCATACTTGCCCCAACTGTTCAGGGTTCGACCTCTGCGGTCGTATCAAGCTGCGCCCTGCGGAGCATTTTATTGACTTTTGAGATTAAAATCTGCATTGTTGCCATTAAAATGAAAATTTGTCTATAAACTCTGTAGTAATGTGAAGATTATGCTTAAAATATAACATACTTCTACAAATTTGTAGCAAAAACAAGAAATTGTGAAACTAATATATGTGGTAAGATGTGGTGCATTAATTGTGTTGTTAAGTATACATTTTCACAAAGTTTGACATTGCTGATTTCATAGCAACTTTTCACAACAGTATAGAGAAAAATTTATCTTTATATGTCTGCTAACTGAAATGTAATGAATGTACAAGAATTGAATGCATCTGTCCTGAATATAACTTTCCTTTGTTGGAATCATGATTCACATAATCATGATAATCATATTACACAATGCAAAGGTATGTATGGCTTTGATGTTAAGTTGTTTTTCAAAGTCAAAGGTACCAAAAAACTGGGCATATATTTTTAGTTTTGCATAGCAATATATCCTGCTTATTGCTTGCTTTCTTCCTGGTGGCAGTTAGCTCAATTGTTATCCATTTCAAATTTGCTTGCAGAATACATTTTAGATTTAAAAGTGTTAATATAATGCAGTTAAAATTGGAATATAAGTTAAAGGATGATATTTAATCCACATTTGTTTATTGCTATCATTTATCTGGTTTTAACATAAAATAAAAATGGTTTAAGTTAAAGGACATCAAAAAGCTGTGTTTGTATCTTTCCAGGTCTTTGAACAGCGACCCAGATTTTTTGCCAGGAAATTTGAACCAGCTGTAAATCAGGACATAATCAACAGTTTAGACCTGTACTTGTTTAAAGACAGGCCTCAAGATATGAAATCCTATACAAAGTACTGGCAGAATGAATTCCATCTCAAAGATAATGCAAACAACAGGACAGACACATTTCTTAGTTTTTATGGCTCATTTCAAAGGAGGAGTTTAGAAAACCTGAAACATTCATCCTGTCACCTGAAACCAGTTCAGATATTAGAATCCAATGCTTACTTTGCAGAAGATCATTATAATGGTGCTTTAGTGTTATATGAAGCTGAGCATCAGCAATCTGGGAAGAAAGTTATATTAGAATCTCATTTTACAAGAAGACGCCATTATATCATTAGTGATCCACAGGGACCAGCTGGAAGACTACTTAGCTTAGAGGTAATATTTTTTTCTTCTTCTGAAAACAAGTATAGACAACTATTTTTCTATATCAAATATGATAACTACCATAACATATATTTTCTCTATTAAAGAAGATGATTATTGTATAAACATTTTAACACCTGTGAATTTCCCAGATGAAAAATTTTAGTTCAATCTTTTAGACAAGTAGCATGTTGAATTTTGATTTTTATAATGCAAGAAAACAAACTCTTATCAGCACTGTAACAATAAGATCAAGGTTGGGAAAATATTGGTAAAGGGAGATAAGTCACAGAAGAATTCTTGAAAATTTGGTGAGAATTTCATTGAATCTGTCAAACTTTCATCTGCTCTCAGATGACAGATACAGGTTATCTTAAAAGTCAAAAAAGCAGAAGAATAATTGAATGTACAATTTTTCACTCTTAATTGGAATTTTATTTCTTAAAAAATTATCTTTTCAGACTTAATAAAAAAAAAATATATCAGTATGCATAAACAGATAAATAAATGATTTCATATTAATAGACATCCTGTCCTATATATATCTTTATTCTCATCACCAAATGCATAGGTACAGAGACGACATGCATGTAATACAATACATTAGATACATAAACATAAATATACAATATATACAACAATAACAAAGACAAAAAGATATTATTCAGGAGGACACACTCGCTTGTTTAAAATTCGTATAAACTTACATTAATTTATGAGATCCGTCCTATTTGTAGACGACATAATTTCAGTAAATAATATAATATTTGGCCTTATACTAAAATTTCGATTTATAAATTTATTTCTCTCTTCTCTAAAATGTGAACAATTAATAATGTAATGGAATTCATCTCCAATATCTAGCTTACATAAATTACACTTTCTTTTTTCCCTTTCTATATTGTTTATATAAAGTTTCATTTTTCAAATGTTTATACAATGTATTAATAAGATAAGAGATTCAGTGATTTATCATACACGTGGCATAACTACCTTTTATTCTGTTTACAGATAGGCACTGAATACGATTTGAAAGAAAATATATTTAGAAATTTTGGACAACTGATAGGTCCTTATAGTGATATGACATTAGAACACAGCTGGACTAGTGGTTCAGACTTCACAATATCTGTAGCCTGGATAGACCCAACGGAGCTTGTAGCAGCATCATATGACATTGAAATTCCAGCGACCAATCATATAGGTTCTCATAAACCTGAATTGAAAGTTCCACTCAGACCCGGTGTATGGAAAGTTAAATTAATGCATAAATGGCAGATAGTTGCAGAGACGTCATTTTTAGTAGTGCCATTAACTACATTCCAACATAGGCCAGTAACATTTCAACAAGTTCTTTCATTTCATAATGGACCAGGTAGTCTGTATATCGAAAAAGATTTTAAAGATTTTGACAAAGTACTACACATAAATAGGACTGTAGAGTTACAAAATGATGCAGATACAAATGGCAGGAAAACAGGTGATCAGCTAGACCATTGGGTTGACCGTTTAACCAAAGCATTCTGGGAATATCAAAATATCTGTATATCTGGTAAAATTTCTATAGGTTGTTTAGAGTTAAATATTTGTGAGAGGACTTTGTGGAGTTCAAGATCAGAAGATCCTAAATCAGAGCTTCATGGAATAGATAATAAATCTGGTCGTTTAAGATAGCATTAATCAAAATTAGTCTTTTTATCTATGCATTATTATAATTAATTTGTTATGGACCAAATTTAGCATGAAATACTGAAATTGCCATTACTTTGCATCTGTCATTTGGGTTATGTAAACTGTTATGTTTAGTTGTCTCTCTTTTGCATAATAGGTTCCTTAATCTTGATGTATAAAAACATATTGGGGTTACATATAAGCAACAATGTGATAAAAAAACAGGTACAGCCAGAGAGTCAGAAGTTGCTGTACCTTTATTTTGATGTATGACCAAATAACAAAAAATACACTGGAGCTTTTAGTCCTCTGAAATAACTATTAAGCCTATTTAAACCTGAGTCAAAAGAGGTGGGACTGATTTCATAATTAAATCCTGTGCTGGCTTGTGGAGATCATAATTTAATGCACATAGGGTCAGTTTATGAAAGAGATCGATACAGGCTTCTGAGAGCCTTCTGTTATTAAATTTCAATGATTTAGACAATGAATTCATACATGTGCCAATAATTGCAATTGCTTGACCAAGTTGTAACTAGTATAAGTGATATCTGTTGTTAAAACTATTTATTAATAGCTACTGTGTTATGTTTTATTTGAAATAATTGTTTTACTTAATTTTATTTGTCATTAAAATATGTCAATTAAGTCTCTGATATTTTATATGATCTAATGTACATGCTTTAGTGATTGTTACGGTCTTAGATTGCAAGTATACATGTAAGACAGTTTGTACTGTGTTATATTCAAGCTTAAGTTAAATCCTAGTTGATGTATTTTTCCTGTAAATATGTAAGACTCTAAAGTACCATTGTACTCTACAGTGCATGCTAAAGTGCTATGTTGTCAAACTTTAAAGCAATAGTTGGGTTTTTTGAAGGCGATTATATGACACGCTAAAGTGCGATGGTATGACACACTAAAGTGCAATGGTATGACACACTAAAGTGCAATGGTATGACAGGCTAAAGTGTGATTGTATAACATGCTAAAGTGCTAATTAAAGGGAATGGGGTTCAGGCAATGGTTTTCGTTTGTTACTGTGTTCCTATTAGTTTTTCGTTTATTGTTTTGTTTATAATTCAAGCCGTTGTCTTTCTATTGTGAATTGTTTTATAATGGTCATTGTTTGGCGTTATATAGCTTGGCTTGTAGTATGGGCCAAGGCTAAATGTTGAAGACCGTACGTTTATTAGTTGCATACATCAATAACATTTGGTCTTGGGTGGATAGTTGTCTCATTATCAATCATACCACATTTTCTCATTTTTTTTTAAAGTACGATAGTTGTCAGAAAAGTGTAATGGTTACATTGCAAAAGCTAGTATATACTTTATGAACCTATCAAACCATGAACCTGTAATTCATTGTATGTCGTTCAATGCTGTATTTCGTTTACTGTTTTGTATATAAATCAGGTCGTTATTTACCTCATTTGAATTGCTTTACTCTGGTCATTTTAGGACCCTTTGGTCTTTATAGAATCCTGTAGATTCATTTATTTTCGTGGGTATCAATTTTCGTGGTTTGAGGAAAACTTACATATTCATGGATATTTGATTTCGTAGTTTTGGCAAAGTCTGCACTCATTCCTATAGAAAATTTGCAATTCGTTGAACATTTAAATTCGTGGTTCTCCTGTACCCACGAAATCCATGAAAATTGGTATCCAACGAATATTAATGAATCCACAGTACTATGCAGTGTTAGCCAATGTTTGGCATTAAAGACCATGCAGTAATCTATAGTGGCTTACATTTATGACATTTGGTCTTGGATGGAGATTCGTCTCATTTGCAATCATATTATATACTACACCTCTGGTCATAAGGTTACTGTCTAGTTGACGTTTATTATTTGCCTTTTTAGCTCACCGGGGCCCAAAGGGCCCCATGTGAGCTTATGCCATCACTTGGCGTCCGTCGTCGTACGTCGTCTATTGTCATCTGTTGTCGTCTGTCGTCGTAAACTGTTTCAAAAATCTTCTCCTCTGAAACTACTGGGCCAAATACCTTCAAACTTCAACTAAATGTTCCTTAGGGTATCTAGTTTATAAATTGTATCCCAAGTTTGTATCCATCGACAAACATGGCCGCCATGGCTAAAAATAGAACATAAGGGTCAAATGCAGTTTTTGGCTTATATCTCAAAAACGAAATCTTTTAGAGCAAATGTGACAGGGGTAAAATTGTTTAATTGGTCAAGATCTATCGGCCCTGAAATTTTCAGACAAATCTAACAACCCATTGTTGGGTTGCTGCCACCGAATTGGTAGTTTTAACAAAATTTTGCAGTTTTTTGTTATTATTTTGAATATTATTATAGATATATATAAACTGTAAGTAGCAATAATGTTCAGCAAAGTAAGATCTACAAAAAAGTTAATATGACCAAAATTGTCAATTGACCCCTTAAGGAGTTATTGCCCTTTAAAGACAATTTTACACAATTTGTTCATCAAGTTTGCTAACATTTAAAAATCTTCTCCTCTGAAATACAGGTGAGCGATTCAGGCTCTTGAGAGCCTCTTGTTTACTTTCTTTTACGGTATACTTTGGCGAACAAATGCACTTTTACAGAAAAACACACTTTAGCATATTGAGGCATCAGACTTTAGTGTGTTCCATTGAATAGGGTAGACCATCACACTTTAGCGTGACCATTGTGTTTAAGAGTCCCCATCGCACTTTAGAGTCCTACAAATATAAGAGAGTTACAAACATTGTCAAGTGAAAAAAAGACTAGTTACTTTTCACTTTTAAAGTACTTCCAAGCTGCAAGAAAAATGTATGTCTTGTATAGCTTAAATCCTATCATTCATATATACATAAGATGCTTTGATATAATTTTTATGTTAAGTTCAACATTATTTCATAATTATATCTGAGACAGAAAAACAACGAACAAGTTGTAATTTATTGAAAATCTAATTAAAGTTTGTGAATCATGACACATGTGAATAAAGGTATATGAACATTTGCCATGAAATTGTTTCTCTCACAGGGTTAAAGTTATTAAGTATATGAAACCCAGTGGAATTTTAATATAAATAGTACAATGGATTAATTTATATTCTTAAAACAATATCAACAGTTTTATATAGATCACTAATATCAAAATGTTATTCAGTGCTGTATATATTTTTCTGTTAAAGAACATTTTTACCAGCATATGTTTTTTTTCTTCAAATCATGCATTTTTGGGGTAAAATTTTACATTAAAAGACATGGGAAACCAAAAGACAATCTCACTTTAGCATATAAATCATTTTCATTCTGATGAGTTATTGGTATGAATATTTTTACAGCTCTGCTTTTAGAATAATCAATATGTATATCCTGGTCATCATATTATTCTACTGTGTTCATTTCATTTATTATTTACTTTTTATGGTGCTCTTAATACATGGTAGCATTTGTTTTTAATATGTATGGTTATATTCTTATTACCGGTACAAGATAGATCTTATTTCAGTTATTATATACATGCTTTCAAAAGTATTGTTTATGTTCTACAGAAGATATTTACATGTTACTACCGTTTATATATCATCTTGCAGTCATTGATGTCTTTATTTTTTTAAACTGATGTACTGTTTGTTGTCTGAGAAGAATATCAAAAAGTGAAACATAGATATTAATAGAACAGTGACAGCCTTGTCAATACCTCATATTTAAAAGAGCTCAATTCTCTGTCCTCTAACTCGTGTTTTAGTGACTCTGGAATTTTTACATTGTTAATTTGTTAGGTATTGTGAAAAGATGTGTTTATATAGAAGGTGCTTAACGTTTTCCTTCATTTCAATTTCAAGCAGCTTCAGTCACCAATAAAGATTATTCCTTTGTTAAAACATTTAGGATTGCGACCCAGGTTCATGTCACAATAACACAATGACGAGATGTATAAGTACCGAGCCACGTCAAATGGATATCACCAAAAATAGACTAAACAGTAAAAGTAATATTCAAAAAGACAATTAAAAAAATACTATAACACGTTATTAAGATGATACACAGTATCTATACTTCAAGACCATCGTGTATTATTTGTGAAGTTGATACGGAATATTTATCAACAAGGTCTTTGTACCTTCCTATGAACTTTTTTAGAAAAAGGACGAGACGTTCTTTGACATACCCCTGGTTCATCAACTTTCTGCTCAGACACTGGTGACGTTTTACAAAGTCTGAGTAGCAGCTGCAAGCTCTTGAATACCGAATAAGTTGGGAAATGTATATCCCATATGCAGGTGAAATTGGTATATTGCTACTAAGGTGGGAGGAATTGATAATTTCAAAATTAGAATCGTCTCGTTTGTCATAGATTCTGGTACTGAGATGACCGTGTATGTCAAATTTGAGGTATAAGTCTAAAAATGAGGTGGAGGAAGTAAAAAAGTAAGCATTTTCCTTTAAATCTTTCAATTTTGCTGAATAAACTTTGTGATAAAGGTTATTATGTACTATTGTTGTTCAATCATTTTGTTTAGAATATTTGGGAGATGTTTTAGTTTAAAGTTATGAAGAAAAATCTTGATAGACAATTCATAATTGGAATTGTATCATATAAGCATCTCTGAACTAAACCTTAGTTTATTACTCCATATCAATGTATGAAAGTTTTTAATAGAAGTGATGAATGCAAACTATTTTTTTAACTGTTATTTAAATCACCTTAATACTTGCAAACTTTGGTGTTATGAAGTTACTGAAATTGTCATGTCCTCTAAAATGAAAATTAGCTGTCTTTAATGGTCCATGACATTATGTGAAAGTTCCATAAGATTTAATAAATCTGTACTTCAATTAACATCCTGAAATCAAGAGTTGAAATAAAGGTGTAATAAAGTAATTCAAATATATACCTTGATGCAACAAATGATGACAGTCTCTGGAATCATAATGTTTATAATCTTAGTAACACTCATTGCAAGCACCATATAATTGAAACCATTTGTTCATACAAAAGTCACCCTTCTTAAAATTGACACCATAAGCCAATAAAAGTGGAATTAACATGAATTGTGCAATGAATACTACAAAAAGAAGTCAGTTGTTGTTGTGATAGAAACTTGTTTTGATGAGAGTCTTATACTTTAAATATTTATATGTGTTTTGACTATTAAGCTTCTACGTGTAATTATGTATGCATATTTTATTTGAAATTTGTATTTAAATGCAATTTTTGGTCCCTTACAAAGTCGCAGATGTAAGACTTAGCATGCTGTTTCGGGCAGGGAATGCATCAACAATTTGTTAAAGTTTGTGATTATTTCCGTTTAATGGGTCACTTATGGTGAATCAATGCTATTTGGTATGGACGTATAAGCAATAGAACATCTCATTTTCATGGAGATTTTTAGCCCCATCCCCTAAGTCATGGTTTTCTCTACTGGCTTTAAAATATTAGTATACCGGTAGTTTACATTTAAAGTTTGTGATTAGGTCATTTTATGGGAGACACTAATGGTAAGTCAATGATATTTGATATTCAGTTGTATAAACATTGGCATATTTCATTTCCATGAAGATTATGTGACCTTGCCCCTACAGTCATCATTCATTGACTTTTGCATAGTTTACCAGTTAAAATGTTGTTACTTTAATTTCTACATTTGCATTATACTATCAAATTACATACAGGCAAGACATATCTCTGTATCAACAGTTTTGAAAACATAATCACTACCTTCATTGAGGCTGAAATTGTTTTAGAGGGATAAGTTATCATAAATTGTCATTCTTTTCGGACACAAAAAAAATCTTCTATTTACACTACCATCAGACATGGTATTTTTTTTCAAAGACCAGTGGCAAACATTGGAGGCGAAGAAAATAATTCCATGATTTCATTTTTTACACTTAAAGAGCTGAACTAGAAAATGTTGATAGAATAATGAATAGCAGGTATTGAAATATATAAATCACTTAGAATTAGATTAAAAATTGTTTATAGTAATTCACTAAACAATGGCTGTGATTCTATCATTAGATATTAGTTTTTAGATTTGATTGTAATTTAACTCCAATGCAACTTAATTTGTTGCATTACTTAATCTTTTGATAGTATATTAGTTTTTTGAATGGTCTATTTACTATTAACGTATACACAAATATTTTGAATTGTTATATATATTGTTGTTCTTCCATGATGTTGTAAAATTCTACTTATGACAAACTTGTTTACTACTACGGCAAATATTTAATGGTTAGGTTCACTTTTAATTTTGTCATTTACTATTTTTTATTGATCTGTTTGTCTTTGTGCATTCAATTAAATGCTAATTTTGGTTTAATTTTTTTGTTAAAAGGCTGTGACAAACTAGGAAGTTAAAAAAAGTCAGTCAGATGTATTTTTTTCAAATTGTAAAAATTGGTACTGATCTAGTTTAGATAATCTCAAATATGTTACTAATGTTAAACTTATCTAGAATAAATCTTTTTACCAATTGTTTCACATATACTTCCATAATATGTAACATAGATGTTGTCATTGTTTGACTTACATACCATACTATGTAACATAGATGTTGTCATTGTTTGACTTACATACCATACTACGTAACATAGATGTTGTCATTGTTTGACTTACATACCATACTACGTAACATAGATGTTGTCATTGTTTGACTTACATACCATACTACGTAACATAGATGTTGTCATTGTTTGACTTACATACCATACTACGTAACATAGATGTTGTCATTGTTTGACTTACATACCATACTACGTAACATAGATGTTGTCATTGTTTGACTTACATACCATACTACGTAACATAGATGTTGTCATTGTTTGACTTACATACCATACTACGTAACATAGATGTTGTCATTGTTTGACTTACATACTATACAGAGATGCTGAACACTCAGATTAGAATTCTAGTACTTTACACCTACTTCTTCTACTGAAGTGAAAGGTCATAAATGAACAAGCTTCAACAAGGCTTATCACCACACAGTACCTACTATTCACTGGCTTCCTACACAAGAAACCTTACACATTTTGTTCTATATGATCCAATATCTATATCCAGTAAATGCTGATGAACACACTTCAACAATGATTCAACTGAACACCAAAATATCCCCACTATGCATTGGCTTCCAAAATTACATAAGAAACTTTATAAATTTAGTTTTATATCTGCATAAAGTGAAAATTTTCAACTGCATTTTTTCTGTTCTTCTGAGTAGTTCCCTTTCAACTCTTAGCTACATTCCTATGAGTTCTAGGTTGTCATCATTGACTTGTATGTTTCCGTTATTACGTATCAGTATCTACAACATAATCTTATCAAAGAGAAATTGTTAAATCTGATAAAAATGAAATAGTCTTGATAAATCTAGTTGCAACTTTATCATACTGTAGTTGTTATCATTCCTTTTGGACATAAAACAAAATTTGTATGAGCCATCATCTTTTTGCAAGCAAATATCATCACCACTCTAGGAGTGGAGGCTGTATTACAATCTCCCTCTCTCTTCAATCATCTAACAAATATTGTCACCTTTCTAGGAGTGGGGGCTGTATTACTCTCCTTGTCTCTACAATCATCCAACAAATATTATCACCACTCTAGGAGTGGGGGCTGTATTTCAATCTCCTTGTCTCTACAATCATCCAACAAATATTATCACCACTCTAGGAGTGGGGGCTGTATTACTCTCCTTGTCTCTACAATCATCCAACAAATATTATCACCTTTCTAGGAGTGGGGGCTGTATTACAATCTCCTTCTCTCTACAATCGTCCAACAAATATCACCTTTCTAGGAGTGGGGGCTGTATTACACTCTCCTTGTCTCTACAATCATCCAACAAATATTATCACCACTCTAGGAACGGGGGCTGTATTACACTCTCCTTGTCTCTACAATCATCCAACAAATATTATCACCACTCTATGAGTGGAGGCTGTATTACACTCTCCTTGTCTCTACAATCGTCCAACAAATATTATCACCTTTCTTGGAGTGGAGGCTTTATTACAATCTCCTCTCTACAATCATCCAACAAATATTATCACCACTCTATGAGTGGGGGCTGTATTACAATCTCCTTGTCTCTACAATCATCCAACAAATATTGTCACCACTCTATGAGTGATGCCGGTATTACAATCTCCTTGTCTCTACAATCATCCAACAAATATTGTCACCACTCTAGGAGTGGGGCTGTATTTCAATCTCCTTGTCTCTACAATCATCCAACAAATATTGTCACCACTCTAGGATTGGAGGCTGTATTACTCTCCTTGTCTCTACAATCATCCAACAAATATTGTCACCACTTTATGAGTGGGGGCTGTATTACAATCTCCTTGTCTCTACAATCATCAACAAATATTGTCACCACTCTAGGAGTGTGGGGGCTGTATTTCAATCTCCTTGTCTCTACAATCATCCAACAAATATTATCACCACTGTAGGAGTGGAGGCTGTATTACAATCTCCTTGTCTCTACAATCATCCAACAAATATTATCACCACTCTAGAAGGTAAGGCTGTATTACAATCTCCTTGTCTTTACAATCATCCAACAAATATTTCCGTCACACTTTTCTCAAGAACTGTTTAACAGAATGACGTCATATTTAGTCAACAGCCTGACTTGTGCAGATTTTTCAAATCAGTCAAGCACCTGGTCGAGCATCACTGAAGAGACATTGATTGTCGAAATGCGCATCTGGTCCAGAAAAAATTGGTAACTACCACTGGGTCGATGCCCCGAGGGTATCATCAGCCCAGTAGCCAGTACTTCGGTACTGGCATGACAATACGGATTTTGTGTTTATTAAAATTTGCTGTTACAAAATTTTGGAAATTATTTTAAATTAAGGAATATATCTCCCTTATGCAAAGCTCTGATTCTTTGCCCGGCTTTGGCTATACTTTTTGTCCTTTTTGGTTTATAGCTCTTCAACTTTTTAATAACCTTTGGATTTTGAAATATGTTGGCCTCGAGCATGATTGAAGAGACATTGATTGTCGTAATGCGCATCCGGTGCAGAAAAATTGGTACCGTTTATGTTGTTACTACTTCCTATATGCCAATGTGTTGAATGAAAAGAAAAATATTTTCGTCTCACTTTTATCAGGAACTACCAGATAGAATGGGTTTATCTTTGGTCAGCTGTTTGACAGTGTGTGAGAGCTTTCTGGATTGTCAGATACCTACTTTCTGTTTACCCATATTTTAGATGAGTGAGGGTATGATTAGCATGACAAGTGTGCAACTTCTTTCTTTATGTTCATTCTGAAAGTAAAATATTCTCTAAATACTCCGAAGAATTTCTAAATATACCGATGCAATTTATCTACCTATACTTAATTTTACTTAAGTCAATAGTAAAAGTGATCATCACCCTTTTTAGAAGATGATGTGTAAGAATTTCTAATGATAGTATTATTAGTGTTTGAGAATAAACTTTGGTCATCACTCTGTCTGCATATGAACTGGAAATGGTATGTCTGGTATGTGTCCCAGCTATAATGGATTGATTGATTTTTTTTTTATTATAGTTCAATTTCAAATATTTCATACATCTTCAGGACGAGAACAAATTAACAATAAATACAATAGGTAGGTCTTGTAATAGAGCGGGGCGTCCGGGATGAAGCTCGGGGAAATTTGAACTGCCACTGGAAAATAGTTGTATATTGGGATATGGTCAGAAATTTGGCCTTGCAACAGGCCACCTACGGGCCCCTCAAAGAGTTGTTGCAAAGGTTCTTAACGTGCAGAGAGCGTGGCACTCTCTCTACACGAGGCATCGGATTTAACGTCCCCATCCTTACCAGACGTGGTTGTGTACTTGCACATCCTGCACAGCCAACCCGACGCCCTACTTTGACAAAGGTTTTACTGTTGGTAGGGAGAATACCAAAATGACCATATTTCTATTGCCCAGTCACCCTTGGGGTGTCCCAGCTATGAACAAGGACGTGTAAGTAGAAACGTATTTGATATGACCTAGGAAAGTTTAGAAAGTCTCCTCGTATAACAAATTAGCACAAACATCCTATATGTTTCATAAATACAGTTTTACAAAATCGATTATATATTGCCTATTAACCTTCCTTCATTCATCCATGCACGTCATTTTGGACTCTCAGGTGAGTGGTGGTCTCGTGGAAATAATACCTCATCTCCTTATTTTTATATGCGTCGTGTTGAATATGGTTACCGATTGGAATTCCTGTTCCTTTATAGATATATGATGTAGAATACCAAGGATGTTTATTATACAAATGCGTTAGAATACTCAGAGCAGATTTCATTTACATGAAATTTATTTGAAAATTGATCGCATTTCGTATTAACTCAAATAGACGTGAACACGTGAAGCATACAACATTAGTGTGTACTTAATTGTAATGAATTATGTTGTAATTCTATGTATTTTCCATAAATCCCGACCATATGTCGCAGAAATTACTTTATTATTTCACAACTTAATACACAAAATTTTCCCTTACTTTTGTGAGTATGAAACTTGTAGATAAAGTAGTGTTATTTGTGTTTGGGGCAGTTCTCGTTGCATACATTGTATACGTTTATGATAAGAAAGCCAAACTTGGAAGTAAGCAGTCGCTGAGAGTCCCGTTACTTAAAGACAAACTAATATGGAAACCACAGGATGTAGTGTTGAAAAAAGCTGTCGATGCTCTCAAAGCCCAAAGTCCGAAAAAGCCAAATATTTCTAAGGCTCTGGTTCTGAGGAAGCCTGCTCCGCAATCCTTTTTGTCTGATAAGATATTACAAGATGGATTGAAGATCAGCTTTATAAGAAATAAATTACAAGTGAATATTGTAGAAGAAAATGAAAAAGGTATGGTATTTCAAACTAACAGGAGCTTTTTGTCATAATAAATTTTCTTCGATTATAATTACATGTACCTGTATTTTATATTACCAATGTTGGGGGTTGTTGCCAATTCATTGTTCGTTTCTGTTATATTTTTCACAATTTGGATTGACTCACCAATTTTTTCAGAGTGCCAAAATTACTCCATATTTTCTATATTCGTGTACTTATAGTTATACTGAAAAGAATCGATATCAGTGTAATAAGTATTGTTCGGTACGTTTCACTTGGGTCAAATAATTATGTTACGTTTTATTGATAACCAGTGTAGAATATTCTGGGAGATTAACCATCTTGACTCGAATCCCTGCAATTGTTAGGTCCATATTTTTAATGAAGTAAGCAAATTTTAGGGCTGGATTTCAATTTATTTCTTAGACTTTTCATTCAAGTGAAGAAAATTATATATGTAATTTATCTTACAAATACAGACCACAGGTATTTGGGGAATGGACCCCCTTTTTGGGCCCCAACTTAAAAAAAAATCTTTTTATTTTTCCATATTTACAATTTTCTCAAAAATCCATAACTAGTCGATTACAATACCTTTTCTACTATCCACACGCAAGTGAAAAAAAAGAAGCACACAGGGTTCGTGTGGATAGCAGAAAGGGTATGTAATCGACTAGTTATGGATTTTTGAGAAAATTGCAAAATTAATATGGAAAAATAAATGGTTTTTTTTTTAATTTGGGGCCCAAAAAGGGGGGTCCATGCCCCAAATACCTATGATACAGACAATAGTTTAATTTATTCAAACTTTATGAACTTGCTTTATACTGATGATCGGAGATAACTCATTTGATGTTACTATATTAAGAAATGTGCAGTAAATTTTTCTATTCAAGTTGTTATATTGCAAGAAAAAAGAAGAAATGTATAGGGACCCTTTATTTCTTTTTACTTTGAAAGCATTAATCAACATTACAAGAACTTTCTTCTCATGTTTTGCTTCAAAATTCAGAAAGTTTTATCTTTATTCGCATAAAAGTTCCTTTTCCCTGTATAAACCTTACAAAATGTGTCATATTTTAATAACAGATAGCTTGCAAACTAGGTAGGTGACATATATTTTTTATCATATTTTTGAGGAAAAAAAAACGATTTCAACAACATTTTTTGTCAATTTTATACGACTAAATTACTAATCAATTGTATGGTCATTTTGAAATACTATGGGTAAGAATTTTAAATTGGGGTTTTGATTTTTTTCAGCACTGGTTTACTGGCTATCAATGGCTAAGTATAAGATGATACAGACAACCGGAAATACCCTGGTTAGTAATGTTTTGTATAACAGTAAAACTTTAAGACACATTGAGATAGTGATGGTTCACTTATTGGAATACAGAAGTTTGAAAAAAATGAATGGCAATTGATTAAATGTCATGTAAGCACAAAACGGGATATGCAGTTAATCCTTGTGAAACGAAGTTTTGTGTTTTAAGAACGAAGAAAACAGTAACTTGCTTAAAAGGAGATGAATTATAGAAAACGATACTCAACACAACTAAGAAAAGTTTTCATTCACCAAAACAAGTTTCTTTTCAGTTGCAATAAACACACGTTTGAATTGACAACAAACGTTGACATGTTTCGTAAGGTTCCTATGAGTATTTGTCTTTCTTATATTTAAAATCCATTGCTGTTTAGATTGTCTGCTAATTTTATGTTACAGATATTATTCAGCAACCAATTAGATATGTCTGTTCCTCCTTATTTTCAACGTTTTCCCTTCCATAGAGTACCACAGAACGACAAGGAAATGCTTTATGTATTGCAGAGTGGAGGAACATTTCTCATGGTAAGTACCACCTAGGCTGTTTGTCTCGTATTTATGAAGGAAACCGCCTACGATTGTATGAATCCCCTTTTTATCCCTCAAATAGAATCCCACTGTTTTTAGTAAAGTCGGATGAATACTATTACGGTTATGAGAAAGTAAATAAAAACATGTGCAGTTCTTGGTGTAGATTTGGCACTTATATACACTCAAATTCTATTTCTTTAGCTCAAAATAATTGATGCGAATTGTTTTACCGATTTATTTTTCAGAAAGCTATTTTAACTGGAATTATCAAAAGAATAATTTGGATACGACCCTCGTGGGTTAAAACATCGTCCTCGGCAGAATATACAAAACAAATGATGGGAATCGGAATGGTCAAAACGAAAACTAGGATAAGTTACTGTACTTGTCAATCAAATAAATGCATAATTCAAGGATCTAAAAAGGCCACCACACAATGCCACCTGAAAATAAATGTGCTTGTTGAAAATTTGAAGGAGACCTCGTATCGGAAAAAATCAATGGAGAAAAATTGGTTGCCACAAGCAGATATCTTATTGCACATTGATGGCACATATTTTGGATACATCTCACCATCTGCGATGTTGTCTAAGATGATCCCAGATGGTAAAGTTCTTGAGAAAATTGATAATTTATCAAAGAAGTTATTCTGTCCCAAATCAATTCCGGACGAAATATACCTAGATCGACTTATGTTGAAGGCCATTGAATATTCTTTAATAGAAAAGGAATGTGCAAAGAATAATACTAAAAAGATTAAAACTGGGCCGTTCGCAAAATGTGTTGGTGTTAGAAAGAATGATTTCAAAATGGATGAAGAAATTTATAAATTTCTGAAGCGTAAACTAGTCGACAGTGAGATTCCGTATTTATGCTCAAAATACTCACACTTTGTTGATTTTCTAATCAAAGAAATTTCGACAAGTCTAACTCAGAGGAGAATACCACAACTAGGAATTCTAAAGCTTATTGGATTTTGTTTATCGACTACCGTTAAAGCGCCAGGACGTTTTGGTCTTTGCAAAGGATCAAAGGCTTTTGGACAAACCACGAAATTTATACCGTCCCACAAACCAACAATGAAAGAGATAAAAGCTAAAATTGACTTATTACGTCCTTTTTTAAAAAGTCTTCCCGCAAAAAGTGTGAAGACAATTACGTTCTGTCGAAATGTAAGACATGGATATGCACCACGTTTATTCTTACCTCTTATTGAAACAAGTCTGCTCAAATCATTTAATTCATCTTTCCCTCGTTTTACATTAAACTATGACAGACATATATTAGGACACAAAGAGGGTTGGTATTACCGAACTTATCTAAAGGACACATTATAATGTTTTAGGTAACTGGAATAAACTTATCTAAAGGACACATTATAATGTTTTAGGTAACTGGAATAAAATTATCTAAAGGACACATTATAATGTTTTAGGTAACTGGAATAAACAATGTATACTTATGTGACACACGAATTATATTGTCTTGAATGGTTTGGTGAAAGAAGTGGAGTTTTGATATTGCATAAGTGAATTTTCACTTTGAATCAGTGCTTTAACGCGTTAGAGAATACAGCTTGTGTCATTGATTTTCACCCCAATTTCTTTAACCTTGTTTGTTATCTGTTAAAACTTTGAAAAATAAGGTGTTTCATTATAGAGTTTCAGCTGTTGCTGACAGGCATTCTTGATTAATCAGCAGCGAGTAATCACATTAGGCCTTGATTAATCAGCAGCGAGCAATCACATTAGGCCATGATTAATCAGCAGCGAGTAATCACATTAGGCCTTTGAAGAGATTTTTTTCTTGACATTTTAAATCATTTAAAGCAGATCATTTTCAATTGATGATTTTTCATTGGGGTGGATACAAAGATATATTTTTCCTATGATCAATCATTTTTACCGAGGCCGTAAGTCGATGTTAATATCATTCTTTCTTTGGTTGATGAACGTTGTCTGTGCCTTATAAAAAGTAATGAATGTTTTATATATGACATATTGTTTCTGTTTTATTTACAATCTTTATAAAGCTACACCACATCTTCTATTTAGACTTCAATTAGGACCACAATGCTCTCTTTGACATGCTAGACGAGTGGCTGCTAGCTTGAGTCTAGCCTTTGACATGGCCGTGTGCAAGGCGTTGATATTTTATATCCACCGTGTCTTCCATCTCGCGAGATATACTTGTATGAATAATACATATCTAAAAGGGTGACAGAGCAAATTGTTAGCCTGCGAAAATCAGTATCAACCGAGGAGAGGACAACACTAATACGCTACGAATAACGTATAAAACTATGAAAATCTATAAATATGTATGAGAATGAATATTATATTGATTAAATGTTAGTAGTATGTTATTATCATTATCACAATAAAAAATATGCATCTAGTCAAAATTCTTTCAGATAAGTTGGTTCAGACAATGTAAAAAATAAAAAGGTGAGGTTCAGAGAACGAGATCGTTGGGCATTATTACGTACACATGAAATATCGGTTGAAATAAAATCGTTCTATTTTACATAGTATACGTTTAAATGTCAAATCATTTCTTAAAAAGACTGAAAGTAAAGTTTGATATATATATATGGAGAATGTCTGTCATAAAGTTGTCACATGTTTAGACGTATATATATTAATCCAAAGCTTATAAAGAAGTGTTCACTGATAAAAATGTTCAAACGCTTTTTGACGCAAGCAAGCAAAAACCATATTTTCATATTTTACTGTTGTGAAAACAATTCCGTCTACATTTTGCGGGATGAATATCGATCCGTACAGTTGGAAACATGACTAAAATTTGTTTTTGGATTGATTTACGTACATTTATTTAGTTTACTTTGAGCAATACACAAAAGTGTGTTTATCTGTACCATTCATATATTTCCTGATGAAGTCAGATAAAAGAGTGTAATAAGGCAATGTCTATATGCAAGGAGATTTGATACTAAGGAATGAAATTGCACTTACTTGCTGGTACAGTATTATCTGTATTTGTATCTGTATAGTACACAGTGCAGGACCCGACCGCGGACAAATATGCACTAGCAGGAGAGCTTTGTTGGTTAGCTAGCTGTTGGAGGTAGTCTCGAAGTCCACAATTGTCTTTGAACATGCAATGTTCTCCTCCAGGTGGTTCCAGTCTACTATAGTTTTGGGGTAAAAGGATTTCTTTCGGATCTCTGTGCTATGATACATAAGTTTATATAGCGATTGTTTGCAAATTATATCAAGGTAAAAAACAAAAGCTGAAGGAATCGCATGAACCCCAAAAGGAGCGAGACCTGTCTTGTGGTCATAATACCAACTAATCAAAACACATGATTGAGTGGTATGAGCACAAATTGTGTACTCGGAGCACTGAGTAAAGTTTTATGACGGAGAGGCGTCTCCTGCTATGCAAGCATCACTCGCCTCCAAATTATACTCAGTTAAAATGTCACAACCAGGAATAGAACAAGGCAGTCGGCACCAATCCGGCCCTCAAACATTCAGCATATTTTGTTTCCTCCATTTCTGGAGAGGTGTTAGTTCCAGCTTGGAAAGGATATATGCGACACCTCCTGCTTCTCTAGATTTATAATCACGTAAATTGAAACATGTCGCTCTCTTTTGTATGGTTATATTCTCAATTTCCTTGATGGTATAAGGGTGCCAAATTACATCACCATATTCCAATACAGCTCGCACCATGGCTGGGAAAGCTAGTTCCTTGCACTCTCGGGGACATTAGCCTTTGTTTCTTCTCATTAATTCTAATGTACAAACTGTTTATCTTTTCCAGTATGGCTGGTCCAATTCAGGTAATCTGGTATAATAAGACCTAGTCAAGGGTCTGTTTGAACTTGCACAAATACATGATAGTTCGGTTAATAGGATTGTATTGATTGTTGTTTTACGCTCATTGTGTAGCATTATTAGCATTAAATTGCATTTCCTAAATCGCTGTCCATACTACTAGCGATTTTAGCCGGGTTTCTCGGAGAATTTGCTTGTCTTTAATGGTGTACAAATTCAAATTCAAATTCTTGTTTTGTTGGATTTTTTTTTTTAATTACACCGTCAAAAGTTTATTCAAACAATTGGGAAGAGGAATTTAAAAAAAAAAGAATCATATTACTAGGGAGTATTAATGTATTAACGATTAAATGATAAAATAGTACTGCACTTGATTATCTGTGTCAAATATTTAAGAATAACCAAAATGCCAATGCAACAAGATGTTCGTTACGTTCATCAGACAATAATTGTCTTTTCATACCACGTCCACGAACACATTTTATGAGAAAGACATTTCAATATTCTGGTACTGTTCTTTGGAATAGTATTCCTGTAAAAAAAAAAAATAGAAAATAATAGAACAGTTCAAACAAAAGTATCACAATTTATGGTTTTTAGTACAAAATAGCAGTTATAAAATTCATATACAACATGTAAGAACAATTGAATAATTATCACAGAAATTTACCTAGTCTCTAAAAGTCTATATATTTGTCTTATACATCATTAAGGAAACATGTTTATGATGCATTTATACACTTAATCGATTTGTTTTCACCATGTGTTTGCACAGTTATTGTACAATTTAGTTGTAATTATTTATGTATATATATATATTATATAATATGTTGACTTAGTCAGAGGGCCTTAGAGGAGATTAGTAATGTACTCACTGATGTTACCCCTTTTAAAAAAAGTATTTATTACATGTATATTATGACATCATTGGTGTGGAAGAAAGGTCTAGCTTGTTGGATAAAGAGAGATAACTCTACATTTATAAATAAAGGAATATAAAATTGGCCGTAAGATTTTAGTAAGTGCGAGGGCTGTATAGCCAGTCAAGGTCGTTAAAAACTCCCATCATCAACATTATGGCCAAACAAAAACTACAAATTTTACAAAGAGATACTTGTGATATAACTATATTAAGCCTTAATGGTTTACTATGCCGCGGTATAAATTTTGCTTATTGTTGAAGGCCGTACTGTGACCTATATATATATATATATATATAACTTCTACGCCATTTGGTCTCTGGTTGCATGGCAATCATACCACATCTTCTTATTTTTATATTTATTTAATACATTTACTAAATAACTTCTTTTTGTCCTGCTCGAGCTTTATTTCTCTTTATCTTTGTTTATCTTTTTTATTTTTAAACTTTATATATAATAGTTTGCTGCCATTACGGCTATATTAACTAATAAGCTGGGTTATTTTGCTTATGCTTAAACTGTGCTTTAGAAACTTACATTCATATGCTTGTGTTATTTTCTAGATGTTTTTTATTATTATTTATTTTGCATGTGTGAAGTGTGTTGATTACTTATGTTTTTATTGTTTGTGTGTGTTGTATGTGAATATGCTTATATCTGCTCTTTACATTGCACGTGCTTTGTCTGTATTGATATCATGCGCTCTGTAATTATTCATTTATATGCTGCTTAAATTGATTGTATGTTCTGTAAATGTATATGTTGCCATTTTAAAATTTATCCTGTTATGTTACTTTTTATCAGTCCGGTAAAGAGCTTGAAAAGCTCATGCATGTTCTATGTTGATTGTATATATGAAAACCCGACTTTAACTAAAGATTATTCATTTTAATACTTGGCACATCACACAATAAGCTACGAAGTTGTGACCCTTAATTATGCGTTATTTGTGTTTATCATTACGTCTAATTTTTTCATAATTTACAACAGATTTTGGAAAAGTTAACTTTGGTCGCAACCTCCGATAAAAAAATTTGTTTTAACTAGGGATTCAATATAATCCATGGCACTTAAAAATTGTTGCTTAATTACAGATCATTTTGGGTCGTAGGTTGCGCCCAACGTTTTCCTAAAGGTTTTTTAAAGTCCGGAAAATGCATAAAATAAGCGTTTTCGACAACTTCTCTAAAATGCTGACTTTGGATCCTATAATGCACTTTTATGAAGAGATGTATTTTCGTCTTCGTTGTATGCGAAGAGTCAAACTTGAGATTTTATGCATTTGAGTTCGTGCATGTCGTTGAAAGAGGAAGAGCTGAGGTCCAAATAATGTGCCCTGAGGGACGTCAGAGTCTACATGAACATCTCCTGAACGTTCGCCTTAAACAATAGCCCGCATATAGATCACTTTTGGAGGAATGAAGCTAACCATGTATTCAGATTTCCATCTATTCCATGGCTAATAATCTTACAGAGTTTGTGTGGCACAGTTTCAAATGCCATTGGGAACTTCAGGTCTAGTATAGTCATTAGCCAAGTCAATCATCAAAGCTCTGTAGAAGATCTAAGACCTAGGTTGTACATGAGTCTGAATCCATGGTTTAAGGTTGTCTGTGTTTTGTTTTAATGTTGTTTTCTTTTGTACATGTGTGTTTTTCACAACAACATCTTACGGTGTTTATATATCACAACTCGTTTGCTATGCCCGTGTCTGTTGTGACGTTTTGGATTTCAATGAATTACTGGTAAACTATTAAGTCAAGGATTTCGTTACCACAAATTACTTACAACCTTTACTAAGTTCTTCCCTAGATATAAAAGATTTGGTTTTGAAGTTTGGTTGTTCCTGTAGAAAACTTATTTCAAAAGGGATAGCACATCCTAATTTTTACTGAGATGTTGTTTACCGATCCCGGAAATTTAGAAACGATCCGGGTAAACTTATCGATCCTTTAAATAAGCTTATTTATAAAGGTTACCAATTCAACACTGTAATTATATCTTTGAATATTGTTTTTATTGGTATTAATATTGATTTTGTTATCAGTAAATTAAAATCAAACTAAATATTATTTTG